GCTCTGGAGCTCCCGATCTCCCTCTCCCCATCCCAACGCTATGTGTGCACAGAGGCCACTGCCCTGGACCTGCATCCTGTCATCACCCCTTTACCCCTTCCTCCCACCTTCGCCCCAAGGCTTGGTCTCTCCCGACCCAGTCCCACTTGATCCCTCTATTAAGGGCATCCAGAGACCGGTTTTCCTGCCGCGGCATTGGTGGTGTGGTTAGCATAGCTGCCTTCCACAGGGCCGGCCCACAGGGTCCAGCCCCTTCTCTCAGCCTCCCTTCTCTGGCCTGTCCAGCCGCCCACCTTCTTCCCACGCAGCCTTAGGCCAGCCCTGACACTTCCCTCTCCAGGCTGCCTCTGAGCCATTGAAAGTGGGCTATGCCCTTCTCCCCCACCCCCTGGTCTTTCCCTGGGGCTCCCTGAGGAAGTCACTTGTCTCCGCGGCAAGAACCAACCTGCTTTCGAGTAGCTGGGACTAAAGCCCAGGAGGTGTGGACTGTAGGCACCAATCCCTGCATTCCTCGGCTGGGTCCCGGGGGAATCAGGGCCCGTGGGATGGCTTCTCTCCCAGATTCTGTCCAGGGCATGGAGGCAGTGCTGCAGGGATTCGAGGCAGAGCTAGAATGTAGCCAGGTAGAATCAGGCCTGGCAGTCTGCAGCTTCTGAGTGGAGGGGGGACTGAATGGCTGGCTAGTGCTTCCATTAACCTGTCACCTTCATGACACGTTTATCCTATCAAGGTCTGTGTCCCACGCCTGCAGCTGGAATGGAGGCTCCCTGGACCCTTTAAAAGGTCAGTTGTGCTGGGGTTTGGCAGCCAGGAAGGCTGGGGTGGGGGCCGGTGGGATTCCTTTGCCTGCTGTAGAATATAGAGATTGGCAGGAAATGGTTTTTTGTGGCTCTGGGTCGTTGTCTTCCCCAGGGCAGTGGCTGCAACTTTCTGTGCGCCACTGAAGGCTTTTATTTTTACCCCTGTACCCCTCTAGCTGCCCCGGGAGGAACTTTCTGAAGGGTTCTGGGAGAGAAAGGGGAGAGTGCTGATTTCAGCAGGATTTGGTGGAGGGGTGGCTTTATCCCCTTCGCTGCCTGAGCTGATCGGTAGATGGTGAGGATTCTGGCTCTGGATTCTCCCCCTTAGATTCTTAGAGAATTCTTAGAGAGTCCCCCTTAGCTGGATTCTCCCCCTTTGTGTGGTTTTGAGGAGCTTGTTGAGTCGGCGCTGTGTGTTAAAAGCCGTATGTGTGTGGTCTCATTTAATCCTGTCGGTGGCCCCAGGGGTAGATACTGTCATCCCGTGTTCAAGTGGAAGCTGGCAGAGGTTCGGTGACTGCCCCAGAAGTGGCAGAGTTAGGATTTGAACCCTCTCTCTGACACCAGAGCCCACGCTTTTCACCGCTGGACTGAGAGTGCAGCCAGTGCTGCTTCATGGTAATTCTACACTTGACCTCTTCCATTAGATGTGAGACAGTCTCAGTCTGTCACAACCTCTACCTTCTTGGTTCAAGTGATTCTCCCGCCTCAGCCTCCTGAGCAGCTGGGACTACAGGCAGGCACCACCACGCCCGGCTAATTTTTGCATTTTCAGTAGAGACAGGGTTTTACCATGTTGGCCAGGCTGGTCTTGAACTCCTGACCTCAGGTGACCCCCCCCCCCCGCCTCCCACAGTGCTGGGATGACAGGTGTGAGCCACGGCGCCCGGCTGGCCCTTCTTCTTTAAGCTTTTGAGGAACTGCCTGTCGTGGGACCTGATTTACCTGAGAAGGTAGTTGGGCATCAACCACACAAGGGGTCCCTTCGACTTTAGACAGCATCCAGGAAAGGACAGCGGCTTCAACCTGAAATGCTTTTCGAGGGCCAGGCACTGTATGGGCTCAGGTAGTGTGCTGGGACCAGGATAGATGTGGCCTGTCCTGTGGAACTGACCTTCTGGTGCTTAGTGCCCCCTCACCCACAGTGGGGTTTCTCAGCCTTGGCACTGTGACATTTAGGGTTGGCACGGTAGGGGGTTGAATAGCATCCTTGGTCTCCACCAGCCACGTGCCTCCCCGTACCGTCCCTGTCGTGGTAACCAAAACCGTCCCCTAGGGGGTCCAGTTATCCCCAGGCGAGGCCCCCTGGCTTAGGGGATACCGTGGACCCCAAGAGACTCCATGTTCCCTGATCTGCTCAGGTCCCAGGAGGCTGCACACATTGAAATCCTCACCCTGAGTAGGGAGAAAGGAGGTGAATCCCAGGAGCTGGGTGTCCCCCTGGTTTAGAATGCTGATCCCATGGGAAGTTTATCCCAGTATTAATATGAGCATAGAAGTTGAACTCAGGTTTCTCCCCGAGTAATGGATGCAGGGGTCTCCGGCTTGGCATTGCTGAAATTTGGGGTGGATCTTTCTTTAGTTCTTTCTCTGAAGAACTCTCTCTGGGGTGGGTCATCCTGGGCTCCACCCACTCCATGCCAGGGGCACCCCAAGTTGTGACAGGCATAAACATCCCCAGACACCACCCAGTGTCCCATATGGGGGAGGGGGCGAATCACCCCCAGCTGAGAACCACTCTCCCAGGGGAAGGGGAGCACAGCAACGATGGTCCAGGCCGTCTTCGCGTCTGGGTGTAGTGATGGGGCAGTCAGGTAGCATCGTCAGATGGGGCACTCAGGAAAACCTCTGAAGAGGTGATATCAGGACCTGCAGGGTAAGAAGGATCAAGGAGCTGGCATTTCAGGCTGAGGGGCGTGCCGTCTAGACCGCCATGTGCTGGGAAGGAGTGGGTGTGTTGAGGGACAAGAAGGAGGCCAGTGTAGCCAGAGGTCGCAGTCAAGGGCAAAGCGAGAAGCCAAGGTCACCAGGGCCATCAGGAAGCATCCACAGTGAGGAATTTTGGATTCTTCTGTTTCCGGCAGGTGCCCTGGGGTGGTTTCCCGGGACTCACTTGAAATTCCCAGGGAATTTCACAGAAACCTCCTGTTGAGAAAGATTCGAGTCTCTGGCAAATGCCCTAGAGCCTGAAGCATCCATCATCCCTTCACAATGTGCTTGGCCTCAGGATGCTCCTCGGAGGCTTAGAGCGGCCTGGAGACATGGGGAGGGGGGAACAGGGGCAGGAGAACCCACTCCCCACCTGCGCAGGTGGCAGCCCTGTGGTCTCTCTTTCCGCTCGCCCGCAGGCACCCCTGCCCTCCTGAGGTCAGCTGAGCGGTTAATGCGGAAGGTTAAGAAGCTGCGCCTGGACACGGAGAACACTGGAAGTTGGAGAAGGTGAGGCTGGCCTTGGAGGCCCTGATGAGTGGGGACGTGGCCCAGCTTCCGGAATTCCCCAATGAACTGAGATCTGGAAGGCCCCTTCTCTCCCTCTCCCCTGGCTTCCCCCGCACATCCCCATGTCCCCAACGCTGTTCTGGTTATTTCAAGCGAGGAGGCGTCTTGTGCAGGGTCTCCCCTCAGCACTGTGGACGTTGGGGCTGTAGTGTTCTCTGGGGCGGGGCTGTCCTGGGCACTGAAGGGTGCTGAGCAGCGTCCCTGGCCCCCGCCCGCTCCATGCCAGAAGCTCCCTCAACTGGGACAACCACCAGTGTCTCCAGATACCACCAAGTGTTCGCTGGGGGCAGAATCACTCCTGGGTGAGAACCACTGACCTCACTGGAAGCTTGTGGGTTTCGGGGTCCAAGGGATTGGGGCTCCACTCCCCTTCTTCATGGGGTGACATCGGGCAGGACGTTCAGCCTCACTGCGCCCGTTATTTGGTCCTGAAAGTGAGGAAGACCTCGGAACGGAAGAGCTCTCCTGGAGTCGGCTTTGGATCGAGTGCAGTTAGACACGGGCCCCGGGGCAGTCAGCGAACTCCACGTCTCAGGCCCCAGCAGGAGATGCACAGGCGGCAGGAAGCCCTCAGCCCTGCGGACCTGCCTCAGTAGAGGGTTTCTGTTTGTTTGTTTGTTTGTTTGTTTTTTGAGATGGAGTCTCGCTCTGTCGCCAGGCTCAAGTGCCGTGACTTCGATCTTGGCTCACTGCAACCTCTGCCTCCCGGGTTCAAGTGATTCTTGCGCCTCAGCCTCCTGAGTAGCTTGGCTTACAGGCATGCGCCACCACACTTGGCTAATTTTTGTATTTTTAGTAGAGATGGGGCTGCTCCATGTTGGTCAGGCGGGTCTCAAACTCCCAACCTCCAGTAATCCTCCTGCCTTGGCCTCCCGAAGGGCTGGGATTATAGGCGTGAGCCACTGCACCCAACAAGACCCCATCTCTTAAAAAAGAAAAATTATAAAAGGCGATCACAGATCTGCCACCCGGCCGTGACAGAGACCATGCCAGGAGGTCTGGAGCTGTTTGCTGGTGGCCTCACAGGCCGCACAGGCACCTAGCTGATTGGCTGAAGGAAGGCGTAGGTAGGCTTGAGTGAGTGGCCTGGAATCCGCTTTCATCTCTGCAGCTGTGTAAACTCTTGACTCCCCTGAGCCGCAGCACAGAGTGGCGCTAGGTGGAGAAGGCTCTGCGCAGGCTCGCCTCCCTCCCTCGCTTTCGCCAGCCCCTCCGCACTCCGGGCTTTGCCTCCAGGAAGAAGAGAGGGGAACGCAGAGGGCCGGGCTCTGGCACCAAGCTTCGGCCTGTCCGGAACCTCAAGCTAAAGTGTCTAGCCACCGCCGGAACATTCCTGGAAGCTCCTCCCAATGTTTCATTTCGTTTCTCATCTCCGGGATCGAGTTTTTGCTTCTTGGGCTATCTGTGGTGATCAGAGGCAAGATGGTTTTTATTACTGCTCTTTGCTATGGAAATAAGCCACGTGGGTCTGTAAGCGCTTCCGGCCAGGCTCTCAGCTTATGGGTGCCTCTAAAGGTCACATGTTTTTTCCTTTGCTGCCATGAGCCAGGCTTGAACTGGGGCAGCACAGCATAGAGGGGTGCCTAGGCCACTGAGAGGAGCCCCCGGGCTCGGTTTTCTGGACCAGTTGCCGGCAGTGGTTGTGGCTGTGTGGGTTCCTTTTTTTTTTTAACACACAACTTTGCTGAGATGTGTGGGTTCCTGAGCGTTCAGGTGGTCCTGCTCCCAGCCCCTGCCTAACACTGCTGGTGGCTCCCTGCTGCCTTGGAGAGGGACCGCAGCTCTGCAGTGGGCAGGGACGTCCGGTGTGTGGCCTGAGAGCCCTGTAAGTGCTCATGTCCTTTGGTTCGTGTCTTCATTTCGGTCTCAGGAGGAGGTGAACCAACGAACCGTGCTCCTTCTGGCTGGAGGGCAGGACACGCTGGCCCTGCCTGGATGGAGCAGATGAAACGGGAAGCATTTTCCGCGGTCCTTTCTTGGGGCCCACGTTGGAGGAGTGCCTCTGGAAATCAGCCCACAGCCGTGGTACTCAGAAGCTGCCTTCCCACGGCCCTGCCCCAGGGGCCTTCTGTATGTCCAATGCTGAGGCGGCCTCTGCTCTCCTTGGCTTCTGGGACCCTCCCACAGGACATGGCTGTCTCAGAGCATGGCACAGGAAGCTCTCTGGGCTATACTGTGGCCTTTCCTGCAGCAGTTGCTGAGCTTGTCACACAGCAGCTCAGAGGGAGGCCAGGGTCCAGGCGGCCTCCACCAAACCCCTTTTGCTCATCCACTCGGCTCTGATTGGGAGCGAGTTCCAGTACCCTCCCAGCCTCAGTTTCCCCACCTGTAGAATGGGCTGTCACAGCCCAGCTGAGGTGATGATTGCAGGGCCTGATCTTTTGAAGGCGCTTAGTGACATCCTTGTGGCTCTTTCTCCCCTTCCCTCTCAGAGCGGGCTGGGGTCCTTTCTCTGGCAGTGGTCACCCTGTGGGGTCTCCCCCTTGGCAAGAGGCAGAGCCTTCCGGGAACTGGCACGCCGCAGATTCAAGGCGGCCCGCTCGTCTCTGGTCCCTGCTGTCCACTCCCGCGGGTCTTCCCACTTCCTCCAAGTGAGCAGAGACTTCCCCAAGCCAAGCTGTTGGTCCTGGAGGACAGGCCTTCCGTTAAGGTCGTCAGTCACCTGGAGCCTGCAGAGGGAAGTGAGACCAGCCCCACTGCCACCCTTTCTAAACCACTGGCTCTCACAGAACTGGGTCATCACAGCCATGTTTAGATTTCTCTAAAACAAATATTTGCCTGGCCGGTCCAGGCAGGTCGAAGAGTGTGCTAAGTGGCAGGAGTGGAAGTTGGGGTGGTGGGCACCGTGACCCAGCAGCGCCTGCTCTCGGTGGCTCCTCTGCGCACCCGGCATGTCCCGAGTGGGAGGAGAAGGTGGGATGCCGTTTGGGGAAGGGTGTGCACACTCGCCCTCTCACCTGCGTCTCCCACATCCGCGAGGCTCTGGCGCTTCCAGTGACAGACAAGTGTCTCCCCAGCTGGATATTGAGCCAACGGCACAGGTGACTGGGATGGCTTTTCATTCCTTAACGCCCTGGCCTCTCTTGAGACCCAGCGTGTCTCCCAGCGGGCTCAGTGAAAGCGAGTCATTCCACAGTGCTCCACTGCCTGAGGTTCTGGGAGCACAGCTATGAATGGGACAGACGGGGAGGCAGGGGTCCCACGAATAACCGCTGTGAGGAAGGTGGGGGAGGGGGACAGCCAGGTGGCGTGTGGAAGATGACTAGAGACCGGCTTCAGTGTGGATGGTTGTGAAAGCTTTCTGAGGGCCTGCCAAATAATTAAGCTGAGATCTGATCAGAAGTTGATCAGGAAGGCCGGGTATGGTGGCTCACAGCTGTAATCCCAGCATTTCCGGAGGCTGAGGCACGTGGATTACTTGAGGTCAGGAGTTCGAGAGCAGCCTGGCCAACATAGTGAAACCCTGTCTCTACTAAAAATACAAAAAAATTAGCTGGGCGTGGTGTTGGATGCCTGTAATCCCAGCTACTTGGGAGGCTGGGGCGGGAGAATCTCTCGAACCTGAGAGGCAGAGGCTGCAGTGGTCCATGATCACACCACTGCACTCCAGCCTGGGTGACAGAGTAAGACTCTGTCTCAAAAACAATAACAGTGGCTCATGCCTGTAATCCCAGCACTTTGGGAGGCCGAGGCGGGTAGATCACAAGGTCAAGAGATCGAGACCATCCTGGTCAACATGGTGAAACCCCGTCTCTACTAAAAATACAAAAAATTAGCTGGGCATGGTGGCACGTGCCTATAATCCCAGCTACTCGGGAGGCTGAGGCGGGAGAATTGCCTGAACCCAGGAGGCGGAGGTTGCGGTGAGCCGAGATCGCGCCATTGCACCCTAGCCTGGGTAACGAGCGAAACTCCGTCTCCAAAACAAATAAATAAAGTAACAAGAAAGTACATATATGGTAAAGAAGTTAAGCGAAGTGAGAGAAAATGTGCTCAAAGCATGTGCGGAGGCCCTGCACTGCAAAGGATCTTGGCCTGTTTGAGGAGCTGGGTGAAGGTTGGTTTGGCTGGGGCACGGGGACAAGGAGGATGAGATTCAGGGGCTTGGCAGGGGTCGACAGCAGCCTTGAGGTGGTGGTGAGGACTGGTTTTGTCACAGGGGCTGTGGGAAACCAGGAAGGGATTTAAATGATGGGGTTTCAGCAGTAGATGTGGAACGTCCTGGTGGGAGGCGGTTTCAGTCATTCAGCCAAAGCCCAGCATGGTGGTTCACACCTGTAATCCCAGCAACTTGGGAGGCTGAGGCAGGAGGATTGCTTGAGGCCAGGAGTTCGAGACCAGCCTGGGCAACATAGTTGAGACCCTCATCTCCAAAAAAAAGAAAGTTTTTATAACTTTTTTTTTTTTTTTTTTTAAAGGTGGGATTTCACCATGTTGGCCAGGCTGGTCTCGAACTCTTGACCTGAAGTGATCCACCCACCTCGGCCTCCCAAAGTGCTGGGATTACAGGTGTGAGCTACCACGCCTGGCAGAAAGTTTTTAAAAATCATTCATTCAGCCAGGTACTGTTGCTCACGCCTGTAATCCCAGCACTTTGGGAGGCCGAGGTGGGTGGATCATGAGGTCAGGAGATGGAGACCATCCTAACACAGTGAAACCCAATCTCTACTAAAAATACAAAAAGCTAGCCGGGTGTGGTGGTGCGCGCCTGTAGTCCCAGCCACTCAGGAGACTGAGGCAGGAGAATCGCTTGAACCCAGGAGGCGGAGGTTGCAGTGAGCCAAGATCTCACCACTGTGTTCCAGCCTGGGCGACAGAGAGAGACTCCTCAAAAAAAAAAAAAAAATCATTCATTGGAGAGGCGATGGTGGCTTGGGTCTTAGCAGCATTAGTGACATGAAGAGAAGGGGACCACCCCAAGAAGAGTTTAGGGGATGGGGAGGGTGGCACGGGTGCTGCTCGCCTGGAAGAACCTGAGTGTCTCACAAGGGGCAGCGTGGGGGCAGCACCGTTCTCTCTTCTCATGGTCTTTGCTCCATCCCTGCAGCTTCTCGCTGAATTCTGAGGGTGCTGAGAGGATGGCCACCACCGGGACCCCAGCGGCCGACCGGGGCGACACAGCCGCCACGGATGACCCGGCCGCCCGCTTCCACGTGCAGAAGCACTCGTGGGACGGGCTGCGGAGCATCATCCACGGCAGCCGCAAGTACTCAGGCCTCATCGTCAACAAGGCGCCCCATGACTTCCAGTTCGTGCAGAAGACGGACGAGTCCGGGCCTCACTCCCACCGCCTCTACTACCTGGGTAAGCTGGGCCCTGCAGGCCGCCTAGGCGGGGGCAGCGTCTGGGGCCGCGGTTCCCTGGTCCTTTCTGTTCCTAGAGGTCCGCAGGAGTCGGAAGATCTGCTCAGGTGGCCAGGCCTTCGGTGTGCCGTCCTTGAAGGCTCAGCCACAGATGGCTGTGACCACAGAGAAGGGCCGCCACGGGCTGTGAGGGGACATGTCCGGAGCGTCAGATGTGCAGGCAGCCCCGCTGCTCCGTGTGGCCGGGATACCGTGGCTCGAGCTGGCCCTGTGGCTCTGAGCCCGGAGATTGTTTCCAGTGCTAGTCAGCCGAGTCCACCCCCTGAGTCACTTCCCAGCCACCTGGTCCGGGCTGGGTGGGGCTCGTGACAAACAGGACTGGGCTGAACCATTCCCGGAGGGAGTAGGGAGTAATTCCAGGATGAGCTCCACGCAGAGGTGCGTCACACAGGATCCTGAGGCTCCGGGAAAGCCGCCCAGATGCGGAACCGGGTCTGCCATGGGTGACAGCACAGGGGAGCCTGCCACGTGCTTGCAGCCCCTGCTGCAGGCCCGGGGTCGTCACTTCCTCCCCTGGGCGTGTGCCTGCATGTGGCTCCTTCTGCATCGTCCGCAGTGCCTCAGGGGATTGGGCTCCCCTGCACCACGAGCACTGTTGGAGCCTGGGTTAGACTGCACGTCCTCCAGTAGCCTCTGTGGCCACTACGGGCCTAGCTCCCATGAGGTGGGCCGCGGATATCAACGCTGCCCACTGCTAGCAGAGGCCTTAAGAACTGGGAGGAAGGACACCTTGGAGAGATCAGGCAGGCCCGTGTCTTTGAAAGCAGCGTGACACACAACTGGGGACCAAAGGCAGGGCCTCTCCCACTTGGCACCATGGGCATTGGACCCGGATCGTTCTCTGAGGTGGGGTCGTCTTGGGCACCGCAGGGTCCTGAGCAGTGTCCCCCACCTCCACCCACTTCATCCCAGGAGCAGCCACATCCCAGTGGTGACAACTGCAGATGTCCCCCAGACATAGGGATGGGGCGGCCCCGGGATGCTTGTCCAGGCCGGCACACTCATCCCTGGGACTCACAGGAGAGCCCTCAGCCCCTGAGCCCAGACCCGTGTGTGCTGTGGCCCCTGCCAGAGCTGGAACTGGTAAATGGGCATCGTCCTCTGCCGGAGGCTGACCACGTGCTCGCAGCAGTGACCGAGGTGGACACCAGGCGGTCACCCTCTTCCCGCCGTCAGCGCAGGCTCTCTCCACAGACTGGCTTGTGTGGAAATCACATGCTGGTTTGGCGGACAAAGAATTTAAAAGGAATAATCATCCGAAACTGGGATCGGCAGGTGACAGCCATCTTCAGAAATCAAGTTTTCGTGGTCCCCTTTAGTTTCCTGATGTTTTTGGCTGTTCCTAAGCTACGGCAGGAGAGTCACCGTGACAGAGATCATACGGCCCGTGTGCCCGAAAATATTTACTGTCTTTCTTTTATTTCTAATTTTTTTAGAGATGGGATCTCACTCCATTGCCCAGGCTGGGAGTGCGGTGGTGCCATCACAGCTCGCTGCAGCCTGGAGCTGCCTGGCTCGGGTGATCCTGCTGAATTCAGCCTCCCACGCAGCTGGGACTGTAGGCATGTGCCACCATGCCCAGACCATTTTTTGTATTTTTTTTGTAGAGATGAGGTTCTGCTGTGTTGCCCAGGCTGCTCTTGAACCCCTAGGCTCAAGTGATCCTCCTGCCTCAGCCTCCCAAAATGCTAGGGTTTCAGGTATGAGCCACTGCACCCGGCTTGGCCCTTTAAGAACGCTGGCCGACTCTAGGAGAAATGACTGGAATGCCTTGAGTTCCAGTTACCCAAGAGAGCTTGGCTGCTACGACCACAAGTGCCTGGACCAAGGCTGCCGTGGGCCACTGCCTCTCTTTTTCATCCTGCAGTTCCGTGGCCTCATGGGCCCCTCATGCATGTCCACGGTCTCAGGCCACTTGCTCCCACTGGGGTTGCTGTCCTGGTCAGGGTGCTTGGAGGAGTTTTCTGTGGCTGCCACTGTGATGAACGGTCTCTGGGTTAGTGCCGTACAGCAACAGAAAGTGATTCTCTTCTGGTTCTGGAGGGCAGAAGTCCAAGATCAAGGTATCATCAGGGCCACACTCCCTCCAGAGCCTCCGGAGGAGAACCAGCCCTGGCGTCTTTTAGCTTCCGGTGGCAGCCGGCATCCCTTGGCTTGCGGCCACAACATTGGAACCTCTGCCTTGATGGTCACATAGCCCCTTTCTCCTCCTCCTCTTCTGTCTGAAATTTTCCTCTGCCCCCCTTTTTTGTTTGTTTTGTGTTGAGATGGAGTCTCTGTCACTCAGGCTGGGGTGCAAGTGGTGCGATCTCGGCTCACTGCAACTTCCGCCTCCCAAGTTGAAGCGATTCTCTTGCCTCAGCCTCCTAAGTAGCTGGGATTACAAGCGTCTGCCACCACACCCAGCTAATTTCTGTATTTTTAGTAGAAGTGAGGCTTTGCCATGTTGCCCAGGCTGATCTCAAACTCCTGTCCTCAGGTGATCCGCCTGCCTCAGCCTCCCAAAGTACCGAGATTACAGGCATGAGCCACTGGGCCTGACCTGCCTCCCTGTGATAAGGACTCTTGATGCTGTATGGCTCACTTGGGTGATCCAGGATCATCTCCCCAGCTCAGGAGCCTCCAATCCCAGCTGCAGAGGCCTGTCTCTCTATGTAAGGTCGCCTCCACACCCAAGCTCCAGGATGTAGACACCTCTCTGTCAGGGCCATCATTCAAGTCTCTGCGAAGATGCTTAAAGGGACAGAAACTCTCCAAGCTAGCTGAGCCATGAAGCACCCCTTGGAGTAAAGGGAGGGGGTGTCTTATGGAACCCAAGAGTAGAAATCCCCGAGGACCTCAGGAAGCAGTGCCTGGGAACCGCAGCATTCCAGAAACCAGGCATCCGTCCATGTGTACCTCTCCACGGATCCACCCCACCTCGCTGCTCACCTGCTCTCCGCAGCCCCTCCACGGCCCCCAGGATTCCATGCCTCAGGTTCTAGTCACCAGCAGAAACAGAGGAGCTTTCTCCAAGTTTCCAGGACAAGGAATCAGATTGACTTTGCGTAGATGAGATTGTGGGGTCGCGCACGTGGGGCTGGGGCTGGCAGGTCTTAACAGTATACAGGAGGTGCTGAGGCCTGGTCCTAGTGGGCATGAACTTGGCAGAGACCCCAGAATGTACCTAGAGCAGCTCAGACATCAGACTGCCCCTTTTGGGGTGACATTCACCCTTCAACTAATCCAGTCTGTCACTTAGCCCTGTCAGGGCAGGCTTGAGCTCACATCACATACAGATTCTTGGGGCAGGCCTCCCTACAGCCCCTGAGTAAAAATAACACTTCTTAGCACTAGCCCAGCGTCCAGACTCCAAGGCCAGGCCTGGCCTGCTGCCAAAAGCATAGGACTCATCCCCTCTGCTCCTTCTGGGGACCTGTGTCCTCAGCAGGCACCAGGTTTGTTGTGGGGCATGTGGAGCTAAACACTGGGGCCCCCCGGGAGGGCTCTTTCGGATCCATGTAGTGAAGCCCCCAGTGTCCAGCTAGCGGGACCAGCGGGGAAACGTGTGGTTCCTGCTGCCAGTAAGGTGGGCTGGGGCCAGCTCAGGTTCCAGGCCTGACACTGCAGCACTGGATACGCTTCTGTCCCATGCAGATCAGCCTCTCCCAGCTGCACACAGTGACTTCTGTGGCTGGAGGAGGCCGCAGGGTTCCAGGCAGCTCTGGAGCTCCCTCAGAAGGGAAAGCAGGAACTCTTGTCTCCGGGCACTCCAGGCCAAGATCCAGGGGAGAGCCCCAGCCCTGTGTGGATCACAGTCCCCCGCCGGGCCAGCCAGTGGGGCCACAGTGCACGGTGACGGGAAGTGGTGTTTGCACAAGCCTGGGTCACCGGGGCGTGGGTGGATGGCAGGTTGGCAGCGGGCGTGTTTGCAGGGGCAGAGCTGGTGAGGAAAGTCCCAGAAGGGACGGGTCAGCAGAAATCCACAGCTCTTGGCGGGCATCTCCAGCCCTTGCCTCAGAGGCCAGTTGTCGCCATCACGGTGCCACCAGCAGCTGCCCGAGGAATGTGCTGGCAGGGCCATTTGGTGATCACTGATTAATCGGCCTGGAGGGAGGTGGCCCCAGCATCCTTGGCAAGGCTGCGGCTTTGGCTTCCAGTTTGGAAGGCTCCAGCTCTCCTGGAGAGTCCCCGTGGACCAGGCCGCCCCAAGTGGGACGCAGCTACCTGGCCCCTCCCATCCCTCCTCCTGGTCCAGGGTGCTTTTAAAATTGAGATGTCATTCACATTGCACAAGTTCACTTTCGAAGGTATGCAGCTCAGTGGGCTTTAGCCTCGCACTCACAGAGTTGTGCAGCTGTTAGCCCTGTCCACTTCCCGAACATTCCACCATCCCAAAAAGCAATCCCATCCCCATCAGCCATCACTCCCCAGCCCCGGGCAACCATGATCCACTTCCTGTGTCCGTAGATTGGCCTGTTCTGGGCATTTCACTTGAATGAAATCACATATCACTTGACGCTCATCCCCACGGGCGGCCAGATGGTTAGGGTCCCCGCAGCTTCCAGGGCTTGTAGAGATTGTGTCATGTTTCCAGCACTTGGGTTCTTTTGCTCACTCCCAACTCTCTGCAGGATTTTTCTCCCTCCCATACACGTCTCACTGCACTTTGCATTTTTTGTAAATCCACTTTTTTTCTTTTTTGAGACGGGAGTTTTGCTCTTGTTACCCAGGCTGGAGTGCAATGGTGCGGTCTTGGCTCACCACAACCTCCGCCTCCTGGGTTCAGGCAATTCTCCTGCCTCAGCCTCCCAAGTAGCTGGGATTACAGGCACGCGCCACCACGCCCAGCTAATCATTTGTATTTTTAGTAGAGACGGGGTTTCGCCATGTTGACCAGGATGGTCTCAATCTCTTGACCTCGTGATCCACCCTCCTCAGACTCCCAAAGTGCTGGGATTACAGGCTTGAGCCACCGCGCCCAGCCTTTTTTTTTTTTTTTGAGATGGAGTTTCACTTGTTACCCAGGCTGGATAGCACGATCTCGGCTCACCACAACCTCCACCTCCTGGGTTCAGGCAATTCTCCTGCCTCAGCCTCCTGAGTAGCTGGGATTACAGGCATGCACCACCACGCCCAGCTAATTTTTGTATTTTTAGTAGAGACGGGGTTTCATTCACCACGTTGACCAGGATGGTCTCGATCTCTTGACCTTGTGATCCACCCGCCTTGGCCTCCCAAAGTGCTGGGATTACAGGCTTGAGCCACCGCGCTTGGCCTATAAATCAACTTTAGAAGGAATCCTGTACATCTAATCTTTTTCTTACGTGCGTCTTTCCATCACTACTGTACTTCACAAGCACACTCCATCACGCATGGGAAACTTGTGTTCCTTGCCACAATCAGAAGTTGCTGTTTTTTTTTTAAAACAATAAACAAGAGATTTGGGTCTCTTCCTGAGCCGGCACTCAGCAAGGAGAAGGCCACATTCAGTTTGAGCGCTAAGATCGTGAAGCCCAATGGCGAGAAGCCCGAAGAGTTCAAGTCTGGCACCTCCCAGGCTCTTCTGGAGCTGGAGATGAACTTGGACCTCAAGGCTCAGCTGAGAGAGCTGAATGTTACGGGGGCAGCCGAGGCAACTGAAGTTGGGGGTGGCGGGAAAGCTGTCATCTTCGTTCCTGTTCCTCGACTGAAATCTTTCCAGAAAACCCAAGTCCAGCCAGTAGGCGAATTGGAGAAAAAGTTCGGTGGGAGGCATGGTGTCTATCACTCAGAGAATTCTGCCTCAGCCAACTCGAAAAGCCACACAAAAGATGAGCAATCGCGTCCCAGGAGCCACACTCTGACAGCCGCGCACGTTGCCATCTGAGGGCTTGCTCTTCGCAAGCGAAATTGTGGGCAAGAGACTTCATGGACCTGGATGGCAGCGGCTCACAGAGGTTCATTTGGACGAAGCACAGCAGAGCAACGTGGAACATGAAGCTGAAACTTTCTCTGGTGTCTGTAAGAAGCTCACGGGCAAGGATGTTAATCTGAATTCCCAGAGTTTCCATTGTAAACAGACTATGACTAAGTCAAATATATGTTCACAGTAACGAACAAGCAAACCAGCCGGTGCCGTGGCTCACCCCGCAATCCCAGCACTTTGGGAGGCCGTGGCGGGCGGGTCAGGAGGTCAGGAGTTGGAGACCTGTCTGACTGACATAAAATACAAAAATTAGCCGGATGTGGTGTCCTGTGCCTGGTATCCCAGCTACTCAGGAGCCTGAGGCAGGAGAATCACATGAACCCAGGAGGCAGAGGTTGCAGTGAGCCGAGATCCGAACCACTGTACTCCAGCCTAGAGACAGAGCAAGACTCTGTCTCAAAAAAAGAAGAAGCTTTTATTTTGGGTTCAGGGGTATGTGTAGCTTTGCTACATAGGCACGCTTGTGTCACGGCTTTGTTGTACAGATTGTTTTGTCACCCAGGAACTAAGCCTGGTACCCAATAGTTTGGTCTGCCGCTCTCCCTCCCCCACCCACCACCCTCCAATAGGCCCAGAGTCTGTTCTGCTCTGTGTGGCCGTGTGTTCTCATCATTTAACTCCCGCTTATAAAGTGAGAGCATGGGGTATTTGGTTTTCTGTTCCTGCTTAGCTTTCTGAGGATAGTGGCCTCCAGCTCCATTCTGTGTCCCTGCAAAGGACGTGATCTCATTCTTTTTTTTTGAGACGGAGTTTCGCTCTTGTTACCCAGGCTGGAGTGCAATGGCGCGATCTGGGCTTACCGCAACCTCCGCCTCCTGGGTTCAGGCAATTCTCCTCCCTCAACCTCCCTAGTAGCTGGGACTACAGGCGCGCACTACCATGCCCAGCTAATTTTTGTATTTTTAGTAGAGACAGGGTTTCACCATTTGACCAGGATGGTCTCGATCTCTTGACCTCGTGATCCACCCGCCTCGGCCTCCCAAAGTGCTGCGATTACAGGTGTGAGCCACGATCTCATTATTTTTTATGGCTGCATAGTACTCCGTGGTGAATATCTGCCCAATTTTCCTCAGCCAGTCAGCTGTTGATGGGCATTTAGGCCGGTTCCATGTCTTTGCCGTTGTGAATAGTGAGAAGCTTCTGTCTCATCCCACTGAACCCACAGCTGCAGTCACCCCAGAAGCAGCAGCAGGGGAGTTCCCACAAAGGCGTGCCCTCTACCATCCTGAGATGGGGCTGGTTGGGATTCCAAAACAAGGAACCGTAAATGCCAGGGGAATTAGTCCAAAGCATTTCCTAGGCGGCCTGTGCAGGGTGGGCATCAGAGTCCCTGAGACAGGCATCGGAGAAAGTGCATTCTCTACCCCGGGGTGTCCTCAGCAAGGAGGTCAGGGTGTGGAATCGATGTGAGGGTTGAAGGATTTTGGCTCGGGGCCGGGGCTGGGAATGTCCTAGGCCCTGGTTCAAGCCTGCAGGGAGAAACCTGCAGCTGGCTGGGCCACAGAGGTCAGGGCACTCCCCCTGTGGTTCTCATTCAGGACACACAGAAAGCAGGGGGAACTGGGGGAGCCTGCAGCTGCTTGTGACAATAAATAAAAATGGCACAGATACTATTTATTAAGCACTAATGCCAGAGGCACTCAGCTTGTGACCTTCCTGTTCTCCCCTTCTTAAAAAAGCAAGTGAGGCTGGGCACGGTGGCTCGAGACTGTAATCCCAGCACTTTGGGAGGCCGAGATGGGAGGATCACCTGAGGTCAGGAGTTCAAGACCAGCCTGGCCAGCATGGTGAAACCCTCTTCTCTACTATACAACAAAATTAGCAAGGCGTGCTGGCAGGCGCCTGTAATACCAGCAGGAGAATCGCTTGAACCTGGGAAGCAGAGGCTGCAGTGAGCCAAGATCACACCACTGCACTCCAGCCTGAGCAACAGAGCGAGGCTCTGTCTCAACAACAAAACAAAACAAAACAGCAAGCGTGTATGAGGAGTTCCTGAAAAGAGGACAGCACCAATCCGAGGCTCAACCTGGAGAGACTCAGGGTTGAAAGCAGAGGGGCCCACGGAGGGGCCAGGCTCCCGGGTGTCTGTGACTCGTCGTTTGCTGCGTCATGTTTGTGGGCTGCTGGGTAGCTTTACGCTTGGAGGGGCCCTCCTGGTTTTCCAGGAGAGAGAAAACCGAGGCTTCCTGGGGATTACCATCCTGCTTCTGCCGTTCGCCTTGTTAATGAAAAGGGTACTGCATCCAGCAAATCTAAGACACGACCAGTTGGCAGATACGCAGTGCTTTTATCTGTCACTAAGAAACGATTGCACCTTCCACAGCAAGACCCATCCCAAGCTCAGAGATGCACGTACGTGGAAAGCCACGGCTTGCTGATGAAATAGGCTGATTTTGCATTGCACCAAGCGCTCCACGCTTCTCACCTCATGTAACCCACCCAAAGCCCTCACCTGGCAGCTCTCACTGTGGTCATTTGCTGCGGAAATCACCCCTGGTTTGAGGTCAAGGGTGATTCTGCCCTTGCAAGGGACACTGGGAGATGTCTGGGGTTAGGTGCGGTTGTCACGACTGGGCGGTGCCCCTGGCATGGAGTGGGTAGAAGACACGGATGCTGCTCAGAGCCCCACAGTGCCCAGAACGGCTGCGCCCCGGAGGATCATTCAGGCCTGAATGTGGTCAGGGGCGAGGCTGGGAATACTGGACTAGGCTTACGCTTCCCCATTTTTTTTTTTTTTTAAGACAGAATCTTGTTCTGTCACTCAGGCCGGACTAAGACGCAGTTTTCCCCTTGTTGCACAGGCTGAAGTGCAGTGGCACTGTCTTGGCTCACTACGGCCTCTGCCTCCCGGGTTCAAGCAATTCTCCTGCCTCAGCCTCCTGAGTAGCTGGAATGACAGGCATGTACCACTGTGCCTGGCGAATTTTTGTGTTTTCAGTAGAGACGGGGTTTCACCATGTTGGCCAGGCCGGTCTTGAACTCCTGACCTCTAGTGATCTGCCCACCTTGGGCTCCCAAAGTTCTGGGATTACAGGCTTGAGCCATGGCACCCGGCCCTCATTCCTTTTTGACAGTTTTTCCTTTCTTCTAATTCTACATCAATTATTCTTGTCCTCTGCAAAAGCCTTGGTAAAGTAGGGCCTTGGAGAGCTGAACCCAACCTGCTGAGAGCTGGTTCCTGTCCCTGACTGGCCGCCTTGTTCTCTTGTGTGCGATTTCTTTTTCTTTTCTTGGCGCGGGGAGGTGACAGGACCTCGCTATGTTGCCCAGGCTGGTCTCAAACTCCTGGGCTCAGGCACTCCTCCCGCCTCGGCCTCCTAAACTGCTGGGATTACAGATAAGAGCCACCGTGCCCAGCCTCTGCATGCTGTTTCTTTGGTAATTTAGGCCATGAGATTCGGCAGAAACATCTCAGGTGGAAGGCCCTCACTCCCTACATATGCAAGCCCAGGATCCATCGCTTTCGAGGAGGGCTGTCCCGCCAGCAGCCTGGCAGAATGTGCCAGAAGCAGAGGGAACCAGCTGGGCCCAGCGGCAGGGAGCCAGCAGTGTGGCTGAGGGTGTCTCCCCATCCTGAGCCAGGGCACCCGTTCTAGGCGTTTCCTTTCTCCCCGCAGGGATGCCATATGGCAGCCGGGAAAACTCCCTCCTGTACTCCGAGATTCCCAAGAAGATCCGGAAAGAGGCTCTGCTGCTTCTCTCCTGGAAGCAGATGCTGGATCACTTCCAGGTGAGCTGTACACTTGGGCCTGGGCCCTTCCGTGGGCGAGGAGGTGGACAAAGGCCAGCCCCGAGGGCTGCACGCGCCTTCTGTCGCCTCTCCCGCCCCGCCTGCTCTGAGTTCCTGCAAACCCTCCGTGCTCTGGACTCTGGCGGGTGGGTCTTCCCTCCCCACCACCTGTACTCAAGCTGCAGAGAAGCTCTTCCCAACAGCATCACTGAAGGTTGGGAATCACCTCGGCTCGAGGCCCTTGTAGAGAGCCGTTAGCCGTTCATCTTAGCCAGCGTTGGCTCTGGGGATGGTGGAGGGAGGAAAGTGGTTTTTGCATTGGCATGGTTTGTGGTTGATGATTGGGAGGCTGAGGCAGGAGAATTGCTTGAGCCCAATAATTTGAGACCAGCCTGGGGAACACAGCAAGACCCCATCTCTACAAAAAATAAAATTAGGCTGGGTGCAGTGGCTCACGGTTGTAATCTCAGCACTTTGGGAAGCCAAGATGGGTGGATCACGAGGTCAAGAGATTGAGACCATCCTGGCCAACATGGTGAAACCCTGTCACTACTAAAAATACAAAAATTAGCTGGGCGTGGTGGCGGGTGCCTGTACTCCCAGCTACTCAGGAGGCTGAGACAGGAGAATTGCTTGAACCTGGGAAGTGGAGGTTGCAGTGAGCCAAGATCGCGCCACCAAACTCCAGCCTGGTGACAGAGCAAGACTCCATCTCTAAATAAATAAAAATAAAATTAGCCAGGCCTGGTGGCGCTCAACTTGTAGTTCCAACTAATTGGTAGGCTGAGATGGGAAGATCGCTGGAACCTAGGAGTCCAAGGCTGTGGTAAGCCACAATTAGCACTGCACTCCAGCCTGGGAGACAGTGAATCCGCTAAAATAGTAACAATGTAACAATAAGATAACGTAACATAGTAACAGCATAAATGTAACAATGTTACAATGAAGATACCTAACACTGTGGCTGAGATCATGACACAGTCCCACTTTCTCCACCGCTGGTTCGGTGGCCCTCACTTTAGCCTGTCTGAGCCCCCAAGCCAGCCAATGTCCTTGTATTTATGCTGCTTTTGATTCTGTTTTTTTGTTTATGTTTTTATTTTTTTGAGATAGAGTCTCACTCTGTCCCCGTGGCTGGAGTACAGTGACTTGCTCTCCGCTCACTGCAACTTCCACCTCCTGGATTCTAGGGATTGTCTGGCCTCAGCCTCCCGAGCATCTGGGACTACTGGCACACACCACCACACCCAGCTAATTTTTGTATTTTTAGTAGAGACGGGGTTGCACCATGTTGGCCAGGCTGGTCTCAAACTCCTGACCTCAGGTGATATACCTGCCTGGGCCTCCCAGAGTGCTGGGATTGCTAAATCGAAAGCTCTTGGTGGGAAGGGATTGTGAACAGGGTAGGAGTGAGGGGAGGCTACATGAGTGGCACTAGGGACCCAGAGAGAGTACTCCGTTGGTGTGGGGCAGGGGGCAGCTCCTCCCAGGGGCCCCCATCTGCCGTGGAGAGGGTCTGTGGGGAGGGAACTCGGGAAGTGAGGAAACCTCTGGCCTCAGAGCCTCCCCTGCCACCTCCTAGGACACTCAGCCAGTCCAGCAGGGCCAGGCTCTGGCAATCTTTGGCCACCCACCAGGTCCGGGGCTCCGGCACCCAGTTCTGCGCAGGACAGGAAATTCTCTCTGGCGAGGCCCAAAGGCAGATTCCCTGGCATCGCCCAGGCACCAGGTCTCTGCCCTAGCCAGTGGGGGATCCTCTTTGCCGACTGACACTGCCCCCACCCCTCGCTGCGCCCCTCCCCTATGTTTCCAGGCCACGCCCCACCATGGGGTCTACTCCCGGGAGGAGGAGCTGCTGAGGGAGCGGAAGCGCCTGGGGGTCTTCGGCATCACCTCCTACGACTTCCACAGCGAGAGCGGCCTCTTCCTCTTCCAGGCCAGCAATAGCCTCTTCCACTGCCGGGACGGCGGCAAGAACGGCTTCATGGTGAGCCCCGGGCCTGGCTGCGTGCGGGGGCGGCGTGGCGGCCCCTCCCCCTGAGCCAGGCCTGTCTATCCTCAGGTGTCCCCTATGAAGCCGCTGGAAATCAAGACCCAGTGCTCAGGGCCCCGGATGGACCCCAAAATCTGCCCCGCCGACCCTGCCTTCTTCTCCTTCATCAACAACAGCGACCTGTGGGTGGCCAACATCGAGACGGGCGAGGAGCGGCGGCTGACCTTCTGCCACCAAGGTGGGGCCAGCCCTCCTGTGCACGGCCACCTTCCAGAAAGGCCCCGTCGTCCCCATAGCCAGGGTCTTCCCATATGCACCCCAACAGCAGGCCATCCTCCCGGGCAGACCTTTTGTGCCCACGTGTCTCCCAGGAAGTCCAGGTATTCCTGCCAGCTCTGTGGTTTTCTTTTCTGTGTTTTTTGAGAGAGAGTCTTACTTTGTCACCCCGGCTGGAGTACTGTGGCATGATCTTGACTCACTGCAACCTCTGCCTCTTGGGTTCAAGCAGTTCTCCTGCCTCAGCCTCTCAGTTAGCTAGGATTACAGGCACCCACCACCACGCCCGGCTAATTTTGTGTGTGTGTGTGTGTGTATTTTTAGTTGTGATGGGGTTTCACCATGTTGGCCAGGCTGCTCTCGAGCTCCTGACCTCAAATGATTCACCCACCTCAGCCTCCCAAAGTTCTGGGATTACAGACGTGAACCACCACGCCCAGCTGCTCTGTGGTTTCTTTGCTGTAGGCGCCGGCCCAGCTGCAGTGCTCTGGACCCTCTGCCAGGCACCCCTGTGCGCTTCTGCCCCTGCATGCCTTCTCCTCCACCCCGTCTGTCCAGCCCCATCAAGTCAAGGCCATATCTCACCTGCGTTCTGCGTTCTCCCCACTCCCCTGCTCACCAGGTTTTGAGTCACTGCGTTTTCCATCCTGTAAGCCGGGGCCCCACTTTCCAAACCTGGGTAATCGACAATGTCCCGAGACCGTTTTTTTCTTTCTATTTTTTTTTTTTTTTTTTTGAGACAGTCTTGTTCTGTTGCCAGGCACCAGGCTGGAGTGCAGTGGCACGACCTCGGCTCACTGCAAACTCCGCCTCCCGGGTTCAAGCAATTCTCCTGCCTCAACCTCCCTAGCAGCTGGGACTAGAGGCACCCACTGCCACACCCAACTAATTTTTTTTTGTATTTTTAGTAGAGACAGGGTTTCACCATGTTGACCAGGATGGTCTCGATCTCTTGACCTCGTGATCCGCCCGCCTTGGCCTCCCAAAGTGCTGGGGTTACAGGCGTGAGCCACCACACCCAACCCTTTTTTCTTTTTTTTTTTTTTTTTTTTGGAAACAGTTTCGCTCTTGTTACCCAGGCTGGAGTGCAATGGCACGATCTTGGCTCACCGCAACCTCTGCCTCCTGGGTTCAGGCAATTCTCCTGCCTCAGCCTTCCGAGTAGCTGGGACTACAGGCACGCACCACCATGCCCAGCTAACTTTTTGTATTTTTAGTAGAGACAGGGTTTTACCATGTTGACCAAAATGGTCTCGATCTCTTGACCTGTTGATCCACCCATCTCGGCCTCCCAAAGTGCTGGGATTACAGGCTTGAGCCACCGTGCCCGGCTCTTTTTTTTTTTTTTTTAGATGAAGTCTTGCTCTATTGCCAAGCTGGAGTTCAGCGGCTCGATCTGGGCTCGCTGTAACCTCTGCCTCCTGGGTTCAAGCAATTCCCCTGCCTCAGCCTCCTGAGTAGCTGGCACTATAGGGGCGAGATGGAGTTTCACTCTTGCCCAGGCTGGAGTGCATTGGTGCAATCTTGGCTAACCAAAACCTCTGCCTCCCAGATTCAAGCAATTCTCCTGCCTCAGCCTCCTGAGTAGCTGGGATTACAAGTGCCTGTCACCTTGCCGGGTGAATTTTTATATTTTTAGTAGAGACAGGGTTTTGCCATGTTGGCCAGGCTGGCCTTGAACTCCTGGCCTCAGATGATCCACCCACCTTGCTCTCCCAAAGTGCTGGGATTACAGGCATGCGCCACCATGCCCAACTACATTTTTTTGTATTTTTAGTAGAGTTGGGGTTTCACCATGTTGGTCAGCATGGTCTCGATCTCTTGACCTTGCAATCCGCCCACCTCAGCCTCCCAAAGTGCTGGGATTACAGGCGTTAGCTACCACGCCTGACCTTGGGACAGGCGTTCTCCATGTTGGCCAGGATGGTGTCAATCTCTTAACCTCGTGATTCGCCTGCCTCAGCCCCCCAAAGTGCTGGGATTATAGGCGTGAGCCACCACGACCAGCCCAGAGATGTTTTTAGATGGCCCACTTGGGCGTGGATGCTCCTAGTGTGGCAAGGCATAAGTGGAGGCCAGGGACACTGCTCCACACCCTGCCATGCCCAGGACAGCCCCACCCCAGAGACCAAGTGGCCCCAGTGGCCCCAGTGTGGGTGGGGCAGCCCTGCTTGAAAGCAGTCAGCTCTGAGCTCTCCCCTTCTCACCCTCTCTCCTCCTCTCAACCCCTGTCCCTCTCACTCCCTCTTTTTCCCTCTCTCTCCCTTTCTGTCTTTTCCCTTCTTCCTCGTACTCTCCCTCTCTCTCCCTCCCTCTCCCTCTCTCTCTTGTGCTGTCCTGGAGCCCCTGGCCATCCCCGACGTCCCTTGCTGCTCATCCCTTGTCGATGCTCTTCCTCCCTCTGCCTAGGTTTATCCAATGTCCTAGATGACCCCAAGTCTGCGGGCGTGGCCACCTTCGTCATACAGGAAGAGTTCGACCGCTTCACTGGGTACTGGTGGTGCCCCACAGCCTCCTGGGAAGGTAGGGCCCTTCCATTTCTAAACTGGCCCCCACAAGTGCTTGTCCTGCTGGAACCAGACTGTCTTCTTCCTGCCCTTCACTCCTTTCACTTCATATGACCTCCACAGTCTTTCCATCAGGCATGTAGAGGGTTCCTTTACGACTGGAGACATTGCTGCAGCCCTAAGAGGGCACCCAGTTCAGCCCATTGCACCCACGTGGCCACTTCCCATGCTATTTTATGCTGGGAATAGCCCTGCTCTGATTCCCACTGCACAAGGCAGGAAACTGAGGCCCACAGTTGGGACTGGCATAAGGTGTAGCACATGGCAGAGCCGGTGTTCCGGTTTCAGAGCCCACGGTGCCCAGCTTCAGGCCACAGTGCTGTGGAAGGGGGTAGGCTGATGGCAGCGATTCCGCCTCCACCATCTTCAGCATCTCACCTGCCCCCCGACCCAAGGTCCAGAGGGCCTCAAGACACTGCGAATCCTGTACGAGGAAGTCGATGAATCCGAGGTGGAGGTCATTCACGTCCCTTCTCCTGCACTAGAAGAGAGGAAGACGGACTCGTATCGGTACCCCAGGACAGGTGAGTGCGTGGGGCTGGGCCGGGGGTCTGAGGCCTCTGGGATGTGGCTGGTGAGGTGCACTTTACCCCAGGCCTTCTGTGCTGCACATGTGTGGGGATGTAGGAGGAAGGCTTCTGCCCTGGAGAGGACGCCCCCTCCTCCTGGCTTCCCCTGGCCTCCTGATCACATAGCTCAGAGGTAGGCAAGCTGTCTCTGGAAGGGGCCAGGGCACAGGTGTCTCAAGCTTCTAGGGCCAGTCGAAGGCAGGCTCTCTTGCAACTGCCCCACCTGGCTGCTCGAGCAGAAAAGCAGCACGTCCAGGAATGGGCGTGGCCATATGCCAAGAAAACTTGACCGAAGTTTAGACTGCAAATAATTCACCTTGAGATGTATGTGATTTTCACCTCAGCCAATCTGTCACTCCTGTGCTGCTTGTTTTCCTAACCATCTCAGAACTAAAGAAGGGTTTTTAGCCATACAAAAACAGGAGGCAGACTGGACTGAGACGGGGTCTCTCTCTGTCCCCCTGGCTGGAGTGCAGTGGTGTGATCTCGGTTCACTGAAGCCTCCACCTCCTGGGTTCAAGGGATTGTCCTGTCTCATCCTCCCGAGCAGCTGGGACTACGGGTACACATCACACCAAGCTAAGTTCGAATTCTTCGTAGAGATGGGGTTTCACATTGGCCCTCACGCTACAGTGGTTTTTGTTTGATTCTTTTTGAGAGGGTCTCACCTTGTGGCTCAGGGAGGAGCACAGAGATGCAGTCACAGCTCACTGCAGCCTCAAATTCCTGGGCTCAAGTGATCCTGCCTCCCAAGTAGCTGGGACTACAGGTGTGCACCACCGTGCACAGCTAAAATTGAAATTTTTCGTAGAGACAGAGTCTTCCTTGCCCAGCTAATACTTAAATTTTTTGTAGAGATGGAGTTTTGCTGTGTTGCCCAGGCTGGTTTCGAACTCCTGGCCTCAAGTGATCCTCTTGTCTCGACCTCCCAAAGTGCTGAGATCACAGATGTGAGCCACCATGCCCAGCCACTCTCAATTCTTAAACATCTTTCTAATTATCTTAAAAGACCTCTGGAGCCAAACAGAACACACATGCAGCCCAGATTCAGCGTAGAGGCCTTGGGTTTGCCACCCCTGTGGGAGCACGTAAGAGCACTGCTATTGCCGGTACTCTGAGAGTGCCTGCTCTGCGCCATGGCAGATGGACGTTTTCTGTGGGATCTTTCAAGCTTCCACTGCAAATGGGCTAAGGCAGTCTTTTCCCCTCATTTGACAGATGAGAACAGTGAGGCTCAGAGCTGCCACCTGCCATGAGGGCTGGAGTTGTGTTTCTCGTAGGTCTAGCCAGAAAAATAAGGATTCTCCACCTTGCTGTGGCCCATGCCCTCTTTTGGAGCCTGAACTAAGTCCCACTCTTCAGAAACCTCTTGGGTCCCTTATATTTTGCCATTGGCCTCCCGAGGGCGCAGGTTGGGCGGTCACATGGGCTCCCTCACTTTGTATGGGACTTGTCACATTGTTGGTGGTTTCCTTGGGAGCTCTCCCAAGGCAGGGATGGCATCTTCCTTGTGTCTGCGGCCCCCACAAGCCCCAGCTCTCAGCACAGGGTGTGGCCTGTGCTCCTAAATGAGAAAGTCAATGTCATGTCGGGAGTGTGATCCAGGCCCAAAGTCAGAAGGTCCCCGCCTGAGGGGCGTCAGGCCTGTACCAGCAGGGCAAGGTACCTGCAGACTGACCATGGGACACCTGGCTTCTCCTGCCTGCCCCCCACCCATTGTGCACCTCTCTGTGGACGTCACCCCGAAGCCCAGCCCCAGCACCGGCTCTCAGCATGCACAGGTGATACCTGCCTGGCACTCACCTCACTTTGGGTTTTGCAGGCAGCAAAAATCCCAAGATTGCCTTGAAACTGGCGGAGTTCCAGGTCGACACACAGGGCAAGGTAAGGGGTCCTGGCACATCCTAGAGAATCTCCCAGATGATTTGGAGAAGGGCTGGGTAGGCAGCTGGGCAGGATGGGCAGATCACTCGCCTCCCTTCTGGGGGCACTCCCAAGGCCCCAGCCCTGCTGCCTGGACTGCCTGGCCGTGGGCCATCCCTGCGTGTGTCTGGGCCTGCGGTCTGGAATACGGCATGACGAGCTGGACTCCCTGCCTCACAGAGGGGGTCCCGAGACTCAAGGCCACGCCCACGGTAAGGAACAAGCATCGGGTAGGGGTCCTGTGAGGAGAGGCTCGTCAGGCACTCGCAGGCTCCCCTGGGAGGGTGCGATGTGTGGGTCCGGAGCTGCCCTCTCTCCAAGTTTCTTTTTTTTTTTTTTTTTTTTTTTTTTTTTTTTGAGATGGAGTTTCGCTCTTGTTACCCAGGCTGGAGTGCAATGGCGCGATCTCGGCTCACCGCAACCTCCGACCCCTGGGTTCAGGCAATTCTCCTGCCTCAGCCTCCTGAGTAGCTGGGATTACAGGCACGCGCCACCGTGCCCAGCTAATTTTTTGTAATTTTTAGTAGAGACGGGGTTTCACCATGTTGACCAGGATGGTCTCGATCTTTCGACCTCGTGATCCACCCACCTCGGCCTCCCAAAGTGCTGGGATTACAGGCTTGAGCCACCGCGCCCGGCGTCTCTCTCCAAGTTTCTAAAACAGAGAACTCTGTGGGGCAGACACCTGGGGTACCTCAACCTCGGGTGGGGTGTTTCTCCTCCAGTATTTTGGATAGATCCTCGGGTCAGCTACTGTGGGGAGAGGACCCCCCCCGCCACCTCATTAGCATCCAGTAAGCAGGGTCCTCATCCCCTGGGGGTCATCTCAAAGGACCCCACAGCCTGGAGGTGTCATCCGTCAGTAAAAAGTGTACCAGCAGATTATACCTCTGACCGTATCTCCCTCGGCCACTGCCTTCCCAGCCACCCGCCTCCAGCCCAGCATATTCGTCCCATCTCTCACGTCCCTGCCACCCGGGGGCTCTGCAGTAGCCCCTCACTGATCAGTTCTCTCGGAATTTGCAAATCCCATAAGATCTAGAAAGGTGTCAGGAAGTTAGGTAGTGTCACATTGGAGAACTCACAGACAGAGCCCTGGGCAAAAGAGGCTGGGGCAGAGGAGAGTCACTGACGGCGGGGACACGAGGGATCCAGAGCCACCCTCGCTTTCCCTGCACCGCAGGATGGAAGGGCAGAGGCAAACCAAGTAGGCCCCTGTGTCCTTTTGCGAAAGTGACATCATGTTTTGGGGAAGCGTGTAAGATAAAATGAGCCTCCTGTTTTCATAATTTGGAGGGTTGAATTCTTTTTTTTTTTTTTTTTGAGATGGAGTCTCGTGCTGTTGCAGGCTGGAGTGCAGTGGCGTGATCTCAGCCCAGTGAAACCTCCGAGTGCCTGGTTCAAGCGATTCTCCTGCCTCAGCCTCTGAGTAGCTGGGACTACAGGCATTGCCACCACGCCCGGATAATTCTTATATTTTCACTGTATTGGCCAGGCTGGTTTTGAACTCCTGACCTCGCCATCCACCGGCCTCCGCCTCCCAAAGCGCAGGGTTTACAGGCGTGAGCCACCGCGCCTGGCCGGGGTGGATCCTTTTTGACACGATTAGGCTCTCCAGGCCTCTTTTGTATTCTTGACAGGAGCACTGTGACATTTCAGGCCATCAGTCTGAGTGGCTTTGCCGGACCCGCATGAAACCTCCCTTCGGGCCGGGGTTTGCTTTTGTTTGTTCTTGTTTTTTGAGCTGGGATTTCACTGTCATCCAGGCTGGAGTACACTGGTGCAATCACGGTCCACTGCAGCCTCAACCTCCGGGGCTCAAGGCAGTCTTCTTGCCTCAGCCTCTTGAGTAGCTGGGACTACCAGCAGGCACCACCACACCTAACTAATTGTAGGTTTTGTAGAGATGGGGTCTGTCCATGTTGCCCAGGCTGTTCTCGAACACCTGACCTCAAGTGATCCACCCACCTCGGCCTTCCACAGTACTGGGATTACAGGCGTGGGCCACTGTTGTAGTGGCTCCTTGCACTCTCAGATGTGCAGTCCTTAGGTGGGCTTGGGTGATGCCAGTCAAACAAAGCAGCTTGGAGATGTAGGGCTGGTGACCCACGCAAGTGGTAGAGCTGGAGGCCCACCGCCCTTTCTCTCTTTAATCTCCTGGAGACGCCGTGCCAGCCCATTTAGGTGGGAAGAAGACCCGGTCCCCTTTCTCTCGATACCCTGGAGACACCGTGCCAGCCCCGTTTATGCATGGGGAAACCCTGGGTCCAGGGGCTGTGCTTGCCCAGAGCCACCTGGCTCTAAGGGACAGCCCAGACCAGAGCCTTTGGGTCCAGGCACGTGCTGGGGTGCTGCCATGGGCTCAGCCAGCCCACCTGCACCTGCTGGGTGCCTGTAGTCATTTGTTTGGGCCATGACAAACTACCACAGACCGGGTGGCTGACATGGCCAAAATTGACTGTCTCGTGATTCTGGGGCTCACTGTCCAACACCAGGCTGCTGGCAGGTGGCTCCTTCTCCACGGCTTCTTGGTGGCCGTTGCTTCCTGTGTCCCTTTTTAAGACGGCCTCCCTCTGTGTCTGTCCATGTCTCCCTTGTGAGGACAGCAGTCTTGCTGGATCAGGGCCCACCCTTCTCCGTACAACCTTGCCTTAACTCAGTACATCTGCAGGGGCCCCATTTTCTAAGAAGGTCACGTTTTGGGGTCCTGGGGGCTGGGACTCTGGCATATGAATCTGGGGGGTCACGACAAACAGGTGTGGGTCACACTGGGTGGGCCAGGGCGTGACCCACACCTGTTTCCCTTCAGATCGTCTCGACCCAGGAGAAGGAGCTGGTGCAGCCCTTCAGCTCACTGTTCCCGAAGGTGGAGTACGTTGCCAGGGCTGGCTGGACCCGGGACGGCAAATAGTGAGTGTCTCCGGCTGGGACCCAAGGAGTTCACAGGCAGGGCCCTGGGCCCTGGGCAGCCACCGAAGCCGCCTCCCGGCCCTCTGTGCCATTCCTTCCGTCTGCTTACATGTCTTCCCGCAGTGCCACCGCCAGGATGGGTCTCAGCCCAGTGTCCAAAGGGCCCTCCTGACCTCGGCCAGTTTGAGGATGACACACTGGACTTGTGAGTTCCAGTGCCAGAGCCACCAGCACACGTGGATCTAGTTTCCCAAAGTGGGGAGGAGACCTACAGAGGGGATCTCAGGTGTCCCCAGACCTCAGGCTCAGTCGGAGAAACTGAGTCGCAAAGCTGAGGTGCTCCCCGTACTCACTCCACAGCCTCCCACGCACATCGAGGAGAAAACGCTCTACTGCCTCCCTAAACGGGCCAAGCCCCAGTGGGCAAATCTAGCCTCTGCTCGTTTTTTGTACATTCCATGAGCTCAGAATGGCATTTACGCTTATTTATTTATTTATTATTTTTTGAGATGGAGTCTCACTCTGTCGCCCAGGCTGGAGTACAGTGGTTCGAACTTGTATTTTTAGTAGAGATGGGGTTTCACATGTTGACCAGGTCTCAAACTCCTGGCCTCAAGTGATTAGCCTGCCTTTGCCTTGGCATTTATGCTTTTTAAGTGATTGGGGGTCAGAAGGGAGGAGATTCACAGAAGATTTTATCACACGTGAAAGTGACGTGACGTCCACATCCTAGCGCCCATGCATAAATTGGCACACAGCCACGCCAACTCTTTTCCAGCCTGTCAGTCGCATAATTGAGTAGCTGTGACAGAAACTGTGGCCCACTAAACTGAAAGTGTTTAATATCTGGCCCTGTTTCACAGAAAAACTGCTTCCCAAGGCCAGGCGCAGTGGCTCATGCCTGTTAATCCCAGCACTTTGGGAGGCTGAGGCAGGTGAATCACGATGTCAGGCATTTGAGACAGCCTGGCCAACATAGTGAAACCCCATCTCTACCAAAAATACAAAAAATTAGCTGGGCCTGGTGGCGTGCACCTGTAATCCCAGCTACTCGGGAGGCTGAGGGAGGAGAATTGCTTGAACCCGTGAAGGGAAGGTTGCAGTGAGCTAAGATTGCACCATTGCCCTCCAGTCTGGGTGACAGTGCGAGACTCTGTCTCAAAAACGTAAAAGGAGGGCCGGGCGCAGTGGCTCCCACCTGTAATCCCAGCACTCTGCAGCCGCGGCAGGTGGATCGCAAGGTCAGGAGCTTGAGGCCATTCTGGCCAACGTGGTGAAACCCTGTGTCTGCCAAAGTACAGAAAACTAGCCGGGCACGGTGGCACACGCCTGCAATCCCAGCCTCTCGGGAGGCTGAGGCAAGGGAATCGCTTGAACCCGGGAGGCGGACGTTGCAGTGAGCTCAGATCACACCATTGCATACCAGCCTGGCGACAGAGCAAGACTCCGTCTCAAATTTAAAAAAAAAAAAGGTAAAAAGAAAAACTGCTTCCCAGCCAGGTACCGTGGCTCGAGCCTGTAATCCCAGCATTTTGGGAGACCAAGGTAGGCACATCACAAGGTCAACAGATCGAGACCATCCTGGCCAATATGGCTAGGTCTCCTTTCCTTTTTAAATTTTTCATATTTTTTGTAGAGATGGGGTTTTTCTCTGTGGCCCAGGCTGAAGGGCGGTGGCACCACCATAGCTCACTGTACCCTCAAACTGCTGGACTCAAGCAGTCCTCCCGCCTTGGCCTCTCAGATGCTGGGATGGCAGGTCTGAGCCCGGCGCCCACTCTCGTTAGGACTTCACATCCCTGTGATGCTTCCCTCCGGTTTGGTTTTCGTTGCTCTTTCTTTGTGTGGAGCTGCTGCTTTTCCACATAGAATACTGACATCTCTGAAAATAAATTCAAGTTTAAAAGTTGTTCATTCAGGCCGGGCGCAGTGGCTCATGTGTTTAATCCCAGCACTTTGGGATGCTGAGGCTGGCGGATCATTTGAGGTCAGAAGTTCGAGACCAGCCTGGGCAACATGTCGAAACCCCATCTGTACTAAAACTATAAAAATTAGCCAGACATGGTGGCGGGTGCCTGTAATTCCAGCAACCTGGGAGGCTGAGGCTGGAGAATCTCTAGAACTTGGGAGGTGGAGGCTGCAGTGAGCCGAGATCACGCCATTGCACTCCAGCCTGGGCAACAAGAGCAAAACTCCGTCTCAATAATAAATAAAATAAAGCAAGCGATGAAATAAAGCCTAGTGGCTGTGGGCCGAGGAGTCAGTGAAGAGGAGAAACTGTCACAGCTTGCTGCCCTGAGACTAAGGCCACTGTTTCTGGAACACTCGGATCATGGAGTCTTGTCACGTATCCTGTCATCCCCTAAGCACATGCCAGGAAGGAAGCCTGTGGGTGCTGTGGGGTTACTTGGCCGAGAGCAGGTGAAGCCGGTGCAGGAAGCCCGGTCCTGATTCCACCGGGGTTTGGATGCTGCACCCTTAGCTTCCCTCTGCGGGCCACTTAGGCTCCCTGCTTCCCTCCCGTCTTCCCCCTCAGTGCCTGGGCCATGTTCCTGGACCGGCCCCAGCAGTGGCTCCAGCTCGTCCTCCTCCCCCCAGCCCTGTTCATCCCGAGCACGGAGAATGAGGAGCAGCGGCTCGCCTCTGCCAGAGCGGTCCCCAGGAACGTCCAGCCGTACGTGGTGTACGAGGAGGTCACGAATGTCTGGATAAATGTAAGCGGGGCCCGCGCCAGCTGTGCCGGTGGCAGGGGTTTGCCCTTGCATGGAGCAGGGAGCTTGGGGCTTGGCCACCCCTGGCGAGTGGGGAAGAGGGTCTAGGGGGCTGGTGAGACCGGCCACCGTTGGAGCTTGTCCCTCATACATTTTTTGTTTTTTGAGACAGTTTTGCTCTTCCTGCCCGGGCTGGAGTGCAGTGGCGCAATCTCAGCTCACTGCAACCTCTGCCTCCTGGGTTCAAGCGATCCTCCTGCCTCAGCTTCCCGAGTAGCTGGGATTACAGGCATGCGCCACCATGCCCAGCTAATTGTATTTTTAGTAGAGACGGGTTTCTCCGTGTTGGTCAGGCTGGTCTCAAACTCCCGACCTCAGGTGATCCGCCTGCCTCAGCCTCCCCAAGTGCTGGATTACAGGCGTGAGCCACCGCACCTGGCTTTTTTAAAAATTAGGGACAGGGTTGCTCTGTCGCCCAGACTGCAGTGCAGTGCAGTGGTTCAGTCATAGCTCACTGCAGCCTTGACCTCCGGGGCTTGCGTGGTCCTCCCACCTCAGCGTCCTGAGGAGCTACGACTACAAGCCTACACCACCATGCTTGGCTAACTTACTTTTTTATTTTTAGAGGTAGGGTCTTACTGTGTTGTCCAGGCCGGTCTCAGACTCCTGGGCTCAAGCAAGTTTCCCGCCCCACCCTCCCAAACTGCCGGGATTACAGGTGTGAGCCACCATGCCCGGCTGCCCCGCCTTCTGACGCATCTTCTATCTCGTTTCCGGGCAGGTTCATGACATCTTCTATCCCTTCCCCCAGTCGGAGGGAGAGGACGAGCTCTGCTTCCTCCGCGCCAATGAGTGCAAGACCGGCTTCTGCCATTTGTACAAAGTCACCGCCGTTTTAAAATCCCAGGGCTACGACTGGAGTGAGCCCTTCAGCCCCGGGGAAGGTGAGCAGAGCCTGACGAATGCTTTTGATTCATTGCGTTAGTCACGTGTGGTTCAATATGTTGTTTGTTCATTGGCCGGCTCCCCACTCAGCCGGCACGCCCTGCAGGAGAGGGGACAAGGATGGGCAGGAAGCCAGCCTTCCCCGGTGACTGCTCACAGTCTGGCAGGGCTTAGAGCAGGCAGCTGTTGGCTTCTTCAGGCAGCAGATTTACTGAGCACGTCCCCTGTGCCAGGCCCTTAGCACGACCAGGGGTTGGCCACCTATGGCCCACAGGTCAAATTCGGCCCACCAGCTGTGTTCATCAATAAAGTTTTATTGGCACTGGGCCACAGCCACTTGTTTACAGACTGTCTGTGGCCACTTTTGTGCTGCAGCAGCAGAACTGAGTAGTCACAGGAGAAACTGCCAAGCGAGGCCAGGATTTACTGTCCCGCCCTTTGTAGTAGAAACCCTCCCTGGGGCCTGCTGTAGGTAGTAGAGACAGAATTATTCATTGTAAACAAAACAAAAACACTCTTGGGGTGTTCTAGTGGAGGAGGCAATATTCCGCAAACATAGGTACTGCCTCTGGCATCATAAGCGTAGTGGAAGGAAACGCAGTCGGGCAAGAGGCTTGAGTGCAAGCGGCCTTCTTTCTAGAACGGGAGAGCGTGAGGACGTCTCTGGATAGCATGCTCTGGAGTGGGAGCCTGGAGGACGTGAGGGGTCCACACAGCAGCTCTGGGCAGAGCCACAGCCTGTGTAAAGGCCCTGGGGCAGGACTGTGCCTGGCATGTTGGAGGAATAGGGAGGAGGCCCCGTGGCTGGAGCAGAGGGAGAACAGGGAGGAGAGGGTGGGGAGGGAAAGAGCAGATAGCGCAGGTCCTGCTGGGCCTCCAGGAGGACTTGGCTTTGACCCCAAGGGAAATAGGAAGTTGTCACCCTCACCTCGGTTTAAGATGACTCCTCGTCTAGTCACAGTGGCTCACACCTGTAATCCCAGCACTTTGGGAGGCCGAGGTGGATGGATCACGAGGTCGGGAGGCCGAGGTGGACAGATCACGAGGTCAGGAGATTGAGACCATCCCGGCCAACATGGTGAAACCCCATCTCTATTAAAAATACAAAAATTAGCTGGGCATGTTGGCACGCACCTGTAATCCCAGCTACTCAAGAAGCTGAGGCAAGAGAATCACTTGAACCTGGGAGGCAGAGGTTGCCTTAAGCTGAGATTGTGCCACTACATTCCAGCCTGGTAACAGAGTGAGACTCTGTCTCAAAAAAAAAAAAAAACAAGATGACTCCTCTGGTTGGAGCTTGCACAGGCCCAGGGGCTGGGGGAGGCGACAGGCTTGCTGCCATGGCAGTGGCTGAGCTGTCCTGGTAGGTCTGATTCTGGACGTGCTCTGGCAGCTCAGCCCATACCGTCTGCAGTGGAACGGGTTGGGGATCAGAGAGGAGGGAGGCAGTGTGGATGCCCGGTGTCTACAGGTCCAGCCTGAGACAGACTCCGAGAGGGACTCTTTGAGGAGAGAAAAATCCAGAGTCAGGTTTGGACGTGTTCAGGTTGAGGTGCTCCGTAGTGCAGGTGCTGTGTGGCCCATTTCCCATACCTGGAGCTTGGGGAACCAGCCAGATTCCTGGCAGGAGCGTGGGAGTCCTTGCATGCTGACGGTGTCAGTCTTGGGATGGGACAGAGCTCTCAAGGGTCGAATCTGAAGAGAGAGGCAGGGTGGTCAGGGAGCCCAGCCCGGGCTCTTTAACGTAAGAGCAGGGACACCATGGGCGCTGGGGCCGGGTGGTTCTCTGTGGCACAGCCGTCTGTGCACTGAGCAGCATCCCTGGCCTCCAGCCATGACAACCAAAGATGTCCCTAGATGTGGCCCAGTGCCCTCTGGGGGCAGAGGCCACACAGCAGCCAAGGCAGGTCCCAACACAGGGGACAGAGACTCCAGGGATGGAGGTGACCAGGAGTGCAGGAGCCGAGGGGAGAATGAGCCAGGGATGGGCGATGCCATAGGCTGCCTCGGAACTGAGTATGAACTGGGGGCAGGGGGGCATGGTGACAGCTGCTTCAGGCCAGTATTGGGGTCCTCCTGGATGGGGATCTGTCTTCAGCTCATTGGTGTTTCGCTTTCTGGCTGGCTGGCTCAGCCACCACTGCCTGGCATTGGGATTTCATGTAGATGCTTGTTTTGCCCCCTATGGGAAAATGGGCCAGCCTGAGGGTTCATCTTTCAAAATGTAGTCTCGAGTGGAGCCGGCAGCAGCTACCACCCTCCAGGGGCAAGGACCCTCTTGGCTGCTGCAGTGCCCCCAGGAACCCCCCGGCCTGTGAGGTGGGCACACCAGGTTTCCCAGCACCCTGCTCAGCCCCCAGCACACCACACACATCTAGACGGCAGCTGCACGGCAAGGAGGTGACCCTGAGTGATATCCCATCAGAAGGAGCACGTCAGGACTCAGGCAGGACCCTGGGTCCCGGGGCTGGCTAGGAACCCCTCTCCTCCCCAGACCCCAGTACCACAAGTAACTCCACACCAGGGAAACCAAGTCTCCCCTCGTGCTGTTCATCCCCCCACAGACAGCTTTGCAGTAGCTTGTTTAGACCCAGAAGATTAAGAAAGGACAGGGAGTCCTCATTTACAGACTCAGTGTGTTTCCGCTGCGTGCCGTGACGTGTCCCACTGTCGTTCTTTACTGGCGAAAATTCACAAGTGAGGTCAACCCTCCCAGCCCTCAATAAACAGTCATAAAACCAGCAGAGCCTTGGTCTCCAGCCCCAGCACGTTCACGAATGTCTTGTTCCAGCGAGGCACGTGGCTCACATCTGGGTTTCCAGCACTTTTGGGAGGCCAAGGCAGGAGGATCTCTTGAGCCCAGGAGTTTAAGACCAGCCTGGGCAACATAATACCCTGTTTCTAACCACCCCCACCCCCCCAAAAAAAAAGTTGGCCAGGCATGATGGCTCATGCCTGTAATCTCTGCACCTTGGGAGGCTGAGGCGGATAGATCATCTGAGCTCAGGAGTTCGAGACCAGCCTGGCCAACATGGAGAAACCCCGTCTTTACTAAAAGTACAAAAAGTAGCCTGCGTGGTAGTGGGCGCCTGTAATCCCAGCTACTTGGGAGGCTGAGGCAGGAGAATCGCCTGAACCCGGGGGGCGGAGGTTGCAGTGAGCCGAAAACATGCCATTGCACTCCAGCCTGGGCGACGAGCAAAACTCCATCTTAAAAACAAACAAAAAAAAACTCTTGTTTTACAAAATCCTAAAGTGTCCTAAGAGGTGACGGGCCTGGTTGGCTCCACTCTCCCTGTGCCACACACAGATGTCACGTGGCCTTTGGAGGGTTCTAAAATTGGGGAATCCCAATAAAAATCCAGATTCCTAGTTTCTTTTCTTCTTTTTTTTTTTTTTTAAGACAAGTTCTTGGCTGGGCACAGTGGCTCATGCCTGTAATCCAAGCACTTTGGAGGCCAAGGCAGTCAGATCACCTGAGGTCGGGAGTTCAAGACCAGCCTGACCAACATGGTGAAACCCTGTCTTTATTAAAAAAAAAAAAAAGATGATGACAGGTTCTTGCTCTGTCACCCAGGCTAGAGTGCAGTGGTTCACTCAGCTCACCACAGCCTCAACCTCCTGGGCTCAAGCAATCCTCTCAGCTCAGTCTCCCAAGTAGCTTGGACCACAGGCACATGCCACATGTCTGGCTAACTTTTTTTTTTTTTAGAGACTGGATCTCACTATGTTGCCCAGGCTGGTCTCAAACTCCTAGCCTCAAGCGACCCTCCTGCCTCGGCTTCCCAAAGTGCTGGGATTACAGCTGTGAGCCAGGCGCCTGCTGGTTTCTTGTGGGAAACACTGGGCCTGCCATCCACATGGCAGGAATAGGGCCCACAGGCCTCCTCGCCCGTCTGGCGGTCTGATGCAGTGGCCTGTGCTGGCGTGTGAGTTAATAGCAAGCTGGGGCTTCAGTGGCTTCGTGGCAAGTTGGCTCGGGTGGAGTTTGGCCTGGGTGCCTTTGTGTGCCTGCACTGCCTCCCAGACTTCTTCACTTCCCTCCTCTCTTTCCTTCCAGATGAATTTAAGTGCCCCATTAAAGAAGAGATTGCTCTGACCAGTGGTGAATGGGAAGTTTTGGCGAGGCACGGTTCCAAGGTACCAGGGTCTCCTTGCCGTCCTCCCCTGCTCCACACACGGGTGTTTTACACACACATGAACATACATGCATATGCACAGACACACTCACGCATACATGCACGCGGACCTGTGAGGACTCTGCTTTTAAGCAGTTTGCAGGCCTCAGCACGACATCTGCCATACGCACAAGCCAATCATTTCGTCACATCCCTGTCTCATCTTGCACGCTGTGCCATTTGGGTGTTTTATCCTCTTACCCTGAAATTAAGAAAAACGTTGGAAGCCTTTTAGAAATCATGAAAGAGGAAGCGTGTCCTCTGCAGGGCTATGCGTCCAGCTGCCTTGTTGTGGGACGAGATGCTCCCCGATCTGGAGGCCTGTGCCCCACTGTCCCAGTAGACCACTTATCCTGTTTCTTCACGTCTCGGGGGTCCCCGTTCACCCCAGGCTCCAGCTGCCTCCACTGGCCTCTCAGGCCCTGGGCACAGGGGCAATGTCCTCTCATCTCTTGGGGCTCTGTGGTCTCCTGGCTCCTTTCCAGGCATCAGCCAAAGCCTGCTCACTCCCAGCAGCAGCAGTTAGTGTTGGAGTGTGGGGGAAGGAGCTGCTTCTGCCTTCGGGCCGAAGGGCCCTGGTGCCTACACAGTGCAGGCTGCCCTCCCACTCCTCCAGGGGACTCCACTTTGGTGCCTACTGGGACTTCCCCAGGAAGATAGGGCCCTGCCACTTCTGAACCCAAGCACCTGGGTCGAAGGAATAGCTGACCAGGCTGGAGACTGCCAGGTTCCCCTGAGCCTCTGTCTCGGGCGCCGTGCCCTCCCTGGCCCTCCCAATTCAAGCCCGGAAAGAGCTATCGGGATGGAGTGCAGGCTGTGTCCCACCTGAGGTCGTGCAGTTCCCAGCTCCACCAAGGGCTGCTCTTGGCCCCCAGGGCCAGATAGGCCCATCTCTCACGGACGGCTCATCTTCAGCCGGCAGCCAAAGCCAGATTTGGGAGAGAACAGAATGTACCCCGAGTCCGAGGAGAAGCATGGGGCCCACTCCCGTGGGGCGTGGAGGGGGCGTGGGCTTAGAGGCATCTGGGATGTGTCACGAGGATCCCCTATCCCCCTGCAGATCTGGGTCAACGAGGAGACCAAGCTGGTATACTTCCAGGGCACCAAGGACACGCCACTGGAGCACCACCTCTACGTGGTCAGTTACGAGGCAGCTGGGGAGATTGTGCGCCTCACCACACCTGGCTTTTCCCACAGCTGCTCCATGAGCCAGGTGAGCACTGCCCAGCCTCACAGCACCACCCCATGCCCATCCAGCAGCTCCCAGCCAGAGCAGGCTCTGATGGCCAGGCACAGTACTTAGGGTCATTCTCAGGGTGTCGCATGCTCATAGCTGCCTTGGGGTGGGCACCGCCTGCCCCAAGGAGTGAATTGCCCACCACCCCCCACAGGGTAGTAAATGGTGGAGCCCCTCTGCCTGTCTGATTAGCCTGGGCCCTGCCGCTCTGTGTGCAGTGGGATATGGCCCTTAGCCTCTCAGAACATTCTAGAATGTCAGGCAGTAGCCATGCAGAGGGCTACCCCTAGTCCAGGACACAAGTTGGCTGCCGTTTGCCAGCTGTGGAACCAGCAAGTGTGTAGGCCTGGGCAGCGGCAGAGCCTTCAGCAGATCGCAGGGTGTTAATGACTGCCCATGGGCCCCTGGCTGGGGGACAGGCGCCTCCTGGCCTCAGCTTCCTGCTCTGTAGAAGGGGGCGATGGCGGTGGTGCCCACCTTGCAGCAGTGTGTGGAGCTTTGAGGTTTTCTGACAGGCAGGGGCACAGGGATGGGCGTGTGGGAGGGAAGCTGTCCCAAAGCTGCGGTGGGCACTCAGTGGAGGGGCGCAGCAGCGTCCCATGGAGCTCATTGCGCCCTTCCGCCCCCAGAACTTCGACATGTTCGTCAGCCACTACAGCAGTGTGAGCACGCCGCCCTGTGTGCACGTCTACAAGCTGAGCGGTCCTGACGACGACCCCCTGCACAAGCAGCCCCGCTTCTGGGCCAGCATGATGGAGGCAGCCAGTGAGTAGCCCCCGCCCCGCCCAGCCCCATAGGAGCCTCAGCTCTCCAGGCTGTAAAATGGGACAAGGGCCCCATGCTGGGATGAGAGGCAGAGGCCTGGGGGTGGCCTACTTGGCCTCCCCCAGCACCCAGGCCCCTCCTAGGAGCCTGAGAACTCATCATAGGACATGACCGACTGCCCTCCCTGCCGCCTGAGATGGTCCTGGGTCTCAGCTGCAGTCAAGGGCTAGAATGCACGGAAGCCAGCAGGGATGTCTTCCATGCCAACTGCCTGCCCAATGGCAACCAGCAAGACAGACCCTGTCACTGGGGGGCTCCCAGGGTAGTGGGCAGGTGGCGTGTGAACATTTTCATCAGCCAGGCACAGTGGCTCATACCTGCAGTCCCAGTGCTTCGCGAGGCTGAGGCAGGAGGATTGCTTGAGTCTAGGAGTTTGAGGCCAGCCTGAGCACATAGCAAGACCCCACTCTACAAACATGTTTAAAATTAGCGGGGTATAGTGTTGTGCACCTGTAGTCCCAGCTACTCAGGAGACGGAGGTGAAAGGATGGTTTGAGCCCCGGAGGTGGAGGCTGCAGTGAGCTGTGATTGCACCACTGCGCTCCAGCCTGGGCAACAGAGCAAGACCCTGACTCTAAAAAGAGGTAAAAATTAAAAATATTTTGATCAGTGGTGGTCCGTGCAGGGGTGGCCAGGACCCCAGAGTCCACCCCTGCTGGCTCTCAAGTTTTCCGCTTCACCTTCTCTGGGACCCTGAAGTCCTGGCCACAGTGGCATGTAGAGGGTCCTTTATGGTGTCCCATGCCCAGAGGCTGCTACCCACAACAGCACTGTCATTCCAAGGCCTTTGTCAGGAAAAGGAGCAAGGGGTCCGTCACACGAAGAGCCTCAGGAAATGAGGCAGCCCGACACCTTGCCCCAGAGCCTGGAGGTTGGCCAGAACCCTGCACTGGGGACCCCGGGTTCCAGCGCTGGCCCCATCACACACATCAGCTTATCAGTGAAGTGTCCCTTACCAACGCAACTGTATGCATAGAGTGCAGGATGAAAGCCAGCAGCCCGGCACACTCCCAGGCTCCCAGGCGTCACTCAGTACAAACGCAACCACCCTGGCCCTGGCTCTGCCGTATTGGTGGGCTTCCAGAACATTCTAGCCACAACACATTTCTGGCATATGCAGGGTGTGTGTGGGCTGGAAAGCATCTGTGATGTCCTCACCCCTCGAGCAGAAACAGATCCCAGGCCTCCCTCCAGTGCTCCAGTCCCCCCTCTCCCTTCTGGGCCGACACAGGCAGGAGCTGGGCGTGGGCTTCAGATGAGGAGATGCGCCAGGGAGGGCAAGGAGCTCAGAAGGGCATGCGGCCCAGCAGTGTGGCAGAGACTGGAACCCCAGCGCCTTGGGGAACGAGGGCCCTGTTTCCCGAAACTCTCAATCTGTGCCACGTTTGAAGACTGCCCGCATTAGGAGTCAGCCGACTGCCGCCAAATCTAGCCACGCGCCATCTCTCTTGTGTGGTGTGTGGCCAAAGAGACACAGCACAGAGTGTGTGCCCTGCCACACCAGTCCCCTGAGCCCAGGAGATTTGCCGTCTGGCCCTCCACAGTAAACTGCCACCCCCAGACCTGTAGTGCCCTTTACTCATCTTCTTATAAATTGCCTCACCAAATGTACCTACATACATTTCTTTAAAGAAAAAACTTGGCCGGGCGCAGTGGCTCAAGCCTGTAATCCCAGCACTTTGGGAGGCCGAGGCAGGTGGATCACGAGGTCAAGAGATCGAGACCATCCTGGTCAACATGGTGAAACCCCGTCTCTACTAAAAATACAAAAAATTAGCTGGGCATGGTGGCGCGTGCCTGTAATCCTAGCTACTCAGGAGGCTGAGGCAGGAGAATTGCTTGAACCCAGGAGGCGGAGGTTGCGGTGAGCTGAGATCGCCCCATTGCACTCCAGCCTGGGTAACAAGAGCGAAACTCCATCTCAAAAAAAAAAAAAAAGAAAGAAAAAAAAACTTTGGGCCAGGTGCGGTGGCTCATGCCTGTAATCCCAGCACTTTGGGAGGCCAAGGTGGGTGGATCACCTGAGATCAGGAGTTTGAGACCAGCCTGGCCAATAAGATGAAACCGTCTCTACTAAAAATACAGAAATTAGCCAAATGTGGTCAGCACCACCCACGCTGGCTTGGAACCTGCTGTGCCTCTTAGCTACTCGCGAAGCTGAGGCAGGAGAATCACTTGAACCCAGCAGGTGTAGGTGGTAGTGAGCCGAGATCACACCACTGCACTCCAGCCTGAGTGACAGCGAGATTCCCTCTCAAAAAAACAAACAAACAAAAACAAGCAGTTTGAGACCAACCTGGCCAACATAGTGAAACCTGTCATGTGAAAAGCATTAGCTGGGCATCGTGGCACATGGAATCCCAGCTACTGGGGAGGCTGAGGCAGCAGAGTTGCTTGAATCTGGGAGGTGGAGGTTACAGTGAGCCGATATCGAAAGACTCTCTCTCAAAAAAAAAAAAAAGAAAACCCCACTATCCTAATTGGATAACCACTGTCGCTTTGCAAAAATAGCAGTGACCCTACTCAGGAGGTCGAGGTAGGAGGCTCACTTAAGGCCAGGAAGTCGAGACCAGCCTGGGCAACAGGGAGATGAGACCCCCATCTCTACAAAAACTGTACACATTTTATTTTCATTACAAAACAATTTTTTTAAAAAATCATCAAACCTTAGGAAGCCTAGGAGAAGAGGGGGTGCTTCGGCCCACCCTCCGAGGCTTGGGGTGGGCAGTGGAACAAGGGTGCCAGGCAGACGTGGCTTCCGCAGCCAGCCGGACGCCCAGGAGGCCACAGCCGCCCTGTCTCCTGCAGGCTGCCCCCCAGATTATGTGCCTCCAGAGATCTTCCACTTCCAGACGCGCTCGGACGTGCGACTCTACGGCATGATCTACAAGCCCCACGCCTTGCAGCCAGGGAAGAAACACCCCACCGTCCTCTTTGTGTATGGAGGCCCCCAGGTGGGTGCACACCTGTCCCTAGGCCCCCACCCCACCATCCACCCGAGGACTCCCCGGTCACTCGCCCAGTGTCCCAGCCCACCCTGCCTGTCCTGAGGACACAGCGTTCTCGGGGCCCCTCACTCCTGCCTCAGTGCCTTTCAGCACGCTCCCCATCCTTCCTGGACGCCTCCCCTTCCCTCTCCGCCTGCTGACTCTCCCCTCTTCCTCTGGAAAGTCCCCTAGTCTCCAGGTTGGGATACAAGTGGCCATGTGCCCATGGGCCCTGTGCCCAATTCCCAGAGCAGGGGTCAGGAGTAGGCAGCAGATTGGCAGATGGACCATCCTAGGCACAGATTTTACCCAGAGCAGCTCTGCCCGCCTGGGGGACACAGGGCGATGTCTGGGGACTTTGTGGTTCATCACACCTGGGAGTTCTGGCCTGGAGTGGCTGCTCAGCACCCTGTAACGCCCAGATGGCCCCAGCCCAGAGAATCAGCCATCCAGTGTCAGTGGTGCCAAAGCGGTTGCTCCAGGCAGGACTGGGCAGTGGCCCAGCTGAGGAGCCTGACAGGGCCCTTCCCTCTCCCTAGCAAGGTCTCAAGTGCAGGTCCCAGAGTACAGTGGGCCCCTCCCAGCTCCTCACTCCCAGGTGTCCATTCAGAGCCTCCAGGGTTTCCGTGGCCTCATGCCGAAGCACAGGCACCTTCATTAGGCTCTAAGGCCCCAGCCAGGCCCAGTCCCCAGCCTGCCAGCATCTCCCCTGCCTGCCGGCATCGCCCCAGCCCACCAGCATTGCCCCAGCCGGCAGGCATCGCCCCTGCCCACCAGCATCGCCCCAGCCTGCAGGCATCGCCCCGGCCGGTCCATCCTGCCTGGCGTCTCCTGCTGGACTCGCCCTCACTTCCCCGCAGGTGCAGCTGGTGAATAACTCCTTCAAAGGCATCAAATATCTGCGGCTCAACACGCTGGCCTCGCTGGGCTACGCTGTGGTCGTCATCGATGGCAGGGGCTCCTGTCAGCGGGGCCTTCGGTTTGAAGGCGCCCTGAAAAACCAAATGGTAACTCCTCCCTGCTGGGTCCTTCCGGTCTTGGCAAAGGAGCCCTGGGCCGTGTGGGCATGGGCGTGGGGGCGGCCCAAGGAAGGGCACTTCTGGCTGGGGTGGTGCAGGCTCAACGAGGGTGGCCTTTTAGAATGAAAGGGGACATTTGCTTGCTGGTCAGCCCTGGGCTGCGCCCTGCAGGGACACAGGCATCCATCTAATCTGGCTGGCGCCTGAGCACACAGAACCCGAGAGGCTGCAACCCAGATGCAGCCAGATACCACTGGACAGGCCGGGTCCACAGGAATTCCCAAGGGCGGGACTGGCCAGGGCCGGTGGTGAGGACACTGGCGATGACGGTGGTGATGGCGATCATTCAGCCCCTTTGTGCTGCTGCGACAAAACGCCACAGCCTGAGGAATTTCTAAAGAATGGAAATCTCTGACGGTTCTGGAGGCTGGGAGGTCCAAGGCCAAGGCAGGGCTGAGTCGGGGAGGGCTGCTCTCTGCCCCTCCTCAGGATGCCTGGTTGCCACACCCTCCAGAGGGGCCCAGTGCTGCCTGCTACATGGCAGAGGTGTTGGGAGGGACGGAAAAGGAGTGACCTCCCTCCTTCAGGCCCTTTTATAAGGGTCCCTCGTCCCATTCATGAGGGTGGGCCCCATGGCTCCGTCGCTTGAAGGCCGCAGTGGTGGTCTCAGCACGGACTTTAGAGGGGACACCAGCATTGAAACTGTGGCAGTGGCAATGGTGGGGATGCAGCTGGTAGTGATGACAGTGACAGTGACAGCACCAGCTATTCTTTGTGTCCTAGCACATGTCTGGGCACCCCTGTCTCTTTTTTTTTTAAAGAAAAAGAGACGGGGTTTCACCATGTCGGTCAGGCTGGTCTTGAACTCCTGACCTCAGGTGATCTGCCTGCCTAGACTTCCCAAAATGCTGGGATTCCAGGAGTGAGCCACCATGCCTGGCCAACCCTGTCTGTTTCTTCCTCGCACCTTCTGGAAAATGGGTCCTCTTCCTGTTAACATTCTGTATTCAGGATGGGCAAACTGAGGCTCCCAGAGCCACTCGACTGGGAGGTGGCAGAGCAGGGTAGCTGCAGGGTTGGCAGGCCTGGAGGGACGGTGGGCTTCCAGCGAGAGACGCCCCGAAAGGAGCCGAGGTGTCACTGCCGGGGAGGGGCATGCTGGGAGGAGGCCACTGAGGTGCCCGGCTTCATCCCCCAGGGCCAGGTGGAGATCGAGGACCAGGTGGAGGGCCTGCAGTTTGTGGCCGAGAAGTATGGCTTCATTGACCTGAGCCGAGTCGCCATCCATGGCTGGTCCTACGGGGGCTTCCTCTCCCTCATGGGGCTAATCCACAAGCCCCAGGTGTTTAAGGTGGGTCCCGCCCCGGGCCAGCTTCAGCCACACCCCTCCCCGCCCCCTTCCCCGTCTATGCCGTGTTCACCCACCGCCCGCGCCACCCGGAGCCCACCCCCCGGGGAGGCACCTTGGCAGGGGCCTTGCCACGTGGCTGTTTCTCCCTGCAGCAGCCCCACGGGGCCGAGCCCCCCTCCTCATTGCCCGCCACCGCCGACCACAGGATGGCATCCGGCTGCACAAAACCCCGCCAGCAGCTCTCTGTGGGAGGCTGAGCCCGGGACCCCGGCCTCGGATGGGCAGAGGTGGGGCATGGTGTGCAGAGCGGCGGGGGGGCCCCAGGCCGGCGGCAGTCAGGGCACTGCGGGGCGGCGGCGATGAGGAGGAGGAGGAGGCAGACGGGCAGTGGGACCCGGCCCTCTGCGGCGGCGGGGAGGGGCCACACCTGCCTGCCCGTGGCGCCCTGCCCGCCCTCGAGCCACACATCGTCCACGGGGGCCACGAGGTCTGAGGGCCCCTCCCTTGCCGGCCCCGTGTGCATGAGCGTTCCTCACAGGCTCCAGGGCAGCCCTGGGACAGTGGCTGATGCTGGCTCTAGGACCCGACACCTCTCTTTCTCTCTCTCTGCCCCCATCCGTCTGCTGGGTCCCTCAGGTAGCCATCGCGGGTGCCCCAGTCACCGTCTGGATGGCCTACGACACTGGGTACACTGAGCGCTACATGGATGTCCCCGAAAACAACCAGCATGGCTATGAGGCGGGTTCCGTGGCCCTGCACGTGGAGAAGCTGCCCAATGAGTAAGGCCAGCACCCTGCCCTATGCTCCTCCCCAGAAGCACTCCCCCACCCTGCACCCCCCCGCAGCCCGTCACAGCCTCCAGACAGAGGCGTCCACTGGGCAGGGGCCAGCCCTGATGTCCCATGTTCTGCCTTTGACATGGGCCTTGTCCTCTGATGAAGAGAACACAGTCTTCTTGTTTCCTGGCACATCTCCAGAAAATGTTCCCCGGAGTCCCATGCAGTCACCTGGGGGCTTTGGGAGGCCGAGGCAGGAGGGTCGCTTGAGGCAGGAATTCAGACCAGCCTGGCCAACATGGTGAAACCCCGTCTCTACAAAAAAAAATACAAAAAGTTAGCCAGGCATGGTGGGGCACACCTGTAATCCCAGCTACTCAGAAGGCTGAGGCGGAGAATCACCTGAACCCAGTAGGTGGCGTTGTAGTGAGCTGACATCACGCCACACTCCAGCCTGGGCGACAGAGAGAAACTGTCTCAACAATAATAATAATTGGCCGGGCACAGTGGCTCACGCCTGTAATCCCAGCACTTTGGGAGGCCAAGGTGGGAGAATCAGTTGAAGTCAGGAGTTCAAGACCAGCCCAACCAACAGGGTGAAACCTCCATCTCTACTAAACATAAAATTAGCCAGGTGTGGTGACACATGCCTGTAATCCCAGCTACTCAGGAGGCCGAGGCAGGAGAATCGCTTAAACCTGGGAGGGTGAGGTCGAAGTGAGCCGAGATCGTGCCACTGCACTCCAGCCTGGGTGACATAGCGAGACTCTGTTTCAAATAACCATAATAATAACTAACTTATTGTGGTGAAATCACGTAACCTAGAAGTCTCCTTCAAGCAGTCCTCGGAGCGGCCCTTCTCTGGTTCCAGAACATGTCCAGCACTCCAGCGTCAAGCCCTGTTCCTTGTATCAGCATCCCTGTCCCGGGACAGCCTCCAGTATGTGTTCTGTGTCACTGGGTTTGTGAGTTCAGTTAATTTGGAGGAATGTAACCCGGAATTTCAGTGGCCGTGTGTGGCCTGTGGCTCCTGTATCGGACAGGAAGGGCTTCAGCAGCCAGTCCTGGTGAGGCTGCTTGCGGACCTCACCCGTGGTGCAGGCCACGCTCCAGACCACAGAGGGCACCTGGTGCGTTTTATTGTTTTGTGTTTTGAGTCTTGCTGTGTCATCACCCAGGCTGGAGAGCAGTGGCGTGATCTCAGCTCACTGCAACCTCTGCCTCCCAGGTTCAAGCAATTCTCTGCCTCAGCCTTCTGACTAGCTGGGATTACAGGGCCTGCCACTATCACGCCGGCTAATTTCTGTATTTTTAGTAGAGATGGGATTTCACCATCTTGGCCAAGCTGTTCTTGAACTCCTGACCTTGTGATCCAGCCGCCTCAGCCTCCCAAAGTGCTGGGGTTACAGGCAGGAGTCACTGAGCCCAGGCTTTTTTTTAAATCATAGGTCACTTGGCAGGGCATGGTGGCTCACACCTGTAATCCAAGCACTTTGGAGGCCAAGGCGGGTGGATCACCTGAGGTTGGGAGTTCAAGACCAGCCTGACCAATATGGTGAAACCCCGTCTTAAATTAAAAAAAAAAAAAAAATTTATAGTTCACTGCAGCCTCCCAGGGCTCAGGTGATCCTCCCACCTCAGGCTCAGCTGGGACCACAGGTGTGCACCACCACATCTGGCCAACTTTTTCATATTTTTGTAGAGATGAGGCTTTGCCATGTTGCCCAGGCTGACCTCAAACACCTAGACTCAAGCAATCCACCCAGCTTGGCCTCCAAAGTACTGAGATTATCAACCTGAACCACTGTGCCAGACCTGGGTTTTTTGTTTTGTTTTGTTTAATTTAGAGATGGAGTCTTGCTCTGTCACCCAGGCTGGAGTACAGTGGTATGATCATAGCTCACTGTAGCCTCCACTTCCTGGGCTCCAGTGATCTTCCTGCCTCAGCCTCCCCAGTAGCTGGGCTACAGGTGTACCACTAAACTCAGCTGATTTTTTTTTTTTTTTTGAGATGCAGTCTTGCTCTGTCGCCCAGGCTGGAGTGCAGTGGCGCAGTCTCGGCTCACTGCAGTCTCCACCTCCCAGGCTAAAGCAGTTTTCCCACCTCAGTCTCCCAAGTAGCTGGAATTTCAGGCACCTGCCACCATGCCTGGCTGGCTGTGTGTGTGTGTGTATTTAGTAGAGATGGGGTTTCACCATGTTGGCCAGTCTGGTCTTGAACTCCTTACCTTGTGATCTGCTCCCGTCCTACCCCAAGGACAGTCCTGGGCCTCACACCCTTTCCCCGTCTCTTTTCCAGGCCCAACCGCCTGCTCATTCTCCATGGCTTCCTCGACGAAAACGTGCACTTTTTCCACACAAACTTCCTCGTCTCCCAACTGATCCGAGCAGGGAAACCTTACCAGCTCCAGGTGGGTCAGCTCCTAGGAGCTGACAGAGTCTTGGTGAGGGGGGGGGGCGCTTCCCACTGTGATCAGCAGCTCCCTGGGGCATCTGGGGCTCCCAGACCTCCACCCCACTGCCCCATGCGCCCACCTTCCCAGCTCCCGGGATCATTCATCATCAGTCCTGTCTTGACAGCTCAGGGCTCCCCCTGCCTTTGGTGCTGAGAGCATCGACTGCCACACCCTCCCCAGCTCTGGATTTAGTGGAGGGAGGAACCATTACTGAACCTGTCCCGCAGAGGGGTTTTATTGAAACTGAGAAATTGTGTAGGAGAAACCGCTGAGTGCTGAAGGCCCTAGCAGGCTCCTTACCAAGGGCCTGGGGCCCAAGAATTCCCTCAGGAGAGAGCTGTGAAGGGTGCCAGAGTGAGTGGTGCCAGCCAGGCTTGGGGGACCCAGCGGGAGGGGAGTGGGGGCATAGGTGGAGCCTTGGCAGCCATGGGGGACTCAGCCAAGGTGGGCGGGGCCTCAATGGGGAGGAGGGTGGGTCTTCTGCAGTGGAATGGGGCCTCAGTAGTATGGTGGGCGGGGCTTCTGCAGTAAATGGATTGGGCTCCATGGGGAGAGGGGCCCCAGTGGTGAAGAGGGTAGGGTTCCATGGGGGAACAGGGCCTCAGTGGTGAATAGAGTGGGGCTTCTGCTAGAGGGGAGCGGGGCCTCTTAAGGAGGGTGGGACTTCTACAGAGGGGCAGGGCCTTGGTGGGGGCGGGGCTTCAGCTGGATTTACACCTGAGGGTGATGGGAGATGTCCCAGGCGTAGAGTTGGGCGGCTTGCCGTTTGACCCACATTCCTCTGGCTGCCCTGTGGACAGCTTATGGGGGACAGTGGGGCGTGGTCCATAGTTGTTCTGGCGGGACATTCGCGAGGTATTCTGGGGGCAAAATGGCCAGGTTTGGTTACCTGTGGACTACAGCAGTCTCTGCTTCCTGAGCCCCTCTGCATGCTCTGTCCTGTGGAGGGCGTCCTGTTGCCATTCAACAGAGCAGGGAAACGGCGCCGCAGAGCAGGCCAGAGGCAGAGCAGCCTTGTGGGGTGATGAGCTGATCTCTTGGCAGTGTCCCCACCGCCACCCCACATCCTAAGCAGCCCCGGGATGATGTCAGGCGGGCTGGAATGGAACTTCAGATGTCTCTTCCCAGCGTGAGACCCAAGCCCACTGCCTTCCCAAGGGCCCGGTAGCTGGGACGGCATTCACCCTTGCACCTTGTTTCTCCATCTTTGGAATGGACATAACTCTGCCTCCTCTGAGGCTGCTGGGGCCAAATGAGTTATGTCAGAAAAGCATTCATGCCGGCACAGCGGCTCACTGTAACCCCAGCACTTCGGGAGGCCCAGGAGGGCAGACCACTGGAGACCAGCCCTGGCCGACACGGCAAAACGCTGTTTCCACTAAAAATACGAAAATTAGCCAGGTGTGGTGGTGCGCACCTGTAGTCCCAGCTACCGGGGAGACCCAGGCGGGAGAATGCTTGAATCTGGGGGGGTGGAGGAGGTTGCAGTGAACTAAGGTCACTCCACTGCACTCCAGCCTGGGCAACAGAGTGAGATTCCATCTCAGAAAAGAAAAGCATTCAGCACACGGGGTGGGCCCAGGGTCTTGTCTTGCTGCCTCCCCATGGGGAAGTGCAGGCTGAGATGAGACAGGCTATGACAGGTAGGAACATGGCAATGTGTGAGATGAGACAGGTAGAAACATGGCAATGTGTGGGATGGATGGAGTGCCCCTTACCTTCTATTTCAAAGACCCCAAAAGTTCTGGGCCAGGCAGCTGGTGGCCCCAGGCCCTGTTTGGGTACAAATCACATTTGTCACATGTGGGGCCTTGGGCGTGGTTTGGAAGCTCAGTGGGGAGCCAGACAGACTCTCCTCTGCTCTCTCAGCCCAAGGAATAAGTAACCAGGCAGCTGGGACCCAGGATAGCATGAAGGCAAGGGTACAGCATGTACAGATGGCTATTGGCAAGGGCAACAGGGTCCGTCCTGGGTGGTGCCAGTGCCAGGCTGGGGAAGGAGTGGGGCCTTGGAGTGCCTGGGGCAGCAGGACCTGGAAGCTGGTCTTGATGTCAGACTGGCAAGTCCTTGCAGAGGTCTAGGCTGGGGATGGTGTCCTCAAACTCATGATTCATCCAGGGATGGATTAAAGATGGCAAGGGTAGAGGAGGGGAGACCAGTGGGTGCCTTGGTGCATTCCCAGGGTGATGGGCAAGGGTGGTGTCGAGGAGCCTGGAGAGGAGGGGATGGTTCAGAAACCCATCTCACTGGCAGGAGGTGGTGTAGAATGGGCCACTTGACCCTGCTCCTGGCCAGCCCTAGAGTTCTTCGTGGAGAACCTGGGGCAATTTTCATGCCTCAGTCAGTCCCATCAGCCCCTAGGGGGCAGTGGGGAGCTATGGGGGTTGCCCATCAGTGCCTCGAGACCCCTCCCCCATGGCCAGAGACAGGACCTGCACCCCCATGTGGATCCACCCCAGGGCCTGGTGTTGGCTGGGCCAGGTCTCAGGAGCCTGGGGAGTTCTGTGTCGCTGCCTGCCTCTTGGCTTGATCACCCTTGGGTGCTAAGAGGACCCAGAAAGCACTTTACCATCCTCAGAGGCAGCCATCCTAAGGCCCAGAGCTTGTCACATGCCTTTTAGTAAAGTGGAACGGCTCAAGACCAGCACACCAGATGTCCCTGAGGCTTGAAGCCTCAGCCACCTCCACAGAGATGAGTTGGTCGCACGTCAGCAGGTTTGGGAGGAAGAGGCACATGATTTCTGCCTAAATATTTCATCTGTGCAGGTGCACACTGCAAGGCATTTTGTAAACTGTGTCGTACCAAACCTTCCCAGAGTGTGAGGTCCAGATTTACCCCATATTTGAGAGGGGCCCAGAGTTAGACTGCAAGCCAGCAGCCAGGGTAGGATTCAAACCCAGGTCCGTGGGCCTCAGAGCACCTGCGCCTTCCAGATGCCCTGAGCCAGAATGAGGGAGGAGCCTGGACACTGGTGGTCCGCCCACGCCCCCCAGCCCTGCCTCCTGTCTCCCTGCAGATCTACCCCAACGAGAGACACAGTATTCGCTGCCCTGAGTCGGGAGAGCACTATGAAGTCACGCTGCTGCACTTTCTACAGGAATACCTCTGAGCCCGCCTGCCGGGGCCACCGCACAGCACAAGCGGCTGCAGCCTCCGCCGGGGACCAGGTGGGAGGGACTGAGTGGCCCGCGGGCCCCAATGAGGCGCCTCGTCCTGCCCCGCGCTGGCCAGCCCCGTGGAGCCGCTGCCTTCACCGCCCCAACGCCTTTTACCCTTTTTCAAATGCTCCTGGGTTTTGTGCCGCTGCTTCTTGGTTGCCGAGACAGAGCCTCGGGCCAGCCCCTCCTCTCCCTGCCTTCTGGGAGGAGGGGGTCACACGCTGATGGGCACTAGAGAGGCCAGAAGAGACCAGGAGCGGGGTGCCCTCCGCCCGGGGCCACTGTGGCCTCGGTCCCCTGGCCCAGCCAGCCACCGTCCCTAGCACCCAAGCATGCAATTGCCTGTCCCCTGCCCCCGCCAGCCTCCCCTCTTCATGTTTGTGTTTTATTTGGGGGGATATTTTTCATAATTAATTAAAAGACAGGCCGGGCACGGTGGCTCATGCCTGTAATCCCAACACTTTGGGAGGCTGAGATGGGTGGATCACCTGAGGTCGGGAGTTTGAGACCAGCCTGACCAACATGGAGAAACCCCATCTCTACTAAAAATACAAAAAATAAGCCAGGCGTGGTGGCGCATGCCTGTAATCCCAGCTACTCGGGAGGCTGAGGCAGGAGAATCGCTTAAACCCAGGAGGCCGAGACTGCGGTGAGCTGAGATCGTGCCACTGCACTCCAGCCTGGGTAACAAGAGCGAAACTCAGTCTCCAAAAAAAAATAAAAAAGACAGAAAGCAAGAGGTGCCTAAATCTAGACTCGGGGTCCACACCAGGCAGCAGGGTTGCAACCTGGCACCTGGTGAGCTCCGTTTCTTCCCAAGCCCGAGCACAGGGTCGTGCGGACTCCACAGGGGAACGGCCAGGGCCCGAGGGGGGCACCACCTGCAGACCGCCCTCCCGTCCCCAAGCTTTCAGGCAGGCACTGAAATGCACCAAGCTTCCGCACTCTGCTGGTCAGTGGCGGCTATCCCCTCCCCAGCCCAGCCGCCCAGCCACAGGTGTCTGCCTGGCTCGTACACACCGGGGGTTCCGGGTTGGGAGCTGAACCATCCCCACCTCAGGGTTATATTTCCCCCCTCTCCTTCCCTCCCCGCCAAGAGCTCTGCCAGGGGCGGGCAAAAAAAAAGTAAAAAGAAAAGAAAAAAAAAAAGAAACAAACCACCTCTACATATTATGGAAAGAAAATATTTTTGTCAATTCTTATTCTTTTATAATTATGCGTGGAAGAAGTAGACACATTAAACGATTCCAGATGGAAACGTGTCACCTGCCTGAGGTTCCTTCCAAGTCCTGGGGCTCCTGAGTGGGAGGGGGCTTCCGGGGGACAACAGATAAGACATGGCGGAAAGGCACTGCCATCTCCGTGGGGTGCTGGGGTGCTGGGGCACCAGCGCAGGAGCGTCGTTATGCGCTGATCAGACTGACCCAAAGAGGACAACAGCCCCAGCTGCCTGAGGGCAGTCCTGTCCTCGCTGGTCTAGGAAGGTCAGCTGGTCTCCAGGGACTCAGCATTGGCTGTCTTGTGTGGCCTGGTCTGGCCCCCCCGGGATCCCCAGAGCCACCGCACAACCCAAATGGCAGATCCTCCATGCTGGATCCTCACCTGGCCCACGCCTCCTTTTCTTCCTGAGACTCTGCATCCTGAGGACCATGACAGGCCGAGACCCTCCTCATATCTGTCCCAATAACCAAGACACCCAGGGAGACCCTGTTGGCCATGTTCAGGGCATTTGGGCTCTGTCATTCCTTTCCCCTTTCCAACAGAGTCTCACTGTTGCCCAGGCTGGAGTGCAGTAGCACGATCTCGGCTCACTGCAACTTCCACCTCCAGGGTTCAAGCAATTCTCCTGCCTCAGCCTCCCAATAAGCTGGGACTACAGGCACGTGTCACCATACCCGGCTAGTTTTTTGTATTTTTAGTAGAGACAGGTTTCACTATGTTGGCCAGGCTGGTGTTGAACTCCTGACTTCAGGTGATCCTCCTGCCTTGGCCTCCCAAAGTGCTGGGATTACAGGCGTGATTCGAGGCCAGGCAGCCGGCCTGGGCTTTATTTCTAACAACAGGGATGGACCGTCCTGCTTGATCCACTTTCCCCATCCTTTGGAATTTTCCACTTTAAAAAAAAAAAAATGGGCTTAAAAAAAATATGAGGCCAGGCATGGTGGCTCACACCTGTAATCTTAGCACCTTTAGATGCCAAGGCGGGTGGTTTGCTTCAGTCCAGGAGCTGGAAACCAGCCTGGGCAACATGGCCAAACCCGGCCTCTACAAAAACAAAACCTAGCCGGGCGCAGCGGCTCATGCCTGTAATCCTAGCACTTTGGGAGGCTGAGGCAGGTGGATCACAGGTCAAGAGATCAAGACCATCCTGGTCAACATGGTGAAACCCCATCTCTACTAAAAATACAAAAAAAAATTAGCTGGGCACGGTGGTGCGTGCCTGTAGTCCCAGCTACTCAGGAGGCTGAGGCAGGAGAATTGCCTGAACCCAGGAGGCGGAGGTTGCGGTGAGCCGAGATCGCGCCATTGCACTCCAGCCTGGGTAACAAGAGCAAAACTCTGTCTAAAAAAAAAAAAACCTTAGCTGGGTGTAGCGTGCTACTCAGGAGGTTGAGGCTGCAGGATGACTTGAGCCTGGGGAGGTGGAGGTGGCAGTGAGCTGTGATCATATCACTACACTATACCCTCAGCGGCAGAGTAAGACCCTGGTCTACAAAAAAAAGGAAGTATAAAAAATTTAAAAATCTCAGTACAGAAGGATATTTAAGGGAGTCAGGCACAGTGGCATTCACTTGTAATCCCAGCAAATCAGGAGGCCAAGGCATTCGAGGCCAGAGTCAAAAACAAAAACGGCTGGGTGTGGTGGCTCACGCCTGCAATCCCAGTCCTTTGGGAGGCCGAGGCCAACCCGGGCAATGTGGTGAAACCCCATCTCTACTAAAAATTGAAAAATGAGCCAGGCGCAGTGGTACATGCCTGTAGTCCCAGCTACAGGCAGCAGGCTGTCGGGGGAGGATCAATTCAGCCCCAGAGGAGGAGGAGGTCGCAGTGAGCTGAGGAGGTTTCTCCAGCCTGGGCAACAGAGTGAGACACTGTCTTAAACACACACACACACACACACACACACACACAGAGTGAGACACTGTCTCAAACACACACACACACACAGAGTGAGACACTGTCTCAAACACACACACACACAGAGTGAGACTGTCTCAAACACACACACACACAGTGAGACACTGTCTCAAACACACACACACAGAGTGAGACATTGTCTCAAACACACACACACACAGAGTGAGACTGTCTCACACACACACAGAGTGAGACACTGTTTCAAACACACAGTGAGACAGTCTCAAAACACACACACAGAGACACTGTCTCAAACACACACACACAGAGACTGTCTCACACACACAGAGACTCTCAAACACACAGTGAGACACTGTCTCAAACACACACAGAGTGAAACACTGTCTCAAACACACACAGTGAGACACTGTCTCAAACACACACACAGAGACACTGTCTCAAACACACACAGAGACACTGTCTCAAACACACACAGTGAGACACTGTCTCAAACACACACACACAGAGTGAGACACTGTTTCAAACACAGTGAGACAGTCTCAAAACACACACACACAGAGACACTGTCTCACACACACACAGAGTGAGACTGTCTCACACACAGGGTGAGACACTGTCTCAAACACACACACAGAGTGAGACTCTCAAACACACACAGTGAGACACTGTCTCAAACACACACACAGAGTGAAACACTGTCTCAAACACACACAGTGAGACAGTCTCACACACACAGAGACACTGTCTAAAACACACACAGTGAGACACACACACACACAGAGTGAAACACTGTCTCAAACGCACACACAGTGAGACACTCTCAAACACACACACACAGTGAGACACTGTCTCAAACACACACAGAGTGAGACACACACACAGAGTGAAACACTGTCTCAAACACACACACACACAGTGAGACACTGTCTCACACACACACAGAAGAAAAGGTGACCAAGTACCAGCAGCTCACACCTATAATGCCAGCACTTCAGGAGGCCAAGGTGGGCGAATCATTTCAGCTCAGGAGTTCAAGACTAGCCACAGCAACATGGCATAAACCCTGTTGGTATCAAAAAAGACAGTCAGCTGCTGTAGTGCAGGCCTGTAACGCTTGGGAGGCTGAGGCTCACTGGAGCCCAGGAGGTCAAGGCCGCAGCGGGCTGAGGCTCCAGCCTGGGCGACACAGCAAGACCCTGTCTCAAGATGAAACGAATCTGATATCCCTGTGACCAGATCTTTTCCTTTAGGGCTGACAGATTTCATACCAGGATTAGTGGGCGCTGTGGAACAATCTGCTTTTCTTTTCCTTCCTCTGTCACCCACACTGGAGTGCAGTGTCGTGATCTCGGCGCGCTGCAGCCTCTGCTGCCTCAGCCTCCCAAGTAGCTGGGACTATAGGCACAAGCCATCAGGCCCAGCTAATGTTTTTGTATTTCTTGTAGAGACGGTGTCCATGTTACCCAGGCGATTTTTAAACTCCTGAGCTCAAAGTGATCTGCCCACCACGGCCTCCCGAAGTGCTGGGGCCAGCCATGTTTTTATTTTAATCCCTGCAGTATGATGACTTGTGGTGGATGGGAGAAACTTGAGGCTGAAAGCTTTCTGCAAAGAAACACACACACACACAGACATACACGTACACGGACACACAGAGACACACAGACACAGAGACACACAGACACAGAGACACACAGACACAGAGACACACAGACACAGAGACGCACAGAGACACACACACAGATAACACACATACACACAACCTGCATGGGCTCAGTAGGAGACGACTCCCAGCTCCCAGCAGCTCACAACTGAAACTCCCTGTTAGCAGCTGAGCTCGGCCACACACAATCCTTCCTGGTGACAGGCCGGAAGTTGAACGCCGTGGTGAGGTAACGGGGACTCCATTAGGGGAACCACACTGCGTCAGTCACCCAAGGACCAGGGCTGGCTGCACTGTGCTCATCCAGTTTATGGAGACAGTGTGTAATGGGGCCGGAACAGACAGCATGGAGGCAGATACTTATTCGCGGACAGAGTCTCGCTCTGTTGCTAGGCTGGAGCGTAGTGGCGCAATCTTGGCTCACTGCAATCCCCGCCTCCCGGGTTCCAGCGATTCTCCTGCCTCAGCCTCCCAAGTAGCTGGGATTATAGGCGCCCACCACCACGCCCAGCTATTTTTTTAAGAACATATATATATATGTATGTGTGTGTGTGTGTATATACACAAACGGGGTCTCACTATGTTGCCCAGGCTGGTCTAGAACTCCTAAGGTTTAAAAAAAAAAAAAAAAGTCTACAGCTCTACCACCCTGAACACGCCCGACCTCGTTTGATCTCGGAAGTTCAGCAGGGTCGGGCCTGGTTAGTACTTGGGTGGGAAACCACCTGGGAATGTCGGGTGCTGTAGGCATTTTTTATATGTTAAAAACAAACTCCTGAGGTCAACCAATCCACACACCTTGGTCTCCCGAAGTGCTGGAATGACAGGCATGAGCTACCACACCTGGCCGAGAAGTTTCATGACGCAGGTGGGTGTCCCAGTTTACAGCAGGCTGCCACTGCAGAAAGGCAACCGGCCTGGACTTCTGTCCTCGCGGAGGAGTCAGCTTCCTCCGGGGTCCTTCTCCCCTCCTTGGGCTGACCACGCTCCGTGGCTGTGGAGTAGAGGGATTTACTTCCTCAAGGTGTGCATTCGAACACATCTTAGGAGTCAGCTACGATGTTTTCTCTGTAGATTCTGTTTTTTGCCAGCTGGGAAGGACTGAAAATGACAACTGAATTCTCGACCCTCCACACCTGGCCACTGGCGTTTTCTTGAAATCTTAGCCATTTATGATCAAAGAATGACTTCTCTCGTTGAAAATCTGGGCGCCGGGCAGGGTGGCACATGCCTGTAATCCCAGCACTTTGGGAGGCTGAGGTGGGTGGATCACCTGACGTCGGGAGTTCGAGATCAGCCTGGCCAACATGGTGAACTCCCATCTCTACTAAAAATACAAAAAACTAACTGGGCATGGTGGCATGTGCCTGTAGTTCCAGCTACCCAGGAGGCTGAGGCAGGAGAATCGCTTGAACCCAAGAGACAGAGGTTGCAGCGAGCTGAGGTCATGCCATGCACTCCAGCCTGGGCGACAGAGTGAGACTCTAAAAACAAACACACACGTAATCCGGTTATACACAGACCAGCCGGGTGCGGTGACTCACACCTGTAATTCACACCTAGGACAAGCCAGGTTGTCAAAGCCAGAAAGTGAACAGCCACGTAATCCTATTAACAAATACCCAGGGCCAGGCGCAGCGGCTCACGTTTGTAATCCTAGCACTTTGGGAGGCCGAGGTAGATGGATCGCCTGAGGTCAGGAGTTCAAGACCAACCTGGACATGACAGTGAAACTCCATCTTTATTAAAAAACAAAAAAAAAACACAAATACACAGACTGGCCAGGTGCAATGGCTGACACCTGGAATCCCAGCACTTTGTGGGAGGCTGAGGCAGGCAGATCACTTGAGGTCCGGAGCTCCAGACTAGCCTGGACGGCATGGTGAAAACCCATCTCTAATAACAATAAAAAATTAGCTGGGCGTGGTGGTGCATGCCTGTAGTCCCAGCTACTCCGGAGGCTGAGGCCGGGGAGTCATTTGAACCCAGGAGGTGGAGGTTGCAGCGAGCTGAGATCGTGCCACTGTACTACGGCCTGGGCAACAGAGTGAGACTCTGTCTCAAAAACAAAACAAAATAAAGCCCCACAGATACACAGGTCTTAATAGAACGTAGCCGTTCCTCCCTCCCTCCATGGTCCAGGCCGGGATCCCATCCTGCATCCACCTCATTTAGTTGTCTCGCCTCCTCCTCCTCAGGTCTCTGTCTCACAGGACACTTTCAAAGACTCCCGAGGGTTATTCTGTAGAATGTCACTCAATTTACTTTCACCTGGTGATGAGCTAATGACCTCTGAGGTCATGCATGTTTGCCTGAGACCTCTCTACTAGAAAACTGCTGTTTTTCCATTTCTTTTAAAAATTTCTTTTCTTTTTGAGACGGAGTTTCGCTCTTGTTACCCAGGCTGGAGTGCAATGGCACGATCTTGGCTCACCGCAACCTCTGCCTCCTGGGTTCAGGCAATTCTCCTGCCTCAGCCTCCCGAGTAGCTGGGATTACAGGTGCGCGCCACCATGCCCAGCTAATTTTTTGTATTTTTAGTAGAGACGGGGTTTCACCATGTTGACCAGGATGGTCTCGATCTCTTGACCTCGTGATCCACCCGCCTCGACCTCCCAAAGTGCTAGGATTACAGGCGTGAGCCACCGCGCCCAGCCAAAAATTTCTATTTTTTTGAGACGGAGTATTGCTCTGTCACCAGGCTGGAGTAAAGTGGCGCCATCTTGGCTCACTGCAACCTCCATCTCCCCGATTCAAGCGATTCTCCTGCCTCAGCCTCCCGAATAGCTGGGATTACAGGTGCCCACCACCACGCCCGGCTAATTTTTGTATTTTTAGTAGACACAGGCTTTCTCCTAAACCCCATGTTGGCCAAGATGGTCTCGATCTCCTGACCTCATGATCTGCCCGCCTCGACCTCCCAAAGTGTTGGGATTGCAGGCGTGAGCCACCGCGCCCAGCCATTTATTTAAGAGATGGGTGGTCTCACCATATTGCTGGCCTCGAACCCCTGTGCTTGAAGGATCCACCCGTATTGGCTTACTAACGCGATGGATTATAGGTGTGAGGCACCGCACCAGGCCCACTCTTTTTCTCTTTGCAGTCTGTGGGGAATGCTGTTAGGCCGTGCAAAATCCTGTCTCCCATCCTACTTTCCCCCCAGCTAATTTCGAATATCGATGCAGACACATCTTGGCTGCGAAGATTTTGAGAAGTTTGGCTAATTTTTTTTTTTTTTTTTAGATTTTAATAATATTGGTAAGGAGCCAAATTACAGAATACCCTAGAATGTGGAATACAAAACCTCAGAGACGAAATAAAAAAGCGTGAAAATATAAAAGCACTTTAAAAAGGTAATAATCTTTAGGATAAAGCAAGCCTTTTCTTAACAAAGGTACTGAGCATGTTTAATAAAAATGAAATGAGATTAAAGAGAAGGAGCAGAGCCCCCTAGGACTTAGGAAGGTGACGTCTGTGTAGATGAAGGCATGGAGCCAGGGCACAGATGAGCTCTGAGCACCGAGGGGACTGCAAGAAACCGTCGCCACGTATGCAAAACTTCTCACAGTCCACTCATGGATAGGAATTAATTTTTATCTCCAGTTGCAGAGGGCCCTTGTAAATGAATCGTGTTGGCATTCGGAGGAGGGGCAACACATCCATGTTGGGGACCCCTCCCATCCACAGCCCCAGCTGCCACCATGGCAGGGCATGGGCTTCAGGGGCAACAAGGAGACACAGGCTGTCTCTTCCAGGAGAAACTCATTGTTCAGCTAAACGAAATGGAAGAGCTCCGTGTGACCAACAAACCAAAACTGAGCCAAAACAACAGGGGTCCCCGCCCCCAGAGGGATAATGTGCCACCGCCCTGTGTGCGGCAGGAGAGCAGGCATGGCGGAACTCCTGGTTCGGTTCCACTCGTCATCTGTCAGGACAGATGCGCCACCCTATGTCGGGTTCCGGGAGGGTGGGTGGGTGGCTGGGGGTTTCCCTCAACCCTGCAGCAAATACGTCAATGCTACTGCCATTTGTGGCCTCATTTTTTTCCAAGGGTGGTATATGCCACGCTTCACTCGGCCCGATGTTCACATCAGTGTGCTGCTTGTCCCCGGTAAGAACACAATTATTTATTTGTCCTTCCAGCACAGAGGAGGCACATGCAGCACTGAAGAGGGGCTGCCGGATTGTAGCGGATGACAAGCAGCTGACTCTCTGAAGCGCCAGCAGCATCCCAGCCGGCCAGGATCCAGTCCTGCGTACCAGGCCACCCAGGAAACCTTGATTTCCCTCATTCCCCGTACATTTCCGAACGGGAAGAGTTGTTAGGAAGTCACACGGCTGGTGAAGGACCCTGACCCCCAAACCTAACTCCAAGACCACCTGAAGGAGCCTCCAAAGATCGCCAAGCTCCTCGGAATCCCGGGGGCGAGGCCGCCCCCTCGACAGGCCCCGCCCCTCCTCAGGCCCCGCCCCCTCCTCAGGCCCCGCCCCTTGACAAAAGTCCCACCCCAAGATGGCTGCCCCGGGCGGTGGAGAGGGCGGGGCGCGCCGGGTCACGTGGTCCCGCCGATGCCTACGTGGCCTCCAGCGGACGCCCCACGTGTCCCTCGCCGCGCCTCGTCCACCCGCCCCGGCCCTGAGGACCCTAGTCCAACATGGCGGCGCCCAGCGGAGGGCGGAACGGCGTCTGCGCGGGGTTGTGGGCCGCGCTGCTCCTAGGGGCGGTGGCGCTGAGGCCAGTGGAGGCGGTGTCCGAGCCCACGACGGTAGCGTTTGACGTGCGGCCTGGCGGCGTCGTGCACTCCTTCTCCCAGAACGTGGGCCCGGGGGTACGTGCCACCGCCGTCCAGGGTATTTGAGCGCTGGCAGGCACGGGGAGGGAGCGCGGAGCACTGAGGGCGGGTCCTGAGGAAGGGGCGCGGACTGCGAACGTGGGTACCGAGGAAGGGGCGCGGACTCTTGTTAGGGTCGGAGGCTGAGTGGCGGACGCCGGACCACGAGGCCGGGGTCATCACTGGGGCGGGAGTGAACTAGGGAGCGGGGCCTTGTGGGCGCCGGCGGCGTTGAGGGGGCGTGGTCACCTGTCACCTGCCCAGAGTGATCAGGCAGCCCTGCCCTCCAGACGCAGAGGTGGGATGGGAGTAGTGATGTGAGCGGCCGGGGGCTGGGGGTATCTGCCCTCCTGGGCCTGAAGGAAGTCTGTGGCTGCCGCTCCGACGAGGGAGGAAGTGCGTCTTCCTTCCATTGCACAAAGTTCCCCCTCACCTAGGGTGTGAGGCTGGGCCCTTCTTGCCTGGAGGCAGCAGGCTTGGGGCTAGGCCAGCCGTCTACTCAGCTTGTCGGGAAAGCCCCTTTCCTTCTCAGCCTCGCTTTCCCTGCCTGTAACCGCAGTATCCATACAGTTTTTTGACTATTTCCTTCTTTTTTTTTTTTAGACTGGAGTGCAGTGGCATGATCTTGGCTCACTGCAACCTCTGCCTCCCGAGTTCAAGTGATTCTCCTGCCTCAAGTCTCCCAAGTAGCTGGGATTATAGGCGCGCACCACCATGCCTAGCCAACTTTTGTATTATTAGTAGCAGTGCAGTTTTGCTGCGTTGGCAAGGCTGTTCGCAAACTCCTGACCTCAAGCCACCTGATCACTTCACCCTCCCCAAGTGCTGGTACAGCGTGAGCCACCGTGCCAGGCTCGTTTGTTGGCTACTTACTTATAGCTAGGTGTGATGCCAAGTCCTTTGTATGTTAAGCCCAAGTTACAGATGATAAAATGCTTCAGATAAAAAAGAGAAATAGAGAAAATAGAGGCTCAGAAAGGTTTTCACTTGTCCAGGGTCCCTAGGTGTTCCTGCTGTTCTGTTTTGTTTTGTTTTTTTAGACAGAGTTTGGCTCTTGTTGCCCAGGCTGGAGTGCAATGGTGTGATCTCTGCTCACCAAAACCTCTGCCTCCCAGGTTCAAGCGATTCTCCTACTGCAGCCTCCCAAGCAGCTGGGATTACAGGCATGCACCACCATGCTTGGCTAATTTTTTGTATTTTCAGTAGAGATGGGGTTTCTCCATGTTGGTCAGGCCGGTCTCGAACTCCTGACCTCAGGTGATCTGCCTGCCTCGGCCTCCCAAAGTGCTGGGATTACAGGCGTGAGCCACTGCGCCTGGCCTGGTATTCCTGCTGTCAAAGCCCGTGTTCCTAGAGGGATGGGTGCTGGAGTGAGGGTGAGCTCCTGCTTCTTGTTCTTCATCCCCCAGAGGCCATGTGGGTTATTTGTTGTGACCCAGGAGCTCCACAGAAGGAAGGCAGATAGGGGGCGCCTGGTAGGGCTGACCCCCACAGACATCAGCCAGAGGGATCTCACTTTGCCTCTTTCACTTTTAGTACAGATGTTTGAAAGTGGAGTCTTGATTTTTGGCCTCCTTAGGCCCTGAACTTCTTTTGCACTAAAGATTACCTTCTAGCCGGGTGTGGTGGCTCTTGTCTGTAACCCTAATAATTTGGGAGGCCAAGGTGGGACGATCACTTGAGGCCAGGACTTCAAGACCCACCTGGGCTACGTAGTGTGACCTTGTCTCTACACATAATTTTAAAAATTGGCTAGTGGGCAGGCGCAGTGGCTCACGCCTATAATCCCAGCAGTTTGGGAGGCCCAGGTGGGTGATCACGAGGTCAGGAATTCCAGACCAGCTTGGCCAATATGGTGACACCCCATCTCTACTAACAGTACAAAAATTAGCCGGGCATGGTGGCAGGCATCTGTATTCCCAGCTACTTGGGAGGCTGCGGCAGAAGAATCGCTTGAACCTGCGAGACGGAGGTTGCAGTGAGCCGAGATCACACCACTGTACTCCAGCCTGGGTGACAGAGTGAGACTTCATCCCCCAACCCCCAAAAAAGAAAAAAATTGGCCAGGGCCAGGCGTAGTGGCTCATGCCTATAATCCCAGCACTTTGGGAGGGCCAGGTGGGCGGATCATGTGAGACCAGGAATTCAAGGCTAGCCTGGTCAATATAACAAGACACTATCTCTACTAAAAATACAAAAATTAGCCGGGCCTGGTGGCGCACACCTGTAGTCCCAGCTGCTCAGGAGGCTGAGGCATTAGAATCACGTGAACCTGGAAGGCAGAGGTTGCAGTGAGCTGAGATCGTGCCACTGCACTCCAGCCTGGGCAATAGAACAAGACTCTGTCTCAAAAAAAAAAAAGAGAGAATAAAAATTAGCCGGGTGTGGTGGTTTCACACCTATTGTCTCAGTTACTTCAGAGGCTAAGGCAGGAGGATGGCTCAAACCTGGGGGGGTTGAGGCTTCGGTGAGCTGTGATTTCGATCATGCACACCAGCCTAGGTGACAACGAGACCCTGTCTCTTAAACAAAATAAAAATTACCTTCTACCAGCCAGGCATGGTGGCTCATGCTGTAATCCCAGCACTCCGGCAGGCCAGTGCAGGCAGATCATGAGGTTGGGAGTTCAAGAGCAGCCTGGTCAACGTGGTGAAACCTTGTCTGTATTAATAATTAAAAAATTAGCCAGGCGTGGTGGTGCGCGCCTGCAGTCCCAGCTACTTGGATGGCTGAAGCAGGAGAATCGCTTGAACCCAGAAGGCAGAGGTTGCAGTGAGCCGAGATTGCACCATTGCCCTCCAGCTTTGGGTGATAGATCAAGACTCTGTCTCATGGGGGAAAAAATAAAAATTACCTTCTACCAAACCTCTTTTTTTCCTTCCATTCTCTAGGACAAATATACGTGTATGTTCACTTATGCCTCTCAAGGAGGGACCAATGAGGTGAGTTGTGCCAAGTCCCTTTTGCTTCCATGACAGCATCTGTTGTACGGAGCTGTTTGGCAGCAGGCAGCGGGGTTGGGTCTCATACAACACCTTACCCTCATTGAATGATTCTTCCTGAACCAATGGAAAGGGAGAGTATTGGCATTGAACAGTGATCGCAGATTCTGCTGTCATTATTCCACAGAGCAGGCAAATATCTGGACAAGAGGAGGGATGGGAGCCTGCCAGCCCCAGGAGCATCTGTTGCCATGTTGTGTTCTATGCTCAGTGTGACAGGTTATCACAGCTGAGGGCTTAAAACAGCACCCACGTATTATCTCACAGCTCTGAGGGTCAGAAGCCTGGGTCAGCTCAGCTGTGTGCTTCATAAAACCAAACTCAGGGTATCACAGGCCAGGCATGTGGCTCATGCCTCTAATCCCAGCACTTTGCGAGGCCGAGGCAGGTGGATCATCTGAGATTAGAAGTTCAAGACCAGCCTGGCCAAGATGGTGAAATCCCATCTCTACTAAAAATACAAAAATTAGCCAGGCGTGGTGGCACATGCCTGTAGTCCCAGCGACTCGGGAGGCTGAGGCAGGAGAATCACTTGAACTCAGGAGGTGGAGGTTGCAGTGAGCCAAGATAGTGCCACTGCACTCCAGCCTGGGCGACAAGTGAGACTCCATCTCAATAGAGAGAGAGAGAGAGGTCACCGGCAAGGCGTGGTGGCTCATGCCCATCTCCACAGAAAATGAACAGATTAGCTGGGCGTGGTGGTGTGCACCTTTGGTTCTAGCTGTTTCGGAGACTGACATGGGAGGATCTCTGTCTCAAAAAAAAGAAGTGATTTGAAGCACATGGACACAGATACCACTCCACTGCTGGCCTCGAGGGCACCACAGGGCAGGGAGTGCAGGCGGCCTCGAGGAGCTGAGAACAGCCTCTGGCCGGCAGCAAGGAAATGAGGACTAACAGCCTCTGGCCGGCAGCAAGGAAATGAGGACTAACAGCCTCTGGCCAGCAGCAAGGAAATGAGGACTTCAGTCCTGCAATCGAGAGGAAATGAAAGCTGTCACGGCCACAAGAGCTTGGAAGAGGACCTCCAGCTCCCATTGAGAGCCTGGCCCGGCGAACACCTTGAGATGGGGTTTCATCATGTTGACCAGGCTGACCTTGCACTCCTGGCCTCAAATGATAGGCCCACCTCAGCCTCCCAGAGTGCTGGGATTACAGGCGTGAGCCACCGGCCCGACCTCCTAGAGATTGTTCCGTATCCTGTGTAATGTGCTTCAGTTGCGCGGACACGTGGAGTTGACTGGACAGCCGCATGCTGAAGGATTCAGGGTTACTTCCAGTCAGCCCGGGAATGACCTTGGCTGGAGTTCATTGTACAAGTGCGTTTACATCTATGGGAAAACCACCCAGAAGTGGGATTCCTGGGTCCGTTTTTTTTCTTTTCTTTTTTTTTTTTTTTTTTTAAGACGGAGACTCCACTGTTGCCCAGGCTATATTGCCATGGTGTGATCTCGGCTCAGCGCAGTCTCTGCCTCCTGGGTTCAAGCAATTCTCCTGCCTCAGCCACCTGAGTAGCTGAGACTACAGGCATACACCACCATGCCCAGCTAATTTTTTTGCATTTTTAGTAGAGATAGGGTTTCACCATGTTGCCCAGGATGGTCTCAGTCTCCTGACTTTGTGATATGCGGATATGCCGCCTTGGCCTCCCAAAGTGTTGGGGTTACTGGCGTGAGCCACTGGGCCCAGCCTTTTTTTTTTTTTTAATAGGGACAGGGTTTCACCATGTTGGCCAGCCTGGTCGCAAAGGTCCATTTTCTTTTTCTTTTTTGAGACAGAGTCTCAGTCTGTCTCCAGGCTGGAGTGCAGTGGCGCGATCTCAGCTCACTGTAACCTCCACCTCCCAGGTTTAAGCAATTCTCATGCCTCAGCCTCCTGAGTAGCTGGGAATACAGGAGTGTATCACCACGCCCAGCTAATTTTTGTATTTTTAGTAGAGACGGGGTTTCACTATGTTGGTCAGGATGGTCTTGATCTCTTAACCTTTTGATCCACCCACCTCAGCCTCCCACAGTGCTGGGATTGCAGGTGTGAGCCACCATGCCTGGCCCAGTTTTACTTTTAAGAAAATGGACCGGCTGGGCGCCGTGGCTCACGCCTGTAATCCCAGCACTTTGGGAGGCCGAGGCGGGTAGATGACCTTAGGTTGGGAGATCGACACCAGCCTGGCCAACATGGTGAAGCCCCATCTCTACTAAAAGTACAATAATTATCAGGGCGTGGTGGCAGGCGCCTGTAATCCTAGGTACTTGGGGGCATGGTGGCAGGCGCCTGTAATCCTAGGTACTTGGGGGCATGGTGGCAGGCGCCTGTAATCCTAGGTACTTGGGGGCGTGGTGGCAGGTGCCTGTAATCCTAGGTACTTGGGGGCATGGTGGCAGGCGCCTGTAATCCTAGGTACTTGGGGGCCTGGTGGCAGGCACCTGTAATCCTAGGTACTTGGGAGGCTGAGGCAGAAGAATGGCCTGAACCTGTGAGGCGGAGGCCCGAGACCGTGCACTGCACTCCAGCCTGGGTGATGGAGTGAGACCGTGTCTCCAGAAAAAAAAAAAAAAAAAAATGTAAAACTGTATGTTTTGAGAGCATGGTAGATTTACAGTTGTAAGAAATCCTACAGAGAGGGCTGGGCTTGGTGGCTTACACCTGTAATCATAGCACTTTAGGAGGCCAAGGTGGGTGGATCACGAGGTTGGGAGTTTGCGACCAGCCTGGCCAATATAGTGAGACCCCATCTGTACTAAAAATACAAAAAAAGAAAGAAAAGAAAGAAATCCAGAGAGAGATTCAAGTACTCTTTAACCAGTTCCCCAGTGGTCACATCCTGCAAGATGCCGGTTGTTTTACAGACGGGGATCTTGGAATGTTGCCCCGGCTGGTCTTGAACTCCTGGGTTCCAGTGATCATCCCATCTCGGCCTCCCAAAGTGCTGGGATGAGAGGCGTGAGCCACCCTGCCCGGCCTGCGTTCTCCATTTTGCTTGTAGTTGTTGCGGCCCCACCGATGCCGTGGGAGAGCCTTGGCTTCCACACGCACGTGGTGTGTGAGCAGACCGCGGGCTTTTGCCCTTCTGACTTGTGAGAAACGGGCATCTTGCTGCAGTTCAGCTTGCTTATCTGTTGTTTTCATAGATGATACTGGACATCTTTGCATATGTTTAAGAGTTGTTCTCAGGCCTGGCGTGGTGGCTTATGTCTGTAATCCAAGCACTTTGGGAGGCCAGGGTGGGAGGATTGCTTGAGGCCAGGAGGTGGAGACCAGCCTGGGCAATATAGCAAGACAGCGCAAAACAGAAAGACCAGCTGAGTGTGTGCTGGTGACCATACGTCTGGTCCCAGCTCCTAGCGAGGCTGAGGTGGGAGCATCACTTGAGCCCAGGAGGTGGAGGTTGCCGTGAGCTGAGATCACGCCACTGCACTCCAGCTGGGCCACTGAGAGACACCATTTTTAAAAAAAAAAAAAAGCGTTCTTGTTTCTCCATCACTGGGAGCCGCTTCAGGGTGGTTTGCACTAGAGGCACCACTTTCACTGGAAGGACATGGCTCAGGCAGACTCCCTGATCACAGGTGGGCAGCAAACCTGAGCCTCCGGGAGGGCAGGGCGGGGGTGGTTGGCCAGCCCCTGAACCAGGAGGCACAGCTGGAACTCGTCAGGAGTCCCCGTGTGTCCCGCTGACCCGTGCCGTCTTCTCTCCCCAGCAATGGCAGATGAGCCTGGGGACCAGCGAAGACAACCAGCACTTCACCTGCACCATCTGGAGGTGAGACTCGGGGTAGGGACGACATTGCCGGCTGCTGCGGGCCTGCCCTGTGGCCTCAAGAGCAACTTCGGAAGGCAGGGAAGGGGAGGGGAAGAGGACGGACAGACAGATGGTTGCACCGCTAGAGGGGAACACAGGCCAGTGGGGACTCGTGCACGTGGAGGTGGGGGCTTCCACACGGGGCAGCAGCGTCGCTGGGGTGGGAGTGCTCCTCAAGGAAGTGCATTGACGCTGAGGCTGGGGGAGACGGGGGGTGGGGGGGCCTGTGTGGGGCAACGTCCCAGGGAGGGTGAAGCAGCTCAGACGGTCCAGAGCAAGGGGGAAGGGCCTGGGAAGGCCCCGAAAGGCTCTATCCTTCCTTAAGCATGACACAAAGTCACCAAGGGGCTTTTTGGCAATTTTTTTTTTTTGAGATGGAGTCTTGCTCTGTTGCCCAGGCTGGAGTGCAGTGGTGTGATCTCGGCTCACTGCAACCTCTGCCTCCCGGGTTCAACCAATTCTCCTGCCTCAATCTCCCGAGTAGTTGGGATTACAGGCGCGTGCCACCACACCTGGCTAATTTTTGTGTTTTTAGTCGAGACGGGGTTTCACCATGTTGGCCAGGCTGGTCTCAACCTCCTGGCCTCAGGTGATCCGCCCACCCTGGCCTCCCAGAGTGCTGGGATTACAGGGGTCAGCCACCTTGCCTGGCCCTTTTTGGCAATATTTAAAAATTGAGATAAAATGCAGCATTTTAAGCTCACACTTCAGCGGCATGTGGTACTTTCCCAGAGGTGCCCAGACCTCTGTCTGCATCCAAAACGTTTTCATCCCCTGAAAAGAAACTGTTCCCATCAGAGTCACTCCCCTTCACTGGGGCCTGGCAGCCATGCAGCCTCTTCCTGTCTCTGTGGATGGGCCTGTCCTGGACATTTCATAGAAATGGAATCAAGCCCTGTGTGGCCTTTGGTGTCTGGCGTCTCTCACCGAGCAGGACGTCCTCAAAGCTAATCCTCCCTGAGGTCTGTGTCAGCCTCATTTCTCTTCCTGGCTGAGTCCTATTCCAGAGGGCTCCCTGCAGGAACCTGCAGAGCTCAGATCCCTCTGGCTGAAGGAGGCAGGCTGAGGCAGGAGCCCTCCAGGCACCGACCAGGAAGGACGGGGAGGGCACAGATGGGAGGCTGCGTAGAAGGAGGAGGGGGCGGGGGGGAGGGTGCAGATGGGAGGCTGTGTAGGAGGAGGAGGGGAGGAAGGGAGGGTGCAGATGGGTGGCTGTGTAGGAGGAGGAGGGGGAGGGAGGGAGGGTGCAGATGGAAGGCTGTGGAGGAGGAGGAGGGGTGGGGGCAGATTGTAAATGGAGGCTGTGTAGAATGAAGATGGCGAGGGCACAGATTGGAAGCTGTAGAATCAGCCAACTGGGGTGGGAGGAGGAGAGAGGTGCTGGGCCGAGTCTTGGTGGAACTGGTGGGGCAGGTGCAGTTCGGGCTGGGGAAGAGGCAGACTGGGGATGAGCCGGGTGGGTAACAGGTGTGGGAGGCTGTGGGGTCATGGGTGTGGAGGTTTGGACGATGCCATCTCCCGAGGAGTGTGTCCTGCCAGTAGGGGCCCCAGCATGTCCTCCTGTGTCCCTTCAGGCAGGTCTTTACCAGCATGTTGTCTCTGAAGGACCCGCCTGGTGGCTCATAGCCGTCTGGGGTGCAGACATCTGGGAATCAGATTGCACCGTCTTCCACCTGGCCAACAGACATGCTCTGGGTCCACAGCCCCTCCCCAAGTCTCCCCACACTGCCTGGTTCTGCCCCTGCCACCATCCTCAGTCAGGCTCATGGTTTATAGGTCCCCGGCTCCACCTGTCCCTCTCATTCTCGTAACCCCACGGCCTCGATCCTGGCTTGATCCGGGAGTGGACGTGAAGGGAAGGAAGCCCTCAGGCCCCCAGTGGGGAGGGGCTCAGAGGACTTCAGGAATCTTGTCCCTTCTTCCCTGATCCTCGGTCCAGAATGTCTCAGCCCAAACAGTGGGTGTTTCTTGAGTATTTATTTTGTGCAGACATTTTGGAGGGAGAACTCCAGGCTGTAGTTCCAAACGTGACGAAGGCACGTTGACAGATGGGCGATGGAGACCAGGGAGTGGCAACGTTTAATTAAAGGACAGGGTGTGATTTGATGCCACATGTGGGCGTTGGCCCGCCGTCCCCTTCGGGGCGCTTCACAAACAGCAGACGTTTACTGAGTCCTTTCCGAGGAGATTCTCACCAGCTCCATGGGACTGGCCATGTTACAGGCAGCCCGAGGCCCCAGGAGGCACCGGCAGGATCATTGAGAGGAGACAGGCCCGATCAGCTCAGAGAGACCCTTCAGAGGCCTGGGACCCTCTGAGCCCAGGCCGCCCTATAGTCATGGGGAGGCCCACAGTCGCCATCATGTCTGCAGCCACCGCCCCAAAAAGATCCCTGAGTGCCGGCTCCCCAGAGGGCATCCGGGCGGGCACAGGCCAGGAGCAGTTGAGATGGGGGTCGGGCTTACCCTGAGCCTGAACCCTCCTGTCCAAACCCCGAAAAACTCCCCAGGAACATGCTCAGCCCAGAGACCTGCCACCCTAGGCCTCCCCGTCTCAGACAGTGACTGGCCCTCCCTGACCTGGCCTGTTGGCAGCTGCTAGGGCTTAAAGGACAACCTAGAGGCTCCCTGGATCCCCCACCCCACCCATGCCCACAGAACCCCAGCCACAGATGTGGCCCCCCTGTTGTCCCTCCACCCCCATCGCACTCTCTTCACACGGCCAGAAGTGCTCTTCACACCAGAGATGCCATCATCCCCTGTTGTCACCTTCTGGCACCTTCCACCACTCCAGTTCCATAGAAGCCCCCGTTAACAGCCTCCTGGAGACCTGGGCACATGCTCCTCCCCTTTCCTAGTTAACTCCTGTACTTCTTGCCCTCTGGGAAGCCTTTACTGGCCTCTCATTGCCCAGCCCCCGCCAGCACCACGGTACCAGGATTGCTGTCAGCACCTGAGAGAGAAGCCATGTGCAGTGAATGGACATGGGGTTCTGTCCCTGAGCAGCTCTTGGCCCATGGGGGAGAGAGGCGCGTCTGTGAATGAGCTGGAAGAACATTCTAGCACAAAGGGGCCGAGCACAGTGGCTCACGCCTGTAATCCCAGCACTTTGGGAGGCTGAGGCGGGCATATCACTTGAGGTCAGGGGTTCAAGACCAGCCTGGGCAAAATAGTGAAAGCACATCTCTACTAAAAATACAAACATTAGCCAGGCATGGTGGCAGCCACTTGTAATCCCAGCTACTCGGGAGGCGGAGGCAGGAGAATTACTTAAACCCAGAAGGCAGAGGCTGCAGTGAGCTGTGATGGTGCCATTGCATTCCAGCCTGGGCAGCAGAGTGAGACTCTGTCTCCATAAAAACAAAAAGAAACATGGCACAAAGGAAGGGGGGTCTGATGTTGAGAGGGCCCATCCGTCCTTCCCAGAGTCAGCAGTGGGCAGGAGCAGTGTCCATGCTGAGAAGCAGGCATGAGACCTGCTGCCCCCAGCCCGGGTCCCTGCTGGGGCTACTTGCAGGGCACCCAGACCCAGGCCCAGCAGCCCTGGCCTGACGCCCTCGTCCTCCTTCCTCTGCAGGCCCCAGGGGAAGTCCTACCTGTTCTTCACAGAGTTCAAGGCGGAGGTGCGGGGCGCTCAGATCGAGTACGCCATGGCCTATGTGAGTATCCTGGGTCGGGGCAGGCTCTGAGCGTGGCTTCTGTGCACGGGGCAGCTGTGGCATGTCCTGCCACGAGGGTGGCTTCTGTGCACGGGGCAGCTGTGGCATGTCCTGCCACGAGTGTGGCTTCTGTGCACGGGGCAGCTGTGGCATGTCCTGCCACGAGGGTGGCTTCTGTGCACGGGGCAGCTGTGGCATGTCCTGCCACGAGGGTGGCTTCTGTGCACGGGGCAGCTTTGGCATGTCCTGCCACGAGGGTGGCTTCTGTGCACGGGGCAGCTGTGGCATGTCCTGCCACGAGGGTGGCTTCTGTGCACGGGGCAGCTGTGGCATGTCCTGCCACGAGGGTGGCTTCTGTGCACGGGGCAGCTGTGGCATGTCCTGCCATGAGAGGGCTCCATGGGGACAGGGAGGAGAGGGAACAGCCAGTCGTGCAGAGGGAGGGGATGTAACTTGGAGGATCCTGACACACAGACCCCCCCCCCAGGCCAGGAGACGCCGGGGTCTGGGGGTTCGGTAACCTGCCTCTGCTGGCTTCTCTTGTATATGCCAGAAAAACCTCCAGGCTGGGTGTGGTGGCTCACACCTGTAATCCCAGCACTTTGGGAGGCTGAGGCAGGAGGATTGCTTGAGACCAGGAATTCAATACCAGGCTAGGCAACATAGCAAGACCCTATATCTATCAAATTAAAAAAAAAAAAGGCCAGGCGTGGTGGCGTGCACCTGTCCCAGCTACCTGGGAGGCTGAGGCAGGAGGATTGCTTGAGGCCAGGACTTTGAAGCCGCAGTGGGCTCTGATCGCACCACTGCACTGTAGCCTGGACAGTAGAGTGAGGGCCTGGCTCAAAAAAAAAAAAAAAAAAAAAATCTCCTCTGCCTTTTTAGTGAAAGTGCACAGGTTTAGTCTCTGCTTCTCTGGAAAGCAAACGGAATCTTCTTTCTAGTGATGATAAGCATTGAAATGGCCCCGCTAAAGTTCCGCTCCTCCTCTTTCAGTCTAAAGCAGCATTTGAAAGGGAAAGCGACGTCCCCCTGAAAAATGAGGAATTTGAAGTGACCAAAACATCAGGTACCGAAAGATGGGGATGGGGTAGGGGTGACGACACCCCCTTGCAAGCACGGGCAGTCGGGGGCGGTGTGAGGAGGGAGGTCAGCCAGAGGGTCCTAGAGACTGTAGACCAGGCATCCACGTACTGGTTTTGTAAAGGCCACCTCGTCAGTATCTTCAGCTTTGTGGCACTGTGGGTTCTGTCTGAGCCATGCCGTGTGGCACAAAGGTGCTGTACACAGTGTGTCCACGAGTGGGTGTGCACCAGAACCTTATCTTAGCCGGGCGTCCTGCTAGGAGGCCACAGTGGGAGGGTTATTTGAGCTAAGGAGGTCAAGACCAGCCTGGGCAACACAGTGAGACCCTGTTGCTACAAAAATTAGGCTGGGTGTGGTGGTTCATGCCTGTAATCCCAGCACTTTGGGAAGCCAAGGCAGGCAGATCACTTGAGGTCGGGAGTTCGAGAGCAGCCTGGCAAACGTGGCGTCTGCTAAGATGTTGGCATCTCTGGTGTGAAGAGCGTTCTGGCCATGTGAGAAAGAGTGACGCGGATGGAGGGGCAGCAGGGGCCACTTTTGTGGCTGAGGTTCTGTGTGCGTGGGGGGTGGGGTATCCAGGGAGCCACTAGATTTAGTCGACAAACCCCATGTCTACTAAAAATACAAAAATATTAGCCAGGTGTGATGGTGCATACCTGTAGTCCCAACTACTCGGGAGGCTGCGGCAGGAGAATTGCTGGAACCCAGGAGGCAGAGGTTGCACTGAGCTGAGATGGTGCCATTACACTCCAGCCTGGGAGACAGAAGGAGATTTCATATCAAAAAGCAAAACAAAACAAACTTAGCCGGGCATGGCGGTACACGCCTGTAGTCCCAGCTACGCGGGAGGCTGAGGTGAGAGGATTGCTTGAGCCCAGGAGGTCGAGGCTGCGTTGAGGCATAATCATACTGCTGCACTCCAGCCTGGGCGTCAGTGAGACCATCTCAGAAACGGTAAACAGGGCTGGACGCAGTGGTTCACGCCTGTAATCCCAGCACTTCGGGAGGCTGAGATGGGCGATCACCTGAGGTCAGGAGCTACAGACCAGCCTGGCTAACATGGTGAAAATACCCAGATTAGCCAGGTGCGTTTGCATGTGTTTGTAATCCCAGCTACTCAGGAGGCTGAAGCAGAGAATCGCTTGAACTTGGAAGTACAGGTTGCAGTGAGCCAAGACTGCACCCCTGCACTCCAGCCTGTGCGATACAGACTCCTGTCTCAAAACAATAAATCAATAAAAAAAAAGACAAAGTAGAAGCGATCAGGGTGTTGAGGCTGGGATTGTGCTGTGCTGAGGGGCCTGCAGGGGTCACTGGGAAACATCAGGGCCCTCCTGTGGTTGCCTGAGAAGCACCCGTGTCCTCAAGTCACGTTCAGCTGCCTGGGGCCAATGCTGAGCAGGAAGAGGAATGCCGAGCTGGGGCGAGAGTGAGCGGTGAGGGAGCGGGCGGAGGAGGTGGGGCCGTAGCAGTGGGTGTAGCAGTGGAAGCCAGCGTTCTGACCCTGCTCGAAAAGTGTCATGTGGTCCTCAGACAGGTTCACCCAGTGAGCAAGAGCTCTTGCAGCCTGACCCACCCTGCATCCTGTTCAGGCCTGGATCCTCTCCTTCCTGGGCTTCTTCCTGCCCCTCCTCCCATCCTTTCTCGACAGGATGGCACAGATGACCAGGGTTCTTCCCACCTCAGGTCTTCCTGTGGCTTCCCGCTTCCTGCCATCTGTGTTAGCCCCACTGACCTCACACTCCATGCCACTGATTTTTCTGTCTGTCACCTATAAGACTTTCAGTGCCCGGGGCCTTTTCTCATGGGAGTCCGCTTTGGGGACTGCTCCGCTTCCCTGCTCTGCCCCCACCATGGGCCCCGCTCCAAATCCTCAGGACTTCTGAGATTTTTCAGTATTGAGGGCCCGACCTTGTGTTTCTTTCTTGCAGTGGCTCACAGGCCCGGGGCATTCAAGGCTGAGCTGTCCAAGCTGGTGATCGTGGCCAAGGCATCGCACACTGAGCTGTGACCAGCAGCCCTGCTGTGGGTGGCGCTTTCTCATCTCCACTGAAGCTGAAGGGGCCTGGGCACTGAAAGGGCCGGCACATCACTGGTTTTCTAGGAAGGATTCTAAGTTTTCTGCCTGGGCTGACGTTGTCTTGTCCAGAGGGGCATGAAGGGCAGCTGAGGCCCTGGGGCAGAGAACAGCGAGCCCAGGGCCCTGCTGGGTCCCGACAGCTTCCCCGTCCCCACTTCTTGCTGAGCTCTTCTGGACTCAGGATCAGGGGAACAAAGAGGGTGGGAACACAAGGGTCAAGCTGGGGCAAGCAGCCATGCTCCCCCACCCCCAGCCCGTGCCCTTCACGGCCAGCAGGGCTGCCTTCCTGTGTTTGCCCGGGGGACCTCCTTTCAGATGAACTGGGGGGAGAGATGTTTTTTCATATTTCAATAAATAAGACCGTTAAAAAGCACCCCGAGAGCCTGGGCCCTCCTGGCTGGGCATTGCGGGTCAGGGTCTCAGAAGTGGTCTCAGTCTCAGGGTGGCGTTGTCTCTGGGTGGGACTTTTCTGCAGGCATCAAAGCTCTGGATCCCAAGGCAGCTGTCTGTGAACTCTTGCCCCCTTTCCCCTTGGCACTTGCTGTCCCTGGGCCCCCTACATGCTGTGAATTCACTCTCAGGTGCCTGCGGCTGCCAGAGGCCCCACCGCAGGACGGTGTCCAAGGCCAACCTGCTCTCCAGAGCCTGGGAGCATTGGTTTCTTTTACTTTTCTTTTGAGACAGGGTCTTGCCCTGTCACCCAGGCTGGAGTGCAGTGGCGCAGTCAGCTCACTGCAACCTCCACCTCCTGGGCTCAGGTGATCCTCTCGCCCCAGCCTCCCAAGTAGCTGGGACTATAGGCATGCGCCACCACACCCGGCTAATTTCTGTATCTTTTGGATAGAGACGGGGTTTTGCCATGTTGCTCAGGCTGGCTTTGGACTCCTGGGCTCAAGCGATCTACCTGCCTCAGCCTCCCAAAGTGCTGGGAGGAGGCGTGAGCCGCTGTGGCCACCCTCCCTTAGATTTCTGCAGCTGGGTTGCAGCACGATGACTTTAAAAAACAAAAACAGGTGGTTTACCCCACTAAATCCCAGCACTCTGAGAGGCTAAGCCGGGAGAATCCTCAGGATCAGGGGAACAAAGAGGATGGGAAGACAGCGGTTAAGCTGGGGAAAGCAGCTATGCTTCACACTAGGAGTTCAAGACCAGCTTGGGCAACATAGCAAGATCCCCATCTCTATAAAAAAAATTAAAAATTTAAAAATTAGCTAGGCATGATGGTGCCCACCTGTAATTTCAGCTACTCCGGAGCCTGAGGCAGGAGAATCGCTTGAACCCAGGAGTCCAGGGCAGCAGTGGGCAGAGATCGAGCCTCTGCAGTCCAGCCTGGGCCACAGAGCGACATCCTGTCTTAAATGAAAAACAAAAAAAACCAGTCAGCCTTGACTTCCCATTACACACTCTATGCCACCATGTGAGGAAAGGCTTGACAGCCGAGCACGTCGGCAGGAAGGGCCCCTAGACCAAGGGTTCGGAGGTCCTGGGATGCCTCCAGGGCTGGGAGCCTTTCCAGCTCTCGACGCTGAGGCTCCACAGGACGTCCTGTGCAGAAGAGGCTGTGGGAAACGGTGCCCACCGCCCAGATCCTGGCCAAGGAGCGGGGCCTCTTTCCCGGTCAGCTGGGAATCCCTGAAGCTTCCGGATCTCTGGCTGCCATAAGGATTCTTCCCCAAGTGGCCTTGTGTGCCAGCAGCAATCAGGGCCTCTTGGGACACGCAGGAGCTTCCCCTCAGACCCCGTGTGTGCATGTGTGTGCTTTTTTTTTTCTCTCCCTTTTTTGCTCTGTTGCCCAGGCTGGAGTGCAATGGCGCGATCTCGGCTCATTGCAACATCCGCCTCCCAGGTTCATGGGATTCTCATGCCTCAACCTCCTGAGTAGCTGGGAATACAGGCGCATACCACCACACCTGGCTAATTTTTTGTATTTTTAGTAGGGACAGGGTTTCACTGTATTGGCCAGACTGGTCTGGAACTCCTGACCTTGCGATCTGCCTGCCTTGGCCTCCCAAAGTGCTGGGATTACAGGTGTGAGCCACCACGCCCGGGAGTTGGAGATACGGGGTTTCACCGTAGTGGCCAGGCTTGTCTTGAACTCCTGACCTTGTGATCCACCCGCCTTAACCTCCCAAAGTGCTGGGATTACAGGCGTTAGCCATCATATCCAGCCTTTTTTTTTTTTGAGACCGGACCTGGCTCCAGCACCGCGGCTGGAATGCAGTGGTGCGATCTCAGCTCACTGCAGCCTCTACCTCCTGGGTCCAAGCCATCCTCCCAGACAGCTGGGGACCACAGGTGCATGCCACCCTGACCAGCCATAATTTTTTATTTTTAAATTTTATTTCTGAGTTGCCCAGGCTGGAGTGTAGTGGCACAATCTTGGCTCACTGCAACCTCCACCTTCCAGGTTCAGGTGATTCTCCTGCCTCAGCCTCCCAAGTAGCTGGGATTACAGGTGCCCACCACTATGCCTGGCTAATCTGTGTACTTTTTAGTAGAGATGGGGTTTCACCATATTGACCAGGCTGGTCTGGAACTCCTGACCTTTAGTGATCCGCCCACCTCGGCTTCCCAAAGTGCTGGGATTACAGGTATGAGCCACCACTCCCAGCCCTGTGTATATATATATAATTCTTTTTTTTAGAGGTAGGGTCTCGCTATGTTGCCCAGGCTGATCTTGAACTCCTTGGCTCAAGTGATGCCCCTGCCTCAGCCTCCCAAAGCACTAGGTTCACTGGAGTGAACCGCCGTGCCCAGCTTGGTGAATGCTTTTATTTAAATTGTTCCATAGCTCTGTTTGCTTTGTTTCCTTTAATTAAATCTCAAATTTACAAGAGTCCAGACAGGCTGGCCAGCCCAACAGGGGCCCAGACAGTCACGCACGCACATTGATGTCTCAGCGGCCCAGGATTCCATCGGGGGCTCCATGAGAAAACCGGAATGCGCAAACGCCCTCGAAGAACTATCTCGGTCTGAGATAAGCTGAGAAGGTTGCCTTGGAAGCGTAGATAGAGGTAGGAACAGCTGGCTCTCTGGCCAAAGCCTTTGGCCTTTTTGCAGAAGCAAGAAACCAAACCACAGGAAGGCTGCTCCAAGTGTGGGCTCAGAATTTCCTCTCGGTGAGTGCAGCAGGCCAGGGAGAGGCGAAAGGGAGTGGAGAGGACTGTGGCAAAAGGGAGACGGGTGGCCCCACACAGCTTCACCAGGGGTCAGCGCAGGCTCAGGCGGCTCGACGGGCAGGTTTGCAAGAGAATCTCCAAATCCAGACGGGTGTGTGCGATCTCCTCGTTTTAAAAACTGGCAAATTCCAAATTTCTCAAATACTGGATGGAGCCAGCTACACCTACCTTCTCACCGAGTAAGGTCCATGGGCCCCTTCACAACCTGTACCTTCCACAGACAGGTTCTGCCCAACAGTCATGGGACCTCGTTTCCCGCCCCAACAGGCACCCAAAATAACCTTCCCGACCTGGGGCAGCATTTTGCAATCTTCGAGAACCCGTGCCCCCTTCTGACAAACAAAAATGGGAAATAGACTCCCCACACGCCGCCTCCATGTCCCCAGCTGAAATCACATCTTGTGGGAGGTCCCAGAAGCCAAGATGGGCCGAGGTTTGCTTCCTTGGGTCTGGCTTATAAAAGCAACATGGCTGGCTGGTTAGTTGCTGATTCTCCAGACATGAAATCACGATTTTACAATATGCACACTTGGGGAGGCCGAGGTAGGTAGATCGCTTGAGCCCAGGAGTTTGAGACCACACCGGGCAACACAGTGAGACCTTGTCTCTACAACTATTAGAAAAATGAGCCGGGTGTGGTGGTGCACACCTGTGGTCCCAGCTACTTGGGACAGAGGTGGAAGGATCACTTGAGCTCAGGAGTTCTAGGCTACAGCGAGCCAAGATCGCACCCCTGCACTCCAGCCTGGGCGAAACAGTGAGACTGTGTCTCAAACAATAAATAGAATGTGCACACATCTTAGGTGGGTTCCTCCTCACCCCTGGGGTAGGGGGCAGTCCCTGGATTGGAGCAGTTTCCCCTCCCCACCCAGGGCAGAGGTCTCTGGCCTCATCAAGGCATCCTTGATGCCAGCAATGCCAGCATTTGCTAGCGCTTTTTGAGATGGAGTTTTGCTCGTCTCCCAGGCTGGACTGCAATGGCGTGATCTCGGCTCACTGCAACCTCCGCCTCCTGGGTTCAAGCGATGCTCCTGCCTCAGCCTCCCGAGTAGCTGGGACTACAGGTGTGCGTCACCACACCTGGCTGTTTGTATTTTTAGTAGAGACAAGTTTTCTCCATGTTGGTCAGCCTGGTCTCGAACTGCCAACCTCAGGTGATCTACCTGCCTCGGCCTCCCAAAGTGCTGGGATTATAGGCGTGACCCACCGTACGTGGCCCAATTACCCCCCCTTTTTTTGTGTGCTGTGACTCAGATCCAACCCCCGCTTTTTAAGGACACGTCAGTGAATTGGGGTGGGTCTACTCCAAGATGGCGTCATCTGAACTCATTCCAGCCGTAGTGACCCTCTTTCCAAATCAGACCATCTTCTGAGGTCCCGGGGTTAGGACGGGAGTTTATGGATTCTGGGGGGCTATGGCTTGCCCCCTAACACGCCTTCCCCCAGTTCGCTGTGTAAACTCCCAGTCCCTGGGCGAAAGGAGGAAAACCCCAGGCAGCGTCATCAAGTGCGAAGCAGCAGCTTTTGGCTTACATCAGACAACCCAGGGGTCGGCCTGGCCCAGAAAATACAACAGAAGTGGAAGGTGGGCCCTGGCGAGGCAGTGGTCCGCAGAGTAGGGCCTCGAATCCCTCCCCCATTGGGCGGGGGCCGGGAGGAGAGGCGACATCGGCGTTTGAAACTGCTGCTACATACAGATGGCTCCGCGTCCTCTCAAAGGGGACAGGTCACCCACCTGTCTAGGGGGGTCTGGCCGGAGTCCGACTGGGAGAAAAGAAGTGGGGAAAAAAACCCCACACCCAGCAGAGGAGCCCCATCAGGCGCGAGGGGCGCGGTCGGGCGGCCCCTGGGGGGCTCAGAGGCTGCCGTCGTCCAGCATCCGGCCCAGGCCCTCGCAGATCCTGTGCAGGTGGGAGCGGTAGGGCTCCGTGGGTCCGTAGAGCGCGGCCAGGAAGTCGCAGTCGGCCAGGTGGCCGAAGACGTGGTTGATGCGGCTGTGGGACTTGGCAGTGAGGTGTGGGCCCACGGCCTGGTGCAGCAGGTCGCGGCACTCAAGCAGCCCGGCGGCCAGCACGCGCCGGTCGAAGGTGAAGTCCACCTGGTGGAAGCTGACGGCCGTCATGGCCAGGCAGCGTGCCCGGTGGCGGAAGCGCCGCAGCAGCGCCAGTTCCTCCCCGCCCAGCTGGTCCCCGCGCAGTAGCAGCCCCAGCTTCAGGGCCACCTTCACCAGGTTCTTGAGCATCTTCTGGGCCTCCTTGCGGCTGCGCGTGAACTCCTTGGTGGCTCGGTACAGCTCATCCAGAACCTCGCTGCTGGTGTCATCCACCAGCACAGCCACCACTGCCTTAGAGGTCATCTTACTCAGGAGCTTCTTCTGCGCCTGCAGCGCCAGGCTCTTGGTGCTGAAGCTGTCCATGGCCTGCAGGGGACACAGACTGGCCATCAGTTTCACAGGCTGCGACACTCACATGGAAGAGGTGACAACACCACCGACGCCAGGGGGCCTATGGAATTTGTTTCTTAATCAAAGTGTCGGCCGGGCGCGGTGGCTCACGCCTGTAATCCCAGCACTTTGGGAGGCCAAGGTGGGCGGATCACCTGAGGTCAGGAGTCTGAGACCAGCCTGGCCAACATGGTGAAACCCTGTCTCTACTAAAAATACAAAAATTAGGCGGCGTGGTGGCATGTGCCTATAATCCCAGCTGCTCGGGAGGCTGAGATAAGAGAATCACTTGATCCTGGGAGGCAGAGGTTGCAGTGAGCTGAGACCGTGCCATTGCATTTCAGCCTGGGCAAAAAGAGCAAGACTACGTCTCAAAAGACAAAAAAACGTTATGCTGGACTCGCTGGTTCATGCTTGTAATCCCAGTGCTCTGGGAGGTTGAGGCGGGAGCATTGTCTGAGCCCAGGAGTTTGAGACCAGCCTGGGCAACACAGCAAGACCCTATCTCTACAAAAAAGTTAAAAATTTTATTTTTTATTATAGACAGGGAAGGCCCTTCTGAACTGCACTTTCTGTAGGGCCTGATGCCAGCCCTCAAACCCACCATACCTTGAGTTGAGAAGGGGCTCAAGGTGATTATTATGGGGGGTTCTGTTCCACCCCCACTAGGTCCAGCTCGACACTTCCCCCTCGCCCCACAGCTCCATGAGGTGGGGTTCCGTGTGAGCCTTGGACCCTGAGCTGTTCAGGTTGGCTCCAGCCCCGCTGCCCGCACAGGGTTCACAATAGACATGCCCAAGGCCTTCCGCCCTGAATGAGCCAGGGGGTGATGGGTTCCCAGGGGGACATCTGTGGGGTTTCTGAATGGATGACTCCAGTGATTCCTCCAACAGGAAGCGCTGGCCTGGACAGCCCCCGTCCGGGCTGGGGCGGGAGATGCCCAAGCTGAGAGGCTGGCCTCTGACTGCAGGGCCATCCCCATCCCTGTCTGCCCCTGTTCCCTGTCGGCCCCACCCTGCAGCCTGCCCCGTTTCCCCAGCCCTGGAGCCTCTCCCTCCGCCCACCTCCTTCCTGCACTCCGGGATGCTTCCTAAATCTTAGAGTGGGGCATGGGCCCTCCCTGCTGGGAACCAACTGACAGCTCCCCGAAGCTCCCAGGACCAAGCCTCACATCTCACTTGGAGCCCTGCCTCTTCCCTGTGGACCCCCAATAACCTAAGGCCCTGTCTCCTCCCTGGTGCACTCCTCTATATCCCCCAAAGCCCTGGTCCCCAAGCTCTTGCCTCTTCCCTGGTGAACTCCTATACATCCCCCAAAGCCCTGGCCCCCAAGCTCCTGCCTCTTCCCTGGTGAACTCCTATACATCCCCCAAAGCCCTGGCCCCCAAGCTCCTGCCTCTTCCCTGGTGAACTCCTATACATCCCCCAAAGCCCTGGCCCCCAAGCTCCTGCCCCTTCCCTGGTGAACTCCTATACATCCCCCAAAGCCCTGGCCCCCAAGCTCCTGCCTCTTCCCTGGTGAACTCCTATACATCCCCCAAAGCCCTGGCCCCCAAGCTCCTGCTTCTTCCCTGGTAAACTCCTATACATCCCCATCACTTTGGCCTCCAAGTCTTTGGCTCCTCTGAGTGCAGGTGCCCCAGGCAGCCCCACTGCTCCTCTACTCCCCAGCTCTGCACCCACACTGGTCTGCCTCACCCCAGGCCACAGGGGAGCTCATGGGCCCAGTTCCTTATCCACGGTGTCCCTGCAGAGTCCAGAAACATCTGCCCAATGAAGAGGGGAGTGTGGAAGACTGGGGGAGGAGGGAGGGCCTGAGACCCGCCCCCAGTCTCTCACTGCCCCAGGCCCCGCTTAGCCTCCACTCCCACCCTGGCACCAGGCCGACAGCCTCGGAATGCCATGTAGGCACCCACCTACCCCGGGAGCCCCCACAAAGCCGGTCTTTGTGAGTTCAGACTCAGGAAGAAGTTCCAAACCCTTGGCTGCCCTCTGAGGTCAGGGCAGGCATGGGAGTTACTGGAGGGCTGCCCCTGCCCCCTGACCTTGGTCACCAGACCCTGGCTTTGCACAGGCCTGGGCCAGAAGAGGAGTGCTGTTGACTCAGTGCTGCATGGCAGGCTCTAGCCAGTGACGTGTGCCCATGTGGCCATCCACACTGGGCACTGGGCAGGTTGCCTGTTTTGTAGAAGAGACCACAAAGGTCCAGAGAGGCTGAGCCACTTCTCAGGGCCACACAGCAATGGAATGACTCCCAAAGCCCTTTAACCCCAACTCCCTCTGCCTTCCCCAACTCCCTCTGCCTTCCCCAACTCCCTCTGCCTTCCCCAACTCCCTCTGCCTTCCCCAACTCCCTCTGCCTTCCCCACCTCCCTCTGCCTTCCCCACCTCCCTCTGCCTTCCCCAACTCCCTCTGCCTTCCCCACCTCCCTCTGCCTTCCCCACCTCCCTCTGCCTTCCCCAACTCCCTCTGCCTTCCCCACCTAACGCCCTCAACTGGCCCTGAGTCTTAGAGGAGACTGGCCTCCGCAGCAAGCGACTTAACAATGATGTGCCTCAGTTTCCCCATCTGAAATACAGGAAGATTGGAACTAACTTTGTCTTGGGGCAGAAGCTTGTGACCGATTCCCAGTGTCTCCCAAGCTGTGAGCTTTCTGGACCAGAGGCTGCAGCCACCGCCTGGAGTTCCGCCCTCCACGCCTGCCTCAGCTCTGTGAACTCACAGACCGAGTTCTAGCTCAGTGAGATTCCTTGTGCAAAAAAGGAAGCCACACATGGCCGGGTGTGGTGGCTCACACCTGTAATCCTGCACTTTGGGAGGCTGAGGTGGGAGGATCAGTTGAGGTCAGGAGTTCAAGACCAGCCTGGGAAACGTGATGAAACCCCATCTCTGCTAAAAATACAAAAATTAGCCAGGCATGGTTGTGGGCGCCTGTATTCCTAGATACTTGGGGGGCTGAGACAGGAGAATCACTTGAATCCAGAAGGTGGAGTTTGCAGTCAGCTGAGATCGCACCACTGGACTGCGGCCTGAGCAACAGTGAAACTCTATCTCAAAAAAAAAAAAAAAAAAAAAGCGTGCCTGCAGATTTCAACAGGGAACTCCCGAGACCCTGGGTCCAGCCTCCCCATTTCATAGATGAACAAGCCGCGGGGGCTCTAAGAGGAAAAGTCCTTTCTCTGTGTCTGGGGATGAGGCCCCTGGACCCCAGCAGCCCTGGAGACCACATCTTTCCGCCCATTTCAGGAGCTGTGTGACCCCAGGCAGGGCTGTGCCCCTCTCTGGGCCTTGACTTTCCCATCTGTAAGTCCTGAGGCTGGAGAAGATGATTTGGGAGGGGAGTGGGGCCTGTTTACAGCTTCAGGAAGGGCCTGGGCTCCCAAGAGCAACCTCCCCACACACAAGGCCAACAGGAAGAGGGGCGGGTGCCGGCAGCTGTGGCCTCCCTCTCGGCCCTGACATTCCTAAGACCATCGGGCAGCCCCAGGACCTGCTGACACCTGGGGTGGCCCAGCTGCCTGGCCTTCCCCTTCCTCCGCCCTGACCCATTGTTCTGCCAGAAACCTCCCATCGAGGCAGCCAGACAGGGGGATGACCGCTCTCCCAGGGGAATGGGCCAAGGACCAAAATAAACCTGGGTCTTCCTTCCTGCAGGAGGCGGTGTGGCGGCCGCATCATCCCTTACAGGGCAGGGACCTTCCCAGGGACTGCCTGGGGCCTAGGGGCATCGCCCTCCAAATGCCAGGGCACCCTGCTATGGTCACACGCACACACAGCCAGGGAGCTAAGCGTCTGGGATTCAGGTGTGACTCACTCGGGGGCTCATCGAGCATGTCTGGAGCACCAGCTGTCCCGGGGCAGAAGCTTGTGGCCAGACCCCAATGTCCTGAGCCAGCGGCACGTGCCTATTCGTCATTCCCACCTGGCACGGGGCAGGTTGCCTGTTTAGCAAAAGAGACTGAAAAGACACCAGGGATACGGCAGGCATCAGAAGAGATCCCATCCCTGCCTTGCTGGGGCCCTGGCCTTCTCGACTCCAAGCTGCCTCCTCATTACAAAATCATCTGGGCGGAGCCAGGTAGCTCAGGCCTGTAATCCCAACACTTTTGGGAGGCCAAATCAGGAGGATCACTTGAACTGGGGAGTTCAAGACCAGCCTGGGCAACATAGTGAGATCCTATCTACAAATTTTTTTTTTTTAATTTGCCGGGCGTAGTGGTGTGAGCCTGTGGTCCCAGCTACCTGGGAGGATGAGAGGGGGAAGATCGATTGAACCCAGGAGACGGAGGCTGCAGTGAGCTATGATCACACCGCTGCACTCCAGCCTGGGCAACAGAGCAGGACCCTGTCTCAAAAGAAAAAATAAAAGGCCAGGTGCAGTGGTTCATGCCTGTAATCCCAGTACTTTGGGAGGCTGAGATGGGTGGATCACTTGAGGTCAGGAGCTGGAAACCAGCCTGGCCACCATGGTAAAAGCCCGTCTCTACTAAAAATTAAAAAAAATTAGCTGGGTGTGGTGGTGCGCACCTGTAATCCCAGCTACTCCGGAGGCTGAGGCAGGAGGATCATTTGAACCGGGGAAGTGAAGGTTGCAGTGAGCCAAGGTCTTGCCATCGCACTCCAGCCTGGGCGACGGAGTGAGACTCTGTCTCAAAAAATAAAACAGAACAGAACAGTCCGACGGCTCCGCAGAGGTCTAAACATGAAGTTACCATAGGACCCAGCAATGTCATTCTGGGGATCTACCCAAGAGAAATGCAAGCACGCGCCAGGCAAGCACTTGGCACGACCCAGTGTAGCCCGAGAGTGGAAGGAACCCAAATGCCCACATGTCCATTAGTGGGTGAATGAATAAACACAATGAGATCCGTCCAAACAATGGCATATTCTCTAGCCATAACAGGAGAGAGGCTCACACACAAGCGTGGATGTGCCTTGAGGACCCCATTCCCAGTGACAGAAGCCAGACACACAAAGCCACACAGCCTGTGATCCACTTCTATGAAATGTCCAGGACGGGCCCGTCCACAGGGACAGAAAGCAGATTCCTGGGTGCGGGGGACTGGAAGAGGGGAGAATGGAAAGGAACTGCTAACATGGGGACCAGGTTTTTTTTTTGGGGGAGGGTGGTAGTGGAATGTTCTGGAATGAGATTGGTGATGGTCACATAACCAATTTGTACACTTTAAAACAGTGAATGGCCAGAGGCGGTGGCTCATACCTGTAATCCTAGCATTTTGGGAGGCAGAGGCAGGAGGATCACTTTAGGAGTTCAAGACCAGCCTGGCCAACACAGTGAGACCTGGACTCAACTGAAAAAAACAACAGAATTTAAAAGAGTAACTTTTGGCTGGGCACAATGGCTCACACATGTAATCCCAGCATTTTGGGAGGTCGGGGCAGGTAGATCACCTGAGGTCAGGAGTACCAGACCAGCCTGACCAACATGGTGAAACCCCGTCTCTACTAAAAATACAAAAATGAGCTGGGCGTGGTGGCGGGCGCCTGTAATCCCAGCTACTCAGGAGGCCGAGGCAGGAGAATCACCTGAACCTGGGAGGCGGAGGTTGCGGTGAGCCGAGATTGTGCCACTGCACCCCAGCCTGGGCCACAACAGCAAAACTCCGTCAAAACAAAACAAAAACAACGCTGTCCCCTGCTGGAAGGGGGAGGTACCAGTAGCCAATAAACAGAAAACAGATTAACTGGTTAATTTCAGGGAGAGAGCTAGGGGCCATGGGGGTGGGGGATGAAGGTCAGGGTAACCAGGAGGGCCTCTCTAGGAAGGGGCTGGGCCGGTGGAGCCGGGCCTGCAATGACCCAGTCTGTGGGAAGATGCTCCAGGCAGAGGGCACTGCCTGTGCAAAGGCCCCGGGGCAGGGCTGAGTCGTGCTTGTTACAGGAACAGCCAGGAGGCCTCAGCCCTGTCCACAGCCCCTGTCCAGGTCCGTCCACAGCTCTGAGGTCTCCCTGCTGTGACCCCATGCATGGGAATGGCTTTCCCATCTGTAAAATGGGTCACCGGGCACCAATTCCCTGGCTCCCTGGACTATTGCCTCGGTCCCTACATTCTTTCCCGGAACTGCTGGCCCTGGACTATGCCTCAGACTCTTGCCTGCTGCCACCCCCATGTTTACGTTCTCTTTTTTCTTTTCCTGCTCCTGTGTGTGCGTGCGTGCGTGTGTGCGTGTGTGCGCGTGTGCGTGTGTGTGTGTGCGCGTGTGTATTTCTAGCATTTCTAGTTTCTCCATGTTGGCCAGGCTGGTCTCAAACTCCTGACCTCAAGTGATCCGGCTGCCTCGGCCTCCCAAAGTGCTGGCATTACAGACATGCGCCACCGCGCCTGGCGTTTGGCTTTCTCTGAGACAAGCTCTTGCTCTGCAGCCCAGGCTGGAGTGCAGTGGCGTGATCATAGCTTACTGCAGCCCGACCTCCCGGGCTCAAGTGACCCTCCTCCCTCAGATTCCTGAAGAGCAAAAAAACAGTTTTTTGCTCAGCCCTGGCCTCCATCTCTATAAAAGAAAAAAAAAATGTTTTTTTTTTTGTTTTTTTGAGACAGAGCCTCACTCTGTCGCCCAGGCTGGAGTGCAGTGGTGTAATCTCGGCTCACTGCAACCTCCACCTCCTGTGTTGAATCAATTCTTCTGCCTCAGCCTGCTGAGTAGCTGGGACTACAGGCACCTGCCACCACACCTGGCTAGTTTTTTTTTTTTTTTTTTTTTTTTGAGACGGAGTTTCGCTCTTGTTACCCAGGCTGGAGTGCAATGGCGCGATCTCAGCTCACCGCAACCTCCACCTCCTGGGTTCAGGCAATTCTCCTGCCTCAGCCTCCCGAGTAGCTGGGATTACAGGCACGCGCCACCGTGCCCAGCTCATTTTTGTATCTTTAGTAGAGACAGTGTTTCACCATGTTAACCAGGATGGTCTTGATCTCTTGACCTCGTGATCCACCCGCCTTGGCCTCCCAAAGTGCTGGGATTACAGGTGTGAGCCACTGCACGCGGCTCAGATTTTTGTATTTTTACTAGAGAAGGGGTTTGGCCATGTCGGCCAGGCTGGCCTGGAACTTCTGGCCTCAAGTGATCCACCCTCCTCGACCTCCCACAGTGCGGCATGAGTCACCTCGCCTAGCCTTAACTATAAGTTTATATTCTCTGACATTAAATAATGCCTTTGTTTAACAACCAGATAGCAAAATTCCCGAAAACACAGGAGGCGGCTCTCGTGAGCTGGCTGCAATTATGCAGCAAGTCCGTGGCAGCCCCACCCGTCCCATGAATTCTTCATGCCTGTCACAGAGAGTGTCAATAATTGATGGGTCTGCTCAGCAGGGCCACACCAGCCGCTCCATCTGTCTTGTCTCAGCCCTGGCTGCGCATCCGGGGCCCCGGGCAGGTGGCCCCAGGCCTCTTCCCGCTGAGGCCAATTCTCCCAAGTCTCATCTCAATGCAGGACCCGCCACCGACTCCCAGGCTCCCACTGCACCAAACCCTGTAAGATCCATGACTCAACGGCTGGGCGCGGTGGTTCTCGCCGTAATCCCAGCACTTTGGGAGGCCGAGGTGGGCAGATCACGAGGTCAGGAGATGGAGGTTGAGGCTACAGTGGGTTATAATGGTCCCCCTGCAGCCTCCTGAGTAGCTGGGACTATACCTATGTGCCACTGTGCCTGGTTAATTTTTTAATTTTTTTGTAGAGATGGGGTCTTGCTATGTTGCCCAGGCGGGTCTCAAACTCTTGGGCTCAAGTGATCTGCCTTGGCCTCCCAAAGTGCTGGGATTATAGGCATGAGCTGCCACATCTGGCCAGTGTACATTTTATTTTATTTTATTTTATTTATTTATTTTTTGAGACGGAGTTTTGCTCTTGTTGCCCAGGCTGGAGTGCAATGGCGTGATCTCAGCTCACCACAGCCTCCATCTCCCAGGTTCAAGTGATTCTCCTGCCTCAGCCTCCCAAGTAGCTGGGATTACAGGCACGCGCCACCATGCCTGGCTAATTTTTTGTTTTTAGTAGAGACGGGGTTTCTCCATGTTGGTCAGGCTGGTCTCAAACTCTCAACCTCAGGTGACCCGCCCCCCTTGGCCTCCCAAAGTGCTGGGATTACAGGTGCTCGCCACCATGCTCAGCTAATTTTTTTTTTTTTTTTTGAGACGGAGTTTCACTCTTGTCACCCAGGCTGGAGTGCAATGGTGTGATCTCGGCTCACTGCAACCTCCGCCTCCTGGGTTCAGGCAATTCTCCTGCCTCAGCCTCCCGAGTAGCTGGGACTACAGGCACGCGCCACCATGCCCAGCTAATTTTTGTATTTTTAGTAGAGACGGGGTTTCACCATGTTGACCAGGATGGTCTTGATCTCTTGACCTCATGATCCACCCACCTCGGCCTCCCAAAGTGCTGGGATTACAGGCGTGAGCCGCCATGCCCGGCCAGTGTTTATTTTAGTTATGGCAAAAGAGGGGGGAATCTGTTGACCCAGGTTGGGGGTGACATCGGTTGTTCTCACACTGGGTTCCCCAGAACCCTCGGGACCACCCCACGGAGGGACAAGGGTCCAGCCACCTGCTGGGTTGTGGCGAGGAGCCTGGACACCTTCACCGGTGGCCAAACTTTCACTGAAGAAGGTGCTTGGGGGTCAAACAGGAATGTCAGGTACCCACAGCCCATGGATCTGCAGAGGAGGGGGCAGACTCACCTCAGCCTGAACAAAAGGTTCTTACAGTGCACAGAAGCCTAGGGTCACCCGGGAGGAGGTGGATGAAGCCCCTAAATATGTCCCAGCGCAAGCCACTGCTTACCTCCCCCACAGCCTCCATCCTGGTCCCCTTGTCCCGTGACACCATCCCCCATGCCCCCATCTATCCTCCCTGTAGCAGCCAGAGAGAGCCTGTGAACACCTGAGTCAGGTTTCATGCCTCCCCTGTCCACCACCCTCCATGGCTCCCACCTCCCTTGGGGTCAAAGCCAAGTGTTCCTGGCAGACCACACGACCCTACACACCCTGCCTGTCCCTTCCCTGCCCTCCCCTTCTCCCTCTTTCCCCCTCCTCACTGCTTCAGCCCCTCCAGCCTCCTTGCTGCTCCTCCAATACCCAGGCACGGTCCTGCCCCAGGGCCTTTGCACCACCTGTGCCCTCTGCCTGAGCTGCCCTTCCCTCAGGTCTCCACATGGCTGTTTCTTGTCATCCAGGCCTGGGCTGATATGCCCCCTCCTCAAGAGGCCCTCCCAATCCCCCATCTATTTTATTTATATATTAAAAAAAATTTTTTTTCAGACGGAATCTCACATTCTGTCATCCAGACTGGAGTGCAATGGCATGATCTTGGCTCACTGCAACCTCTGCCTCCTAGGCTTAAGCGATGCTCCTGCCTCGGCCTTCCAAGTAGCTGGGATTACAGGCACCCACCACCACACCCGGCTCATTTTTGTATTTTTAGTAGAGACGGGGTTTTGCCACATTGGCCAGGCTGGTCTTGAACTCCTGACCTCAGGTGAGCCACCCGCCTACCTCCAAAGTTCTGGGATTGCAGGCGTGAGCCCTGGCACCTGGCCAATTATCTTCTTTTGCTTTGAGACAGCGTCTCCCTCCTGTTGCCCAGGCTAGAATGCAGTGGCGTGACCTCGGCTCACTGCAGCCTCAACCTCCCGGGGTTCAGGTGATCCTCGCACCTCAGCCTCCTGAGTAGCCGTGACTACAGGCGCACACCAACCCACTGGCTTTTTTTTTTTTTGTCTTTAAGTAGAGACAGGGTTTCACCACGTTGCCCAGGCTGGGAAATTCTCTAGAAGGATCTGCAAGTTTGTGCTTATGAGGAAACTGAGTCAGAGAGGGCCAGGAGCTTGCCTGTTTATAAAGCAGTAACGTGGCAGAATCGGAATTTGAACCCAGCCTTTAAACAGCGCAATCCTTTCCTCATCCCAGCCCAATGCATATTTGGGGTTCAAGTCTCCTCTCCTAGAGCCCACCGCAGAGGGGAAGTGTCAAAGCTTTAGGAAGCTTCTGGAAGCACTGTGTCCTATTATCCCCGCCTCCGGCCTTGGACAACGTCTTGCTGAATCTCCACCCCTCAAAGCACCCTCCCTCTCCCGTTATCTCAGCCTCTTTCCACAAGAAAAAGGAGATGACCAGCCCTGTTGAACAGATGGGGAAACTGAGGCATAAAAGCTGGGGATTTACAAGATGCCAGGAACTCTGCTAGAGGTACCTAGGTCAAAGTTTCGGTGGGTGTGACTTCAGGGAGGTCGTCTGCTGAGGGGTCAGGGGTGCTGGCAAGGGGCAGGCACCATGTGGAACTGGGTCTTCGGTTCCTGCCCCTCTCTGCCTCCTCGAGCCCCTCCTGGCCTGTAGCGCCTCAGGCTGTACCTGGGCATGTGTGAGTCATTTTTTAGCGCTGACTTCTCTCTGGGCGGAGTGTTTCCCTGACAACAGCTGGAGTCCTGTCCTCAAGGCACCCTCTCTTGGCCCCATTGGACAGACAGGGACACTGAGGCCTCCGGAGCCCACCTTATTGAATTGTCAATCAAAAGACCCCACGCCCACCTGGGCTGACCCCTGGGGGAACAGGGACGAGGAGAAACTGAGGCTCTGGGAAAACCAAGGCCACACAGCGTAAGAGGTCACACCGTGGGGCCTCAGACCTGTACCCATCTGCAGAGTCTCTTCCTTTAGGGACCCCCTGGCACCCCACTATCAGAGCAGGGTTCGAGTCCCCCCCCCCCGGCCCGTATTTCCCCAGGGGTCCGGGCACTCACCCAGCACCTACACCCCAGGCTGCTCCAGCCTCTGTTCAGTACTCAGTTCAGCCAGGTGTTTGTGTGGCTGGAGGCAGCCCTGTGTTCACGGTTTCCATAGGTACAGCGTCCCTGAGTGGGCCCCTCCTCCGCCCCTCCCACCCCCTGCCCGTGCAGGTCCTGGCCCCGCCCATCCTGGGAGCTTGTTATGTTTCAAAGTTGGCGCCCTCAGATCTGCGGTGGTGGCAGAGGGCACAGCCCGTGCAAAGACCCTGAGGCAGGACCTCGCCTGGGGTGCTGGAGGAACAGGAGGAGGCCAGCGTGGCTGGGGCAGAGCCACAGCGAGGCGTAGGGGGGTTATGAGCAGGGCCTGTATCTGCATCGGATCCCCCAGCAGCCCTCAATTGGGGGAGTTGTGACCCACTCCTATTTTACAGAGGAGGAAACAGGCTCAGGAGAATTGAAAGATTGATTCAAGGTGCCTTGCGGGTCCAGAGCTCAAACCTCGATTTGTCCAAGCTGTGTCACCACCAGGCTGGCCCCAGGGGGCCTCCCGGGGCGTTCACCGTCCCCAGCTGAGCTGGGACTGGCTGGGGGGGGCGGGAAGAAAACCTCTGGTGGCCTGTTTACACCTGGGGCTGCTCCTCCCCCAGCCCTTCCCCCCACCATAGAGAAGGATGCAGAGAAAATAGATTCCGTGTGCCTCTGTTCCCACCTCCCTGGCCCAACAACGGAAGCATTAGCCTCTTTCTAGACCTTAGTTTACCATCGCAGGAAATGGGCCCAGTTCCACTTCACAGAAAAGGCCAGGAGGTGACAGATGTGCATCGGATCACCTGCCAATTTATCTTGGCAGGGACGGTCCCAGTTCACAGCTGGCAAAACTGAGGCCGAGGCCCCACAGGCCACTTGGGAGCTCGCTAGGGGCTGGTCTGGGTGGGCCTGGGCAGGCAGGCCTGGGCCTGGCTCCCCGTCACCGATGCCTGGTTGGACCAGAAGCTACAGTCATGCCCACCTCCGCACGGCTGGCCCGGCTGCCCGCCCCTGTGATGCCCTCGGGGCTCTGGAATCTGCCCTGGGCACCTGCGGCCCTTCAGTTAAAGGGGGCAGAGTCCAGCAGAGTCGAAGTGGGGGGGTGGGGGTGCTGGTCCCAAAACAGAGCCCAACGCCAAGGGGGGCAATTGAGACTCAGCCTGCCTCCCCCTAACCTATACAGCGACAGTGACAGAGAGACAGGGAAACTGAGGCAGGAATACCGACAGACAGACGGTGGGGTGCGGAGGCATTACCGGGCGGGAGAGACAGAGGGCGGCCAGGTGGCCCCCGGGATGCGCTGAAACGGGGGGCGCCCCGGCCCTGCTCGCTCACCTGCTTTCGGAACAGAGTCCGTGCGTACGACCGTCCGGGGTCCGTCCAGCCGCCTCCGTGGGCCGGGGCAGTTGCCAGGGCGGTGGGAGCAGCGCCGGGGCCGGGGGCGGGACGGGCAGTTCGGCCCCGCCCTCCATTGGCCTCGCCCCTCGGCAGGCCCCGCCCCTCCCCGCCCCGCCCGCGCGGAAGGGACCGGAGAGTTGCCCGGCGTGGAGGGCGGGCCGAGCGCGCCAGATTAGCCAATGGTAGCGCGGGCGCTGTACAAAGAGGCCAATGGGAGCAGGGCATTGCGATGGAGAGGGGGAGGACGGGGAAGGGGCGGGGAATGGGGCGGGGTCAGGCGGCTCTGGGGGATTCCTCCGGAATCGCGAAGGGGCCGGATGCGGGGGCGAGGCTGTGGTGAAGGCGCTGGCCACAGAAAGGGGAAGAAAGAGATAAGACTATGAGACAGAAAGAGAACCTGGGGAGGGAGGGACAGAGACCCCGACCGGAAGAGACCAGGGAGCCAAAAGCCAAAACAGACCAACCACGTGTTTCTGCACGGGCCCCTTCCTCCTTCTGGGGCTCAGTTTACCCACCTGGGTCATAGAAATTTAGGCAGAAGGATGTTTCTCAAACTACGGCCTCGGGGAACCCTTTATAAATGCAGATTCCAGCTAGGTGTGGTGGCTCACGCCTGGAATCCCAGCACTTTGAGATCCCTTTAATCCAGCAGTTTGCAACCAGCCTGGGCAGCATAGGGAGACCCTGTCTCTACAGAAAAATAAAAATAAAAAATAAATTTAAAAAGTTAAAAATACAGATTCCTGTGCCACCAGAAGGGATGAGTCTAACCCAGGTTTGTGGGGCTATAGATAAGTCTTTGGGGTGAGGTGGACGGCACCTGGAGACCCCACCAGAGGATCCCGAAGGTCCAGCCTCGATTTCCGTCAGAATGAGCTCGCAGGACACACGGGAACCTCCAGGCTGCGCAGCTCCAGCTGGGCCCCCCCCACTCCCCCGGGGAGGATGCAGCTGCGAGTCCTGGGAACCAGGCCCTGGAGCGGCTCCCAGCCCCCCTGCAGCTCCGTTTCCGCCCTGCAGCCCCAACGCTGGGTCCCGGTTGCGGCCAGGGCCAGGGAGCCCATAGCAACGCCGCTGCTTTTTCCTGCAGGAAGCCAGACGACACATTGTTGAGGGCCTGTCGCATATCCTGAGCTGCACACCGGATTCGGGAAGACCGTGGCGCGGGCCTCAGGAGGCAAAAGTAAGTTCAATATCTCATTGGCCCGTCGCGGTGGCTCACGCTTGTAATCCCAGCACTTTGGGAGGCCTAAGTGGGTGGATCACCTGACCAGCCTGGCCAACATGGTGAAACCCCTTCTTTACTAAAAATACAAAAACGAGCCGGGTGTGGTGGCACATGCCTGTAATTCCAACTACTAGGGAGGCTGAGGCGGGGGAATCGCTTGAACCGTGGAGAGGAGGTTGCAGTGAGCCAAGATCAGGCCATTGCACTCCAGCCTGGGCAACACAGCAAAATTCCATCTCAAAAAATTAAAAATTAAAATTAAAAAGTTAGCTGGGTGTGGTGGTGCACACCTGTAGTCCTCGCTACTCTGGAGGCTGAGGCAGATAATCGCTTTGTTGGAAATAGATGCTCGGTGCCACAAAGAAGAATTAGCACCAAGGTAAAGGATCTTTCAGCAACGCAATTTTTACTTCCTGGGCTGCAGGTAGGGTAATCCCAGTAGCCATCGTGCCACAAGAGTACAAAGAAAAAAGGGAAACACAGATATTTATCCCTCATGCATTTGGGGTCGTCCTTACTGCTGTGTCTGATCTCGGTTGGCTGGAGCCAGACCTCACAATCTAAACTAAAACCCGATTGGCTAACCACTTAAAACTTTTTTAAACGGGTAAAAGCAATGGAGAGATGTGACATGCCTGTGAGCACGTCCAGCACAGATATCTTGGTTAAAGTACAAGGACACAGAATTACTACGTGCCTGTAAGCATGGCGTGTCTCACAGCTACACAGGACAGGGCTTCACAAAGTTATTAGCACACTTACTCTTTAACAAGAAAACTTTAAAAAGGAACTGTTCTTCCCACAACTTGAACTTCGGTGGAGGCAGAGATTGCAGTGAACCGGGATCGTGGCACTGCACTCCAGCCTGGGCGACAGAACAAGATTCTATCTCAAAAAATGAAAAATACAAAAATGCAAAAAAAATTAGCCAGGTGTGCTGGTGCACGCCTGTAGTCCCAGCTACCTGGGAGACTGAGGCATGTGAATCACTTGAACCCAGGAGGTAGAGGTTACATCGAGTCGAGATCACGGCACTGCACTCCAGCCTGGGCAACTTCATCTCAAAAAACAAAACAAAACAAAAATCTCCTTATTTCATTTTGGAGGAGGAGCCTGAGGCCTGGAGAGAGGAAGTAACTTCCCTGAGGCCGCACAGGCACAAGTTGGTGGAGTCAGGAGTGACCGTCCCATTTCACAGATGACGAAATGGAGCCCCGGAGGGAGGACCTGATTGGATCTGACTTCGGTGTTGTGCTACAGCTCCTCTCGGCAGCCCCAGCATCAAGGGGGTCTCCCCTTCAGGGCAGGGGGACTGTGGGCATCTGAGCATAGTGTGATAGTGTGATTTGGCCTTTTATCTGTCTTTTTTTTCAGACACAAAGTCTCATTTTGTCATCCAGGCTGGAGTGCAGTGGTGCAATCACAGCTCACTTCGACCTCAACTTACTGGGCTCAAGCAATCCTCTCACCTCGCCCTCCCAAGTAGCTGGAATCACAGGTGTACACCACCATGCTTCGCTAATTAAAAAAAAATTTTTTTGACTCATAGTTTAGCTCTTGTTGGCCAGACTGGAGTGCAGTGGTGCAATCTCAGCTCACCGTAGTCTCCGCCTCCTGGGTTCAAGCGATTCTCCTGCCTCAGCCTCCCTAGCAGCTGGGGTTACAAATGTGCGCCACCACACCCGGCTAATTTTGTATTTTTAGTAGAGATGCGGTTTCTCCATGTTAGTTAGGCTGGTCTTGAACTCTCAACCTCAGGTGATCCATTTGCCTCGGCCTCCCAAAGTGCTGGGGTTACAGGTGAGAGCCACCACACCTGGTCTCTTTTCTATATCAGATGAGAAAGTTGGGGCTCGGGAGGGCTGGGGTTCAGTTGGGTCTGTAAGTGCGGGAGGGGTGATCTTGGCCAGGAATGCAGGCTCACCGGGAGATGGGACTCAGCAAGAACAGGGGCTCTGCTGGGATTGGGCTCCGTCTACGGTAAGGGTGCAGCCCAGGGTCAAGGTTCAGCTCAGCTGGAGGCTCTAGCGAGGGTCCAGGCTCAGCCCAGGGTCGGGATTTAGGTGGGCTCGCAGACTCTATCCCGGGTCAGACCCAGCCTAGAGAGGGGCTCAGCCCTGAAATGGGGGCTCAGACGGATAGAGACTCTACTGGGTTTGAGGCTTAGCCCAGGACCAGGGCTCAAAGAGGCATCAGAGGCTCCATCCAAATTTGGGGTCTCAGCCAGAGTCCCAGCTCTGCTGGGATTGAGGTTTGGCCCAAGAAGGGAGCTCAGCCCAGTGTCTCGGTTCTGTAGGAGGTAGGGGGCTCCATCCAGAGTTGGGGGCCCTATAACCCTGTAAAGCTCAGCCAGGTGGGAGTCCCGGGGGTCGCCGCGGCGCCACTTCCGATCGTTCCCGGCAGAGGGCGCGCTCTGCCCACAGCCCGGGCTGGCGGCGCCTTCGCTTCCCCGGAGCCCGCGGCCGGGGCGGGGTCCCCGGGCCCGAGTCTCCCCAGAGCCTAGACCCACCAGCGTCACCCGTACCCCCAGGCCAGGCCTCGCACCCCGCCGGGCTGTGCCACCCGCAGCGAGCGACCCCCCTCCTCTGGGCCTCTGTCCCCGGCCAGAGACACGGGACCCCAGTTGGAAGCGCTACGGGACCTTGAATGAGGGGCGATGGTGGGACCCTGGTTGCAGGGGGATGGGACTCCCATGAGCCAAGATCGTGCCGCTGTACTCCAATCTGGGCAAGACTGCCTCAAAAAAAAAAAAGAAAGAAAAAAAAGAAAACCCGGAGAATTGCCCCACCCAGAGAGCGGGAAAGCTGGGGTGTTTCTCCCCCCTGCACGTTCAACCACCATTGGCCAAGGACTGCTCCCAGGAACCTTAGATCTGGGCAGAGAGAACGCCCCTAAAGAGAGATTCAGGACGGGAGGGGGTGGGGGGGGCGGGGATGAGATCCCAGTTAGGGGCTTTGGAGGAGGCAACTTGTTCTGTTCTGCAGGGGGGACTCCTCTTCGGGGCCAGAACACGCTCTCCTCCCCCATGCCCCTCCCAGTGGTTACTCCCACATGTCCGCCATCCATCTGTCCCCAGCCCATCTGTCTGTCTCTGCAAGACCCTTTCCAAGGCCACTTGAGAAAGGGAGTGGATGGGCGGCCCAGAGCGCGACAGAGGAGGGAGCGAACCCTCCACCTCTCAATGTCCAGGCCAGGGGTCTCCTGGAACTTTCCCAAGGTCACTGGAAGAGAGGCTGTCACCCTCCCTGGGGTCAGTGGCTGGGCTTGGGGTCAAGGGCTCACCCCGCCCCACTAAACCAACTCCCTGCATCTTCCTCCCTGCTGGCAGAGAAGGAGCCAGCCTGCCCCCGAGGGAGGGTGGATTTACAGTGTCAGCCGTGCAGACGCCAGCGAGTATCAGGCGGGTGTCTGGGAGGTAGAAGGCACGTGTGTGCCCGTGTGCCCCTGTGTGTGGGGGTGTGTGTTCGGAGGGAGGGCAGCCCAATCTGCTGCTGCCCCTGGGCATAGAGAGTCCTTAGTCATTCCGAGCAGGAAAAGAACCTCAGTGACTGCATCTTGAAGATGGGTGCAGTGGTCGTAGCCGATTCCGAGATTTGTAAAACTGCAAGGACACGGTGCTAGGACTCAGACTCTTGCGTTGGCTGACAGCCTCAATAAGAGACCAGCGTGGTGGCTCACGCCTGTAATCCCAGCACTTTGGGAGGCTGAGGCAGGCATATCGCCTGAGGTCATGAGTTCAAGACCAGCCTGGCCAACATGGTGAAACCCCGACTCTACTAAAAATATAAGAATTAGCCGGGTGTGGTGGCAGGTGCCTGTAATTCCAGCTACTCTGGAGGCTGAGGCAGGAGAATCGCTTGAACCAGGAGGCAGAAGTTGCAGTGAGCCAGGACTGTGCCGTTGTAGTCCAGCCTGGACACGGAGCCAAACACCGTCTCAAAAATAAAAATAAATAAAGAGCCCAAATACGGACGTGGGCGGAGACTGGGACACAGAGGCAGTTGTGGGAGCCCAGGCTATGAAGCAGACCCCATGGAGAGGGCAACTGTGACCAAGGAGGCCCAGGCTTCAGTCTGGCTGAGGAACTCCTGGGGACAGTGGCTCACGCCTGTAATCCCAGCACTTTGGGAGGCTGAGATGGGCAGATCATCTGAGGTCAGTTCGAGACCAGCCTGGCCAACCTGGTGAAATCCCATCTCTACTAAAAATGCCAAAATTAGCCGGGCGTGGTGGTGCGTGCCTGTGGTTTCAGCTACTCAGAGGGCTGAGGCAGTAGAATCCTTTGAACCCGGGAGGCCGAGGTTGCAGTGAGCCGAGATCGTGCTGCTGTACTCCAGCCTGGGCGACGAAGCGACTCTGTCTCAAAAAAAAAAAAAAAAAAAACGAGAAGAAAAGAAAAAGAAAGAACAGCAGATAATTGCCCCACCCAGAGAGCGGGAAAGCTGCGGTACTTCTCCCCCATGTTCAACAAGCATTGGCCAAGGACTGCTCCCAGGAACCTTAGCTCTGGGCAGAGAGAACGCCCCAAATCAGGGAGATATGTCTGTGGTTCTGAGCAGCTGCTACAGGGCATGACTCAGTGTGGGCTGCTGAGAGCCAGCCCCGGGGCTTAGTCCAGAACTGCAGAGGAGGCAGCACCAGGCTGGGGAAATACCAGCTGGGACCAGCTAAGGACCAATATGAGATCTGCCTTCTGGCAGAAGCCAGGGGAGGAAAACAGAGCTAAGTCCAGGAAGGAGACTGAATGCTGGGGCACCTTGATCAAGCTGTGCCTGAAGCCCCTCTAGATTAGGCAAGGACATTCCTCTGTGTGTGTGTGTGTGTGTGTGTGTGTGTGTGTGTACTCCCGGCCTCAAAAAATCCTCCTGCCTCAGTCTCCCAAAGCACTGAGATTACAGGCATGAGCCTCTGCGCCCAACCCTAGCACCTTATTTTTATTATTATTTTTTTAATTTTTAGTTTTTATTTATTTATTTATTTATTTGAGACAGCCTTGCTCTATCGCCCAGGCTGGAGTGCAGTGGCGCAATCTCGGCTCACTGCAAACTCCGCCTCCCAGGTTTAAGCAGTTCTCCTGCCTCAGCCTCTCTAGTGGCTGGGACTACAGGCGCGTGCCCTGACACTCGGCTAATTTTTTGTATTTTTAGTAGAGATGGAGTTTCACTGCTTTAGCCAGGATGGTCTCAATCTCCTGACCTTGTGATCCACCCACCTTGGCCTCCCAAAGTGCTGGGATTACAGGTGTGAGCCACCTGATCCGGCCTGTTTTCATTTTTATTTTTGAGACAGAGTCTTGCTCTGTTGCCCGGGCTAGAGTACAGTGGTGCGATCTTGCCTCACTGCAACCTCCACTTCCCGGGGTTCAAGCAATTCTTCTCCCTCAGCCTCCCAAGTAGCTAGGATTACAGGTGCGCACCACTGCACCCAGCTAATTTTTGTATATTTAGTAGAGATGGGATTTCACCATCTTGGCCAGGCTGGTCTTGAACTCCTGACCTCATGATCCACCCACCTCAGCCTCCCAAAGTGCTGAGATTACAGGCATGAGCCACCGAACCTGGCCAACATCTTGTATTTTAACAGCTCGGTGACATATTCAGGTCCCCTACTGGACTGAGAGCCCTGGGAGGGCAGGTGTGGGCCCATCTTTCTCCTGCCATGTCCCTGGTTCCTAAAAGAGGCTGGCACACAGTAGATGCTCACTTAAATGAGCATTAAGCACTCAAATGCTATTTCTTCTCAATCTGTGGTTGAGAAAGCAAAGCTGGAGAAGGGTAGTGGGCTTGTCCACAAAACAAGTGGGAATCAGGGTCAGGATTCAAATCAAATCTGATGTGGCTCATGCCCCAGCATGTCCCTTCACTTCTGCCGTCGGCTCTGACTGTCCTTCCCCACCATGGCTCAGTCTGGCCAGCCTCTTTGCTCCTTATCTCCCTGAAATGCCCCCCACCCCTGCCACAGCTTCCAGGGAGACCCCACGGGGCCCAGGCAGTCTGGGAGGGCTTCCTGCAGGAGGGGGCTGCTAGACAGCGCGGTGTGCTGGGAGCTGTGTCTGTGAAATGCCGGTTGATTTGCTTGTCTGCATCTTTGCAGGAGGCAGAGGGCATGGGGGGGGCGGGGGGAGGGAACCAGGGCGGGCAAATAGTTTCACACCTGTCCTCACACCTACCCATCTGTCCCGGTGACTTCATCAGGGCCTGAGCTGGGGGTGTGGCTGACCTCATCTTCCCACCTCCCAGAGTGTGGTGAGCAGAATCCTGACCTGTTAAAAGTGTTAGCAGCCCCACGCCTGGTCTGAATCTCGGGCGGGCGGCGGGCTCCTTCTGCTCATTATCGGAGTCTCTGCCAGCTGTGAAAGTTCCCCTTTTAGCTGATAAGGAAAGCGAGCCCAGAGAGTGACTTCCGTTGTCCCGGAGACACACAGCGAGGGGTGAGGGCTGGGCTGGTCTCTCCTTGGCCTCTGCCCTGCCTCTTCAGTGCATTCTCTGCAAAGCCACTAGTGGGCGCCTGTGAGCCCCGACTCAGGTCCAGTCTCTGCTCTG